TCCTATAACTGTCTGAACTGAACTTTTGGTGCTGTTCACACTTCAAATTCTGGACTTTTCTGTCTGGCTGTATTCTGTGCTAAAAGTGAAGTGAAGCATTTCATAGTAAAAGTTCATCCCCTTTTTATTTTCCGCAATTATGCCAAAATATAAAGTCTTGCCTTTTTTGTTTGAAAGCTTCCTTTCCTTTGGCTGTAATTTTTCTAATTATTAGGTTGGTTTTGTAATGATTAAAAGCAAAGGTGGTTTGAAGCCTGTGAAATACTAACAAGTTATATTGTTTTGCATCTTTTAATCCTCTCTAAAACTGCCAAAACTACAAAGTTACCTTGAAGGTTAACCAATGTGTCATAGTGTAAAGTGGACATACGATACTTACCTTCACAGGACTCTGTTTGCTTTTACTTCAAGCAACTAATACAGCTCACCCACTGGAAATAGTTACTCTTTGAAGTCATAGTCCAGACAAGTCATTTACATAAATGTAAGGAAGACACATGCCCCAGAGATTTATTTGCAGTTTTGCGTACTGGAAAGACATGCAGACTTTTAAAGCTGAACAGCAGCTTTCCACATCAGCATGAAGAGCTTCAGCAGTAAACACTACAAAGCAAGTTTCAGAAGTGCAAAATTGCTTATCATGCACTGTAAATAGTTGCTTTGGATAATAGCCAAAGAGTATAATCTCACTCTTTAATTTTTCCAAGTTCTTTTTCATTAAAATAGCAGCAAAACCTGAGCAAACCTGACTCTAATCTTCATGGATTCATTATCTTGTTTCAAGGTTCATTACCAACATGATTTAAATAATGGTGTTCTGTATTCATTGTTACCTGCAGACTTAACTTTCAGGCTTGGTTCCTTGTTTTGCTGTTTCCAGGCAGTTTTAGGGTGCAGTCCAAGGAGGATTGCAGGCATCCTGTACAATGTTGGAGAAGCTCAGGGTCAAATCTCCTCATGCTTCTCCTGGACTGCCACTAGACAAGCCAACTAGACAAGTCTCTTTCAGTCTTCTAGCTGTTCCCTTCATACCAGGAGCTTTCTGGCTGCAGCACTTTTCCTCCCCTTCGTCCCCAGAACACCATCTTTAATAGCTCTCTAAGGTTGCTCGTACAACCTCGAGAAGCAGCAGGAGTGTTTTTTTCCACATGACTTGTGAACAGGGCAGAGGAAACTGAGCACATATTCTCAGCTCTGAGGCCAACGTGCCAAAGAGTCTTGTGGCTCCTGGGCACTGTCTAGGGGGCCATAGGACCGCTCCGCCTAAGATGTGTATATTCCAACTGAATACAGTTCCTCTTTAACAGGAATAGCAACATGATGCCAATAGAATGGTGCACTTGAGACACCTTTCCTGGTACCCAAGAAGTTTCCTACACCTCCCACTTAAAAATTCAATTAATACATATTCTTACTTGCAGCTAGGTTGCTGTCAAATGTATTTCTGGTGCTGCTGAAGAATGTGGATCCCAAGGAATTGTTCAGTGTGATGGGACTCAGCTCTCCCTCTGCCTTGTCATTTGGGCTGCTTATATGTCTTTTGCCATGTTACTTTCAGCAGCCATTTTGTGCTGGTGCCCAGGACAGTTTATCCTGGGCATAGGCCAAATGTGGTCTTGAGCCAAAAAAGGTTGCTTATGCCAGTTTATAATGTTAACTGTGGCTTCCACTGGAATTCTGCTGGATGATTGATTGCTTTATGTTTAAATAATAATCATTCTAATTATTTTTGTTATTAGAGGCCCTTTGATCTTGAAATGTGGGATAAAAATACCTAATTGAATAAAATACCACCAAGGCTTTTCAGTTACTTTTTAGTAAGATATTCTATTGACCTACATCTGTGTCTATCATTTCAAATGGCCTACTGCCTAGGTCATTATACTTGGTGTATGATGTAACCTGATGGACTGTCCCCTGTTGCACAACATGCATTGTCATTTTTGCTGCATCAGTGCTTAGTGCTTAACAGCAGCCACACAGGACTTTCAGATGGAAAAGAAGTGCCTGCAGTCACACTGGACTCACATATGAACCTACACGATCATTTACTAATGTGATTGCAATAACCTGAATGAAGTTGCATCTGGTATGAATGTGGTCAGTGTGGTAATGTTTTGTGCAGTTTCAGAAAAAACTCAAATTGATACCATCAAAACTGCCGGCCTCTTTCTAATCAACGTACATTCGTTGCTTATTATGTGCCAGTTTCCCCCAGTCACCCATGGCCAAGTCATTCTCTCCCCCCATCCCCTTAACTTTGGTAAGGCAATACGTGTACATTTCCTGAAATGTTTGGTGTAGTTTGCTAAATTAGAACTTCCTCCTTGACTCGATTTTACATCCATTCACAAACAAATGCTAACTGAAAGAGGGAAAAAGAGTATGAGGAAGTAATTAGCCACATTGGAAAGTTGTCATTCTTAAAATGGGAACTTGGAACCCAGCAAAACTCTTTAAGCTAGCTACTTTTGACTGAAAGTAACTCAAAGTGGGCATTGTCAAAATGAGCAATTCCCTCAGCTGTGGGTTTGACCAGATGGCAGTGTTTCCCCATCACTGGTTTAGAGCCTGTAATAGTAAAACAAAAGTGAGGATAGACAGGTGGGGCAGGGAGTTGCCAGGATAATATTAGTGAGGGAGTTCATGAAATGATTTCTCTCTGGGACTCTTGACATCTGCTAATCACAGTCAGCCATTTGGACTATCTGGAATGAATGCTAACCCTGCTCGGCATGTGGGTATCAGGTGCACTGAGCAAGCACAGAGGAGACCCCCCACAAGCTTCCATTGGAAAAGCTATGGGGAAATCCCTATTCTTTCAACCTTCAAGCAGTGGTGTAATAGAGGGGAGACATGGGAAAGTGCATCTGTGGGACTTCTTCCACAGCAGGAATGATGGCATCATTTATCAGTGTTGTAAGCTTAGATGGTTTAGACTAAATTTAGAGGACTGATGTGGCCTAGCACAGATTTATTAGCTGACTCAGCTCAAATAGTGTTTGACTCAAGGAGATGGAGTGAACTTCATGGCTAATCAAGGATGTGAATACAAGTTTCCCTAGCCATGTGTGTGCATATACTTGCTTTGTCATGATGTATCTTAGGCACAGGACCTGTGGAACCAGCCCAGCTGCTGGACTCTTCTTGGGAGTGTGACTATGGACTCCTTAGGCCCTGATAATCTGAAGAGCTGCTGAACTCCAAATTTACCACTGTTCCACTGCATACAGGGGCAAGTTGTTGCTGGGACAACATGATTTCCCCCTCACCTGGCACGTCTGTTGCTGTCTGGCGTTCCTTCCCATAATGAAAGTTGCATTTTAGTTATACATTTAAGGACTATAAGCTGTCTTCCTGGAGATAAAGCACTCCCCATGATACTATTCCAGTCTCTCAGTAGTGCAGAGCACATGCTTGGCATATTCCCAGCAAATCCAGTTTAAATAGGATCCAGTAACTAATGATATGAAAAACCTCTTAGAGTTGCTGCAAGTCAGAGTATAGCCTTATAACCTTGACATTAGTTAGACTTCCACATTTGTCACAACATTGTCCATCATTTACATGAACCATTTACTTTTTCCCTTTAATCCATGTCTCACCTCTTCAGCCATTGAGTACAAAAGCCTCTTTTTTGTTCTCTCTCTTAAATGGGGTGGGAGGCAACTGAGCGAAAACAGGGAATAGCTAACTCCTTTGGAAGCTGACTAGTTTATCCTGCTAGTTAGTGACATGCCTTGTACATACCAGAAGATAGACTCACACATTGCAGAAAATGAAAAACAGTTGTTTCTCATGAAAAATAATTGTTAACTTTAGAAGATCTTGCATCATAAATTTTCATAGAAGATTGTTTGCATAGACATTGGACTACAAGGATTTTGGATAACTAGAGCTGCGGCAGTGGTGTGCTGTCCCAACATTTCCTTAGGGGTGATAAAAATGTTGGAGTATGGTGTACTATATGATTTATTCTAGAGATTTTAGTGAATATGTGGTGTTTTTTCAAAAACGTTGGAATCAGAATTGAGGAGAAACCAAGAATATCATGACTTACAGTGCCATCTTAACTGACTAAGCTGTACTAAGAATGAGAGAATCCAGATATTTGTACTTGGGAATTATTTCTCCTGGTTTTCATTTGTGGTTTCCATCACAGAATTTGAAGCTGCTGTATTGGCAGTTCTAGAGCTTCTCACATGGCTCTGTAGTGTATTTGGACTAGAAATGGGAGATCTTTCCTTTTCTCCTAAACAGTAGTTTCCCTTTCCCATATTACCTGTTAGGAGGATTTTGTCACACTGTGAGGTGGTTTCCAGTGAGTTAATCTGTTGAAAATGCTTTGATACTCTTGCTTGGCTCAAGATTAGTTATTCTTAAAGGACTTGTATAAGCCTTGCAAAAATATCCTCCTCACCTTTTAATCCAAGTGGCTTTCTCAATGCAGAAAACATAGATCTGTACCTCATGTAGAAATAGATCTGTTGTTCCTTTACCAATGGTAAAATTGTTTGCACAAGGAATGCCCCTCAAGTTGAGTTGTACATGGAATTCTATTCATTTTAAATGTCCAGCCTTCATTAGATGCCCTTAATGAATATTATTTTTGCCAAAGCATTTGTTTAGCCATATGATACTAAATAATTTTTTAAAAGTTTCAGCCTTGAAAGACAATACTGTGTTGGAACAGGCTTTAAGATAGGTTATAACAACCAGTTTTTTCTTCCTCAATGAGCATTGATTTTTACAGTCACCAGGTGGTGCGAATTGACTGAAAACCAGCTGTCTGAAAGGCCTAACATACAGAACACACTTCAGCTACCACATGTCAGATGGGTTTCAAAAAGTATGCATTTGAGTAGTGAGAAACTGAAGACACTAAAGCAGCCAACATTCAAGAATGCATGAAAAAGCTAGATGAATAAAGTTTAAAATCACTTTTTTATTACTGGAAATCTTTTCTTTACAGTGTTTCTATTTTGTTTTTGTTTTTTTAGGGCGCTTTTTCGTGGAAACTCAGATGTTGATCAACTAGGAAAAATCTTTGAGTAAGTAATAGTCTCCTGCATTTTCTGTTAAGGGTATTTACAGGTAATTGATTTTAGTGCAATAATAACTGCACAGCAGTCAGTTGCTTCTTGCACAAGAGTCTAGATACTGTCTTTCTTTGATGAACATCTACCTCACTTCCTTAGCATTAGATACAGTGAGATGGATCCAGAAAAAGTATTCACAACTAAGCTAAGTTCTCTCAATTTCCATGGACTCTATGATTTCCTATGTACATTTAGACAGAAAAAGATCCTGAAACTTTTGGCATTTTCCAACCAGCCTTGGAGAAGTAGCAAAGGAGCACTTGGGAGCAGGGGAGCCTTAGAGAAGCTCTTTCCACACCACTTGGAAGCTGGGGATTGGGGTGCAGATCTCCAGTTCCTTAGCTGAAGTTCTGTTTCCAGCTTTAGATCTAGGAATCCAAAGTCCCAAAACTAACAAGGATCCCTGTAGTTCAGGGATGGGGGACTTGTGTGCCTCAGATGTTTGTTGATTTTATATTTTATATCTGGTATAACATATAAATTGATTCATATCCTATTTTCCACTAAAAATGGAGCTAAACGTGGTTAACCGTAAGACCAACTTTAAAACAGGAAGTTAGTTAATGAAATAATCAAATAGACCAGAAGCACAACAGTACTGCTGGACTTCAGCTAACCTTGACCATTGGCCATGCTGGCTGGGGCTAATAGTTAGCAACATGTTTCCTGCCCATCATTCATCCAAACCAGGGAAGAGAATTGTGTGGCATTCTAGTAATCATTGGACTGCCAGCATCATCCTCTCTCCTTAGCATTGGCTAGGATAGATAGGGCTGGTGCAAATCAGAGACAGCAACATCTTGACGGCTACCTGCATCACACTGCTGATCTAGGTCAGCCTTGCCTAGTGTGCTACCTGGCAATGATGGAGAGTCGAGTTCCCAGACATGGCAATGATGGAGAGGGCACCAGGTTGCAGAAGGCTGATCTAGTTTTGCAGAGAGATTGTTTCATAGTGTGGCATGGCTTGCCTCCTAGGCATCCATTTTTTATGTATAAGTAAGATGATATGGAGTGCCAGGAGGCTCTTTTCAGATGGTTGCTTCAGTGCAAGAATAGAAATCAATACATTTTTGCCATGACTATGGGGGCCCTGATGAACAAGCAGTAGCTTGATAGCAACATGATGAAAATGGGGTGGGAGGAGTAAGATCTGGGATTACAGGGTTCTTTACTCTATTTTCCATTGTTAAACATTCCTAATTATATTTGTTTCTTGTCATTAGTTAATACTGTAGAAAAAACATACAGGACTTGATAACAAGTACCTTGTGATCTAGCCAGTTTTACTGCTGCAAGACTGATGATGTAAATTCTTTCTAACACCTTCATTGCGGAATGAACAAAACTTAGAAAATGCATTTAAAATATTATAAAGAAAAATAAATAATATTTTACTGAATTATTGACATTGTTATAGGACAGAGCAGAATATTTTGTTTCTGGAGTCAAGACAAAATTTTCTGGATAGGGTCAAGGTATCAAGATGGGACAGAGCAACAGAAAAAAAATATAAATGAATTCTCTTCAGATAAGCTTCCTCAGTTCTGAAGGGCCATCTTTAAAGCTGTAAAGAGCTTCAAAAAGTCAAACAGAGCATTTGTCTGTTTCATCAGTTTTGAGGCTGCATGGTATCAATTCCTAGAGATTTCTATTTTGAACTGCTAGCTTTCAATAATGGGTTTTTGTTTTAACCAAATTGGCTTCCATTTCCTGTGTACTGCCCCATTGTATATGACTCATCAGCATGGCTTATCATGCTACTGAATAGCGTTTCCTGCACAATCTAGAAAAAGTCATTCCTTGATTGTTCGGTTTTTCTAGTCTTGGCAATTAATCTTTTGGTTCTTTTACATCAAATCTATTGATAGTAGGGGTGTGCAATGCTGGGAAATCCATTCCATTCAAGCCCAGCTGGACAGTGCAGCCTTTACATTTCCATAAGCAATGGTGGACAGTCATGTTGGGGTGCAAAGATCAGTCTGGAACACTGCTCTCTTGCAGTCTTTCTACTTCTGCTCTGGCCAGGAAGTGAGCCAAGCCAAGATCAAGTCTGCAAATGCTTAGAAGTGCTAGTGACTTCTTTGTATAAAGTAAATAATCCTTTGCAAAAAAATAGATACATTACATAATTCTTTGCACAAAATATGCAAAGCCCAGAAGTCATATGTACCAAGACAATACTCCACTTGCACAGCAGGCACATGGTCAACAAGTATGCAAGCTGCCCTCAAGAACTTGCTTAAACTCACTTCCTGCTGGATGCTCATGCAAATGTTTAGCATGAGGGCACAAAGAAAGCAGGTTGGAGTCTGTGTATCCAAGCTGAGGAAATCTAATGGATTCCCACCCCAAACTGACTTCCTCAGACATCATAGGTTTTCCTGGTTCTGGAACTACTTGGTGCATTTTTGTTGTTCTGCAATTTGTGCAATGACTGATGAGGGTAGTGGTTGCTGAAGCTTGGGGTGACTGTGACTATTTCATAAAATAGGAGAACAACCAAGTTTGCTGCATCAGGTGACTTCCTTTCATGAAAGATTTCTGTCTAGCATGTGATGCTGTTCAGTAGCATTTTCCCAAAGTAGAACGCCTTTCAAAATTGGAGTCATCCCTTTCAAACCCTTCCACTGTTTTATCAACTAAGTTTATGGAATGTTCTAAATCCTTTGTGGTCATCTCAACAATCTTCACAGCAGCAGGAGTAGATTCCATCTCAAGAAGCCATTTTCTTTGCTCATTCATAAGAAGCAACTACTCGTTAAAGTTTTATCATGAGATTGCAGCAGTGCAGTGACATCTTCAGGCTCCACTTCTAATTCTCTTGCTTTTTCCATCACATCTGTAGTTACTTGAACCCCTCAAAGTCATCCTCGAAGATTGGAATCAACTTCTTCCAAACTCCTGTTAATGTTAATATTTTGACCTCCTCTCATTAATGTTTTTAATGGCATCTAGAATAGTGAATCCTTTCAGAAGGTTTCCCATTTTCTTTGCTCAGATCCATCAGAGGAATCACCATCTATGGCAGCTCTAGACTATGAAATGCATTTCTTAAATAAGAAGACTTGAAAGTTGAAATTACTCCTTGATCTATGGGCTGCAGAATGGATGTTGTGTTAGCAAGCATGAAAACAACATTAATCTCGTTATAGATCTCCATCAGAAATCCTGAGTGACCAGGTGCATTATCATTGAGCAGTAATATTTTGAAATGAAGTGTTATCTAGCAGTAGATCTTAACCATGGGCTTCAAATGTTCAGTAAACCATGTTGTAACAGATGTGTTATCATCCAGGCTTTGTTGTTCCATTTATAGAGCACAGACAGAGTAGATTTAGCATAATTCTTATGGGCCCTAGAATTTTCAGAATAGTAAACGAGCATTTGCATTAGCCCCTAACAAGAAAGTCAGCCTGTCCTTTGAAGCTAGGCATTGCCTTCTCTTCTCTAGCTATGAAAGCTGTAGATGGCATCTTCTTCCAATATAATATTTTTCCATCTACATTGAAAATTTGTTGTTTAGTGTAGCCATATTCCTCAATTATCTTAGCTAGATCTTCTGGATAACTTCTACAGTTCTACATCAGATAAAGTTCTACATCAGAACTTTCTGCTTCACCTTGCCTTTTATGTTATGGAGACAGTTCCTTTCCTTAAACCTCATCAACCGACCTCTACTAACGTCAAACTTTTCTTCTGCAGTTTCCTTACCTCTCTCAACCTTCATAGAATTGAAGAGAGTTAGGACCTTGTTCTGGATTAGGCTTTGACTTAAGGGAATGTTGTGTCTGGTTTGATCTTCTTTCCAGACCACTAAAACTTTCTTCATATCAGCAACACGCCTCTGTCATTCTCATAACATTTGTGTGTTCACTGGAATAGCACTTTTAATTTCCTTCAAGAACTTTTCCTTTGCATTCAGAACTTGGTTAACTGTTAGGCCAAAAGGTAGGCCTCTTGCGCCAGTCTCAGCTTTCAACATGCCTTTGTGACTAAGCTTAATCATTCCTAGCTTTTGATTTAAAGTGAGAGACATGAGACTCTTCATTTCACTTGAACACTTAGAGGCCATTATAGGGTTTTAACTGGTCTATTTTCACTATTGCTGTGTCTCAGAGAATAGGGAGGCTGAAGGAGAGGGAGAGAGGTGAAGGAATGGCCAGTTGTTGGAGCATTAAAAAAACACACGACATTTATCAGTTAAGTTTGAAGTCTCACATGGGCGTGGTTCATGGTGCCTCAAAACAATTACAATAGTAACATAAAAAATCACAGATCACCATAAAAATAAAAGCAATGCAAAAGTTTGAAACATTGCAGGAATTTCCAGAATGTGACACAGAGGCACAAAGTGAGCAAGTGCTGTTGGAAAAATGGTGTCAATAGACTTGCTTGTTGCAGGGTTGCAGCAAGCCTTCAATTTGTAAAAAATACAATATGAAAAATGAAAATGTCACTATTTTCACAATAAAGTGAAGCACAATAAAATGAGTATGCTAACCCCTGTATCCTAAGCCACCCTGTAAATAAGTTACCATTTGCAGAACATCCGCGGAGTGCTGGACAGAGAATCTGGCTCACCATGGCATGTTATCCCTCTCAGCCCTCCAGCTGGTAACTCAGTATCTTTTGCAGCCCAACCTGCCTTGTCTCTCTCTCCCCGTTCTGATCATTACCCTTCTCAGTTTGCCTCTTTAAAAAACCTGAACACACTTGGTGTTGCTTTTTTCAACCCAACAAAACTATGGAGTTACGTGCATAAATTGTTGTTGAGGATGATGTTGTCATCACTGTCCTCTACAACCATGCAGGTGTCCTCTTAGGGCTGTGCCATATGTGTAGTCTCTTCTGGTCATTTTCCTTTCAGTTGTCAAAGAGGGCAGGGAAATAGAGCAGGTAAGCTACATGGATATCAACAAATGCAGCTGTGCATTGGTTGATCTGCACATAGTTGCCAGTGACCAATTACCAAATTTTCAATCGAAAAGCACTGGGCGGGGCGGATGAGCAGCAGAAGTATATGCACAAAGGGCAGGGGCAATACCATTTCCTTGACAATGAGGACCTGTCACATTTAAGTGCCAGACTGACACTTCTCAGTGCCTTCCACCTTTTCAACACATCCCTAAGTCTACAACATTTCCAGAAAGAAAAGATATTGCCTCCCCCTCCACTTTTTGGCAGCTCCTTTTCAGAGCGAACCAGGTCAGAGTCTATTTTCATGGTATTTGAAGCATGGCAGCATTTTTTAAAAGAAATTATTTATAACATTTCTGGTGGGAAAATGAGCCAGTTGGATTGAACATCCAGAAAACATCCTTTGCTATCTATTTCTGTTAGTTACAATTACCTATATAGAAAAGAATTTACCCATGAATCAGAGAAAGTGCAATGCCAGCTTGAGCAAGCCACAAGGCATTCTTTATTAAACAGTCTTCTTACAGGAAAGAAAAAAAGATCTGCCAGGCCTGTAATTAAACTATCTTTTAATATTTCTTGGGTTATATTTCAAAATCACAATGCTAAGCATATTTTGGGAGTCCAAATAAATACTTGAGTTGAATCCAGGCATAATTAAGAGTAGACATACTGAAATTCATGGAACTCAGCTAAGCATTTAGATGATTGATCTTAAGTCTCATTGATCTTAGTGAGTCTGCTGTACTTATGGCTAAGTCTGGATCCAACCTATCATGCTTACGACTTGCAGTGGGAACATAATTCCTGATTTGTTGCCTACATATTGGAGTACATTACCCAAGGGCACACAATGCTTACACAGGCATAAGGCATGGAAAGAGCTAAGGAAAACAAACCAGAAAGAAATGACTTACTTTTTCTTTCCTTCCTCCTCCTCTTTATTTGCAATGGGATCTGAAACGTATGTTCCATTTTTATTCTGGATATCTAGCTCCAAAAGATAAATAAGCTAAGTAATGCTCCTTCAGATCCTTGTCCAGCAAAGCTTTGTGATGGCTGTTTCTACATCCCTTCATTATTCATCCACTGCACTTAATTCTGATGTCACTTATAGAGGCAAGCATATCAGATGGGCACCTGAGGAGGTAGCAGGTAGAAGTGTGACTGTAAGATATTCTTGGGGTAATTTGGAAGGGCGGGGAGTTACCTTGGGATTATAGAATCACAAACTTGCAATGAACCAAATGTTTCCCTAGTCCAGCCCTCTGCTCTCAGGGACATCCATCTGCTGCTCTCTCTCACCTTTTGTTTGCTTTGCCATACATATACAGAGCACTGGAGGAGAGTACCGATTTAATGCTAGGGCTACAATCCAATGCACATTCATGTAGTAGCAGCTTGCACTCCAATCAGTTGGATATTGCTGCTGCTTATTGCTGTATTGATTTATTTGTATTAGTTGCCATTATCTTCAACTACTGTGGCAGATGATCAGACTGACTAGGATGTTGGACGTTTTTGTTCAACAACTTGGAAGTCATCACATTAGGAAGGCTGCTTTATAGGCTAGGGTAGGGAAGCTTTTTTATATTTCAAAGTAGCTTGTTGAATTTCACTTATGTGCTCTTCTGCCTCATTACCTGGGGCTCCTGGGCTGTGTTGCATCCAGGCTGTGGTGACACTGAACTTTGATAATGTAAAAGCATCTTGTGTAATTTGCATCCCCTGTTTACTCTACTTCTTTTACCTCCCAACTTAATCTGGGCACATGATTAGGCATAAAGTGGGCAGTTGATGTAAATGCATGATGTTGTGTCCTGTGCTGTTTTATATTAACTTGCAGAGATGTCATAAATGTGATAGGTGAAATTCTGCATTGGTGTACATGTTGGATGTATTTTACTGGCTTAACTAAAGCGACTGCAGTGAAGTTGGTTTACAATAAAGTTGATGGCAATTTAAAGTTCTTGCCACAGATGTTCATTACAGCTTCATTACAGGACGTGTTTTAGCGCTGAACCAGGTATGCAAGAATAATCTGGGGGAGAGGACAGAGTGGCAGAGAAAGAGAAAAGCTACAGGACTTTTCATAACAGTTGTCCTGTGTATCCTTCAGTCTCCCTTTGGCCTTGGCAGCGTTCATTAAGACCTCATGTGACTTGTGGCTGTTAGGTAGCCAAAATCAGCATGCCTCCTGACAACTGAAAAATCCTCCACCTGGTAGTGCCCTGAGAACTTCATCCTTAGCAGCACATGGTCTAAAAGAGCTTTTTCTTGTAAGCTAGATCAGTGCTGCACCCTAGTGGCAGAATGTAGCCATTTCCTTTTAGTACCAAATCTTCCCCCATTACTTTTTACCTTGAAGAAACATTGTAATTGTAATGCTCTATTTTATATTGTGGTATGAAATGGCAGCTAAATAGTTTTTTCCTGTATCGATTAAACACCCCTGCTTTTTTCTGCAGCCTGTTTGTTTGCAAAAGCTTTCAGTTTGCTCTCTTAATTCTCATTCAAAACTACAACTAGACATTTTGGCATGTGTACATTAGGGCTAGGAATGTGTGAATTGACCAAACTTGGGCTTGCTGAAATTCTCCCAGTTAAATCTCAAAGCTTTTTCCAACTCAATTCCATATCAAATTGCAAACTTTTGGGTTTTTTTTTTTTTTCATTTTGCATGAAAACCCATGTATATTTTCCCAAACAATTGCATCAGTAATGCATATCTGTGGAATTTATACATTCTTCTACCATTGATTAAACCACATTTTTAAAAGTACACATTTCTTCATATGCATTTTTTCAAATGTATACTTGTGAAGACAATAATTTTGATTCTCAAATTACACTGTAAGTTCAGAAATCTATGAAAATCTTTGAGGGGGATATTAAAAACAGTTTGAAGGTTCTAGGAAAGCACCTTCAGAAAAGGCATTTTTTGGGGGCGGGGAGAGAAAAGCAATGTATCTGCTTCCACTGGAATAAACTATTTGAAGATTTCAACCTCACAACTGTAGCCTTAACTAGGTGATTACAGCATGCATGCTTACTGTATTTCTCAAAAGAATAAGAAATGTCATCAAATAGGAAGAAAAGTTACAGCGGTGGTAATTAAGCAAAAAATACTAGTGTTTTACCTGAAGCATATCTTTGCTTCTGTGTGTTTGTTTGGCACAGTGTGATTGGACTTCCTGAAGAAGAAGACTGGCCTAGTGATGTGGCTCTCCCAAGGAATGCTTTCACATCTCGAACCCCACAGCCCATTGAACTTTTTGTAACAGATATTGATGAACTTGGCAAGGACCTGCTACTGGTGAGTGTCTGTTGCACCTCTGGAGAGCTATAGAGGCAAGCTATCTGTCAGTATCTTCAGACCAAAAAAATAGCAATATATTAAATGAATAATGATATTGAGTACAAATGACAAAGCTTTTGATTACAGCATTCTAAAGAAATACCATTAAATAAAGTGCTGTTGTTCCTTTTTAAGCCTCCAGGTGCAGTATTGTATGAACTCTCTTACACAAGGTAGTCAACCTTGAGAGGTCCAGAGACCATTTTTATTCAGTGGAAAAAAATAGAAAACCAGAAAACCAAAAAGATCAAAATTAGCTTGCAAGCAATCCATTTTTGACACACTTGAGACTCAATAGCCATTTTGGTTAACCTTTAAAAATATGTGTTAGTATTTTGAAAAATTGAATTTGGGGAGCTACAGCAGTGGTAGTGTGAGTTGCATCTTTCTGCTCCCTGGTTTTACTGAGTGCATCTAGTGTTGACTTCTAATTTGAAACTGTCTTGTTTTTCCTATATACAGAAATGCTTGACATTCAATCCCATAAAGAGGATATCAGCCTATGATGCCTTATCTCACCCTTATTTTCATGATCTGGAGAAATGTAAGGAAAATACAGACGCTGATATGTCATCCAGTCAAAACTCTACTGAGAGGAATACACCATAGGGCTACATCAAGCTTAACCTACAAATGAACAAAACAGAGCTTGATAAGTCACCTCCATGGATAAAAAACTTAGCTTTTCAGCTGAGGAGTGTTTTCTGGAGACTTCATGTATTGTCATCTATATGCTTCTTCAAGATGATGATCTCTTTGGGGAAGAAAACCTTCATTAAAGCAATGCAAGAGGCAAGGCTTCCAGTGATCCCACTGTAGCTTGATGTTTGTTTAGTTTATCTGGAGAGCTCCAGGTGAAGAGAAGCTGCTGACCAGTTCCATTTTCTTCTTCTAATGTTGAACGGTGCCACCATGGATTAGAGTAATCCAGTCTCACTACCAAAACGTGATTTAACTGTTCTCTCTAGGTGCTGAAATCTGATTTGAAACTCCATTGGAGTTACGGTGATAGGGGTTTTTTGTTTTGTTTTGTTTTTTTGCTTGTTTACTTGCATAATCATGATTTCAGAAAAAAAAATCTTTAAGCAATATTTAAGTGAATGACATTGAAATACTGGACCTCTATAGCCTGCACTTAAGAGAGATGTGTACAAACACATCTGGCTGTTGTAATCATACAGGAATGTCCCTCCCCAGTAGGAAACTTAAGATGATAATTACAGCATTTCATTGCTTTTCATAGTAACTTGTGTCTTTGACTTTAATGCACAAGGGTATTATTAAAGAGATTGTGCACATGTGGCCAAGGGAGAAGGTGGATTTAAAAAAATGTAGGGATCACTTCTCCAGTTTGCTGAGGTTATGACAGTCGTTAGCCAATGTATTTTCTTTATTCCTCTCTCATAGTACTCTTGTCTTCCTTTGGCAGTGATAATATTTCATACCTATATGATGTTCAATGCAAAAGGTTAACCAGAATAAGAATCAATTGCTCCTTTGGGATTGCTTCCTTATTATTGTCAATGAAAATTTGAGATGCTTTTTTTTCCTGACTTGAGAGATCAAAAAATTGACTTAATGCTGCAATTCTGTACCACTTTCATGGGAGTAAGCCCCACTGAACTGAGTGGAACTTACTTTTAAACAGATGTGTATAGGATTACATTGCAAGAGGTGGTCCTGTGTACTTTTTACTAGGTGTAAGTCACATTAGACACAGTGGGTTGGATCCAGATTTACTCATTCTAAAGACAGACCCAGATGTAGGCACATGCAAGTAGGCTGGTGAAGGTGGGCTTCTCTAGCCCCTTCCTCCCTGTGGCAGTCCCTCCAGCTCCTTGAAAATGCCACATAGAGGGTCAGGTAACCCTCCTGAGTGAGATGAGCTGTGGCATGACAGGAATCCCTGAAACTTGGAAAGTGGCACAATTTAAGTGGAGCCTTTCTATCCACAGAAGGCAAGTCTCACATCCAAGTACATGAGAATAAATTAAGCCTCTTTGTGGGCTTAGGTATGACTAAATCTGGATCCAGTCCAATGAAACATCTGAGTAAACATGCATAGGATTGTACTGTAAGGGAGGCATGCACTGTAAAATGAATCCATCATAAAACCTATGTGTCCCGAGTGCACAACTCATTCACATCTCAGGTCAATTCCGGATCCTTCACATTTCATGTCATTGAGCAGGGTTGTTGTTGTTGTTCAATTTTTCTGTATCATAAAGTGTGCCAAGTGTTCTTGCGCACCACCACATAGATTGATTGTTCCACTATGCGTTCCCTTTCAAACGTGCTATAACTGAAAGCCAGCTTTAATCACTAATTCACCTAGTTGCCTTCATACAAATACTTTTAACTATTACATAAAGTTTTGTATATATTTTAGCTTAAGTAAAAAAATAGAATTTTTAAAAGAAATTTTATTTTTGTAGTATGGTTTGATGAGATGTTTTTAATTTACAAATGAAAGATGTACTCCTAGTCTGGTTGCACTCTAGTGACCCAGAGGAATTCCTGCCAGGGAAATCTGGTCTGCAGCTGCAAAAGAAAGAGGTACCCTTAGAATGAATTGATATACTGTTAGCACCCACAATCAGCCTTGTTGTACTTACCCTTTATTTATCTTGTCTGTTTACTGAGCTCTATTGGCCACACTCTTATCCCCTGTACATTCACCCAAGGAGACCCCCCCCCCAGTATCTTGTGCCATCCCCACACAGTGGCCTTGTGTAGTCCAGAGAGGGGATGGAGGACCATTGATATGTAAACGTTCAGTACTGCAATGGACTGGCCTGTCCAGGAAGTGCTTTGCATGCTACATTTGGTGCTAAGCATAGAGCAGGGAATACAGAAAGCTTCCATGTGAATGCACTCTGAGCATCATGCAGCTATACTCTCGCAGTGTCTCAGAGAGATGGACTGAGGGCAAAGCAATGCATGGGATTAAATGTGTAGCTTCGTCTTGCATGCTTAGTTAGTCTACTTTAAATGATGTCCATATGGAAACCAAGCCAGGATTGGGACTAAGTCGAAAGACAGGTTGACTCTTCACTTCAGCAGTAGGATCCTGGCTATAAATCACTCCTCTGCCCTGAGCTGCTATTTGTGGCAGGAGTAACAGTGCCATTGGCATAAAGAGCCGCGTGACTCCTGAGATCAGTAGCAGCTTTAGGGCAGGTGTTAATTTGCATCTGGGTCATGTTGCAGGGTAAAGTGTAAACAGCCCTCATCATGGTTCTGATCACTGCCTGAGCCCCGCCCCTTGCAGATGCTATCTAAAATTGCATTGCATTGCATTTTGCATTTCTATACTGTGCTATAGCTCACAGGTACTGTACAAATAGGCAAAAGCAGTGTTTAATGGATATGTATTTTAACTCTTAGGATGCACAATGGGACAAGTGGGAGATGAACTGTCTCTGGATCAGCTTTCTCCAAACGGATGTCCCACAGAGGTATTCTGCTGAAACTCCCCTCGTTCCTAGCCAGCATGGCCACTCCCATTAGAGCCCCAGTTTTGGGAAGACAGCTCCTGACTGTGAGCAGTCATTAGGTGGTGTCCAAATAGCAATTTGTGTTCCAACAACAATTCTCGGAAATTCATAGGAAAACTGCTGCCTCTTATTTTTGTATGTTGTGCTTAAGATTTCTGGTGAAATGGGCTTTTGAAATACCCTGAAAATGTGCAAATTTCATTCACCTAGAGCCCACTGTGGGACAGGAAAAAAACATGAGTAGCCATGAGCAACAGTATCTCCGTGATACTTACAGTCCCTTAAAAACTGTTGTGATCTCTACATAGCCCAGGTTAGCACTTTTCAGGACATGCACTTATTCTGCAGTCAAGTCACACCAGTATGGAAAAGACCATTGGTGCTAAAAGTGAAAAAAATCTGATGAAAGTTTCCTGTAATTTAAAAGCAACTTCCAGAAACAACATCCTCATTGAGCTATATCCAAATGGCTATGCTAATACTTATTTCCACCCTAACCAACCCCATGACAAGTGATTTTCAGACATTGCTATTATGATCCAGAATAAATTTATGATGGCCAGGAACACTGTGATGTTCTGATTTGAGGTCATGCAAGAATGTGTTATCTCCTAAGTCATAAGTGCAGATGCACTGTTGGAGTGTGCACTACTCTACATGTTACATGATCACAGTCATCCAGTCTCAGTTTTCTTCAGCATTACCCTAGCTGCTGCCGGGTTTGAGATCCATTCAAGCTGCTCATGAGAGGATGAGGGAGAAATCATAGCTCAGTGGAATGGCATAGGCATTGCATGCAGAAGATCCTGGGCTCAGTCCCTAAAATCTCCAGTTTTAAAAAGGTGTGCATAGCCAGTGAACCTTCCAGGAACCTTGAAGAGTTGCTTGCTAGTCAGAGTAGACAGCACTGGCTAAACAGACAAATAGCATAGCCTGTGCTCCTATTGAAAGAAGCTACCTCCCCAGCTTCTCCACATAGCCTGATTACTGGCAAATTACCTTGAAGAGCTTGCCAGCTTTCCCTAATTTGGTGCCCTGCAGAGGTGATGGCCTGCAACTGCCGTCATTGCTATCCAGTCCAGCACATCTGGAAGGCATAATATTGGGGGAGGCTGGTAACCATCCAGCTGCTTATCTTCTCATTCTGAGCTGTCCTTTTTCAAATGATGAGGACCTTCATTTGTTTGTGTTCCCCAAGCATCTGCAAAGGAAAATAAACAATGTACCTCTAGGAAATTCTCCACTTAACTTATTTTAGCATAGGCATAGGATTATGAATGCTTTAGGGGACATATACACAGGGGCCTCCCCTGCCTCCAATTCAACGTCAGCCACAATCCAGAGAGCCCCTCTATAAACACATGAGGGTTTGTAACATCCAGGAGAGCTCTTGCCTTTTTCATTTTGAGAACTGTTCTTTATGCTGAAAAGGATGCCTTTCTAATGTTTGTGGGGTGGCTGTTGTCAAGCAGCTGTGATAAAGGCAACTCGGAGACCAGCTGTACTCCTCAGATGCCAAGGAGAAACTTTCTGAAAAAGAAGATCCTTGACTGTGTAGGGCTTGCACCAATAGGCCTGGCACACCAATATTCTTCCATGAATCATGTGTTTATTGCTATGTGCCTAGCACTCTTGCAATTGCCATTGCCATGTAGGTGGGACAATCCTATGAGGATTGGCTATGCTGCAGAAGCAAATCAGATAATTGCGGAATTTTTCCTTTTTTATTTGTCTGCATCTGTCTTTCCTGACTTCTTAAGCGGCCCAAGCATGTAATCACAGATGCGCACCCTAGGATAGCTCGCACTAAGCACTAGCATTCTTGACCCTTTGCAATACGATCTTAAAGCTCATTTCTTGCATCTTGAAGTATAGCTGCTGGGAACAGTAAAATAGCAGAAACTGGTTGAATTATTTTCTGGTGTTTTTGACAAAAGTTACCATGTAAGTTATATACTGTGCTACTTTCTCCTATTTATATAATTAGATAAGCATTTTAGAATAATGTTATGTTGTAAAAACCACAGATCTCTTGGCTGCTAGAAACTATGTCAGCTTCAGTGTATGGAAGGATCTGAAAATACACTGGCTGGGTTCGCAGGTCATGAGAAGCCATGGTGATTTTTTACCCTTGTTGGTCTTGCCATGTCATCTGGAAGCAGTAGTGATATTCTGCATGGTACCTTTCATTTCCTGAAACCACAGACAGAATTAATAGACTGTTCTAAGGTGCCCACACTTCTGCAGTTGTACAAACCCAAGATCTCCATTTCACCATTGTTGGTATGAAAACACCATACAGTCCTGTGAAAAGAGTCTGCCCAGTCATCCATTCTCTGCTACCCTCAGCTCCGTAACAACACATGCTTCATCATCCACTTTATTCATCTGAGTGATGTGCCTGTTTACTTTCAGAAACAGGGAGAAAACAGCCAAGTGCACAGAGGAAGAAGGGAAAGCACAGCAAAAGTAATTTAATTAAAAACTCCCTTGGGGATTGGAGTGGCTAGGAAGCGTTTGAGATGCAGGTACAGAGGAGAAAGAGGTCCAACCAGAGCTAGGATGCTGAGAATCATAGGGAGTAATAGTGTAAGGAAAGAGATTACGCTTATGGGGCTGCCAGGATCCATGATTTGAGCAGGAGGATGAAACGGAGAATGTAGAAACTATGTTGCCATGTGAACCATGCAATCATCTGACCGGTAAGTTCAGGCAAAAATTCACGCACCATGGAAACTGCACTGGGTTGTTTGCTGTGGCATTGTGAAGTCAGCCAGTGTGTGACATAGTTTTTGTAGAGAACAATACCCTGAAAGCTTGCAGATGTTATCATACATTCTATACAAATTATAAAATCAGTTGTAAATTACATGTTACTTGAAAGGTGAGGAATATTAATTGTGCTTCTTTTGTAATCTGAAAATTGGGAGAGGCATATGTTGTTTCTGGTATGTGTGTACCTTCTGAAACTTTTTCTGTTCAGGTTGCTCTGTTGGTCTGAGGTTTGGATGAAATTTGCTGGAATTTGTAGAATTTGTATTCTTGACCCTGCATGCTATGAGGATAGATTGACCAAAACTGGTATCCTCCAGATGATTTAAGCTACCGCTCCCACCATAGCTCACTGTTGACCATGCTAACCAGGGCTGCTGGCAATTCTGGTCCAAAACATCTAGAAGGCACCGGGTGGGAAAAGCAGGAATGTTTTGCAATAAGCAAGAGCTGTACAACTACAATAAAGGCAAGGTCAGAACTTCAGAGGGCACTGGGCCTCCTCCAGGGAAGTGATGGCATTCTTAGACTGCTACTGAAATTAATGGGGTCCTTTGCACAGACAAGGGAATGATGGATACCCCATCGCTTCTATGTGCCAGTATAGAAACCAAGCAGGCTTCCAGAGGAAGTAACCCCTTCCTGAGCTCCCTGCCCCTCTTCTACCAGCTTCCAGTAGGCTGTTAACAAATTTGCAGGCTACTAAAGTCTGTGGGCTTATTTACAAGGTTGCTTGCATCCCCTTGTTTCTCTGCATTGTGACCAGTATTTCCAATTCTAATTGTTCTTAATGTTATTCTGTATGGAGCCTCAAAAGATAACAACAAACCAATGGTATGTGCTAATCCAGGAAGACTTTTCAGCAGCTTCCCTACCATCTAACTTTTTGAATGGTTCCTGTCAAAAAGGCTTACCTTTATTTCTTTATTATGAGTAGCTTTTGTCCAACCTGTTTTATTTTTGTAAAGACTGTGGAAAGGCTATTGTTAGGGTACACTCTCATTGTAGATTTTACTAGAACTTTAGCACATGAATACTAAAGTTTCACTTGAAACTGCAGTCAGAGGCGATGTAAATTGTCAAACTACAATTTCAGCAACAGGTGTGGAGGTCTGCCACTTGGATGAAATTGTGCTGAACTGAAACAGTTCGGGAAGTTGCAAAAGGAAATGGATGCAGATGGATACATTGGTGATGTGATGTGCCTTCAGGATTGTCAGAACCTCGCCCATTTGTTTTTCCTTTGAACTCACTCATTACTGCAGCTGGGTTCCAGTCTTCTACATATATAAACCAACACACTGAAGTCAACACCCCCTCTGAGTACTATGGTTTGCTGGATCAAGATGTTCCTCACATCATCACAAAAGCTACTCTATTAGTGTTTACATTGTGGGTGACCTAAGTTCTGCAGTAATTACATAGCACAGAATCTTTTGTATGTCTTATGAAGACCAGGCTGTAGATAGCCAAGCATATGGTCAAATGGTCAAAGTGTAAGTCCCATCGCAAAGGGCTAGAGTTCTGATACAGCACTGAGGAAGCTCCTACAGAAGACCTAGAGATGGGATATAGAAAGCAGAACCACTATGACAGCCTTCCCAAACTGGTGGCCTTTGGAGACATTTGGACCACAACTCCCAGAATTCTCATCCAGCAGAGCCATTGACTTCAAATTCTGGGTGCTGTAATCTGAATATGTCTGGAAGGCTGCACTCTGATAATTGTAGCAAGCAGAAGATACAGGCAAGAGTCCAAACTAATTAACTCTGAAGAAGGCTGGGCAGGAATACAGTGGATCAACAAGCAGGAAAAAAACCAACGATTATAAGGAAGCTGGGGGACTAGCACTCAGGGAGACCTATGGGTAGATGGGGTCTGATTGACAAGTGCAAGCACCAATGGGAAGGGGAGAGACAGTAGCTACAAAGCCTCAGAAGCAAAACCAGAATCTGCCTTTGCCACATTAAAAAACATAGGCCTTAATTGGACACATTTAACTGGCTCAGTGTAAGAGACAAGCAAGTCAGGGTAGCTGCAATAACAGGATACCTAGAAGAAGCCAGGCCAACAAGGTGCAATTATTATGTAATAAATGATTTCTGATGTATTTCAATTGTCTTCCTCAGGGGAATTTATTCAGATGCTAGCTAGCTAGAAATAGCCACTCTTGTCTGTTGCACACATTTGGAATTCCTTGTTCTGTTAATCTTGACCAGAGAAGAGAAAGGAAATGCCTTGTGCATGCATGTATATGAGAACTCTTGGATCAAGGCCATTGACCTGTACCTCATTCGGTGGACTGTATTTCCCAAAAACTAGACTAGTAAGTGTGGGATCATATATGGGGAAACCTCCAAGGTACTTGATAGTTTTGTTCTGTTAAGTACAGAAAACTGTTGCTAACCAAAATGAATACATGGATGATAAGGTTATGGAGGAGTTTGATGTCAGGAAGAAAAGAGGAAAGGAAAAATTCTTGTATCAGAGGTGTGATACAAGTGTATAAAAGGGGACAAATGGGCACATATTGCTCAGACTGACATTTATGGAAGATCTGGATTGAGTAATAAAATTGTTTCTATAGTAATTCAGCTTTGAAAACTGATCTGAGGACTTTAAAAGTAGGAAGGAAGGCTTTCATATCAACAAAAAATGTACTCATTTTTTCCTGTTTGGCAGCTGTGACAGCATAAGAGCATCCTAGATGAAGTTGTGGAGAAGGGGAGGTGTTTTCTTTTTGAACTTACTGTAATATGCAAATGGCAGCTAGCAATGATCCGTCCAGTTAGTGGGTTTGAACACTGCAGAATTGCTTTTATAAGACACTTTAAATGAGCTAGTCCAAAACTTTTCAAGTCAACATGACACAAACAAGCTGTCCCCTTTTAGGCAATGAGACTTCCTTTGAATTTGCAGGATGGATGTCCTATTGCTGCTTAGAACCCTCATGTTAACGAAAATATCTTTGCAGGCCATGATAAAGAGGAAAATCTATGTAGGAAATGTTCTTTTTTCACAGACTATTGCAGTACTATAGTATATGGAATGCAAGAGAAAAGTCCCACATTCAGTCACTAGTACCTCCAGAGGAAAGACTCTCAGCTGGGCTGGGAAAAAGTCTGCCTGAGGCCCTGTAGAGTCAATGCTTGTCAGAGCAAACTACCCAACCCTGGCTGCTCTGCAGCATTAGGGGTCAGCTTCATACATTCCTTAAAATATGCTTTTTGTAGCTTTCTAGCTTTTTGCAGCTGAAAATGATAGTCCTGAAGAACAGCCAGAATTTCTGGAGAGCATCTTTGGCAACGGAATCAAGAGCAAAGGAGGGAAAAGGCCTAGACTTCCAGGCTCTCCAAAGTCCTGTTAGCACAGATGCTATGCACCCAGTGCCCTTCCAGGCTGACAATTTTACAATACACCTCAGGGTTTGCCCTGGGAGTGCCCGGCTCCTGACCTCTAATTTTAAATGTTATAATTTATTCATACTTTTAATCCATGAGGAGCATTTGCTTCTGGTTTTTTTAGGAATATTCCTTATATTCCATCGCATATTTGTCATGTCCTTCCCAAGGAGTTCTCAGTGCCAGCCGGTTTGCATATATGACAGTTCCCACGCTGAGCCCATCAACAATTGCATGAGGGTCACAGTCTCTCTCTGAAATAATTTCTGTTTAGTTGTTTGCTGTGGAGGGATTGTTACAAAATATTTTTCCTCTCCTGCTAATGAGGGTTATATTCAAGGCATGAATGATGGGTGTAAGTCTGGGTTCATTGTGTAAACACAGGTGCAGAATTTGCCCTTCTGAGAATCCTTATAAGCATTCAGTAAATATAAAGAACTAAAATAAGGTTTCTTAGCTTCAAAGATATGTTTTATAACTTGAAAATCCATATCGTGTGGAATATTGTATATTCTCTCACCTCAAAATATGTTTAATTTTTTGCATGTGCTGTTGAATATTGTTGTTATAACATATAGTTTTATTTCCTCACAAGTTAAGATTCTGTCAGTCCTAGGGCCTGAAAATGCAATTATTCCTAAGTAGCATACTTCTTAATCTGCAGTTAAGCTAAGTTTATTTTGGTTTAAATTATAGACCTAAGTACAATTATAGGGATGTCTGTTTTAGTATGAACTGAAGAATTGAGCTCTACAGACTGGCCTTTCTGCACTGGCACCTGAAGATGTGTGGAGCTCCACATTCATGGGGTTTCTCATTCCCTTCTGTGAGCAAGGGATTACTTTGCACACAACAAGGAAGTTTTGGTCATGTATGGAGCTTTTCATGCAGGAGGATGGGAAGACCCTGCACACATAGGGCTTTGGATGATGGATTGTGCCCCAATTCCTTCGTGCTTTGATATTCAGAACTCCCATGACAGTGAATTTCTTCATTTACTTGAACAGATGGAAGCCTGGTGAGCTATCCTTTTCAACTGATTTGAGATGCCCCCATTGTTCCACAGCTTCTGTATGTACACTGGGCTTTTTATGTTTAATTGTCAAGTAAAGGAATGGTCCTGAAAAGCATATTACTTGAAATGTTTTTCCTGGAGCATTCCAACTTCCATGACTAGAGTGTCACAACACACAGTTATGCCTTTACAGATGTTTGTGACAAGACTCCTAAATACAGTCCCCACAAGTCAGCTGGTTTGGACTGTTAAGGGAGCAGAAATTATTCTCAAGTCAGTTATCCTTGAGTAGGTTCATTTTTAAGTGTTTTCATCCCAGCTAACTTTGCTACAGGATTCTTGTATCACAAGTTTTTCAGTCTGAAGATCCTGGTCCTTTGAAACCAATGGGACTTACTTGGGGGTAAATGTATTTACAGTTGTAAGGATGTTTTTGCAGTCTCAGGTTCCTGGTTAGCAACTGACTGATCCAGTGAGGACACATGGTTAGTAACAGCACTCAGACCCGACTGATGAGCTCAACATTTATTGAAAAAATTGACACTTATATACAAGTTGTTTATTTGCAGTGTAAATGATGGTTATTTTAATTGATTTGTGTTAACTTTTGACAAAAATAGATATCACTCTCAGCAACTCAGAGTCAAGATCTAGTGTATGCATTAGTGGCTTTAGGAAAAGTGTTACTAGCTGAAAGTGTAGAAGGTCTGTGCTTTTGCAGAATTGTTTGCATTTAAGAAATGTACAGTTTAGGTATGCAAGCTGCTAATCTGATTAGAGGGTCTAAAAAGTAGGCAGGATATAAAGTAAACTGTCTGAATGAGCTGCATAGTATTACATTTGCATTTTGCAAGTAAAGAGACAAAGCTTATTGGATGTAGTATCTTTTAGGTTTTATTTTTGGAGTTTTAAAACATGTAAACTTGAAAGATTTTGGTAGGGTGAAATGTATGTGTAGAGAAATAGAGTGGGAAGGGATTGTGCAGGAAATTAGAAGAGATTGCTTGCTTTATTTTCTGTTTTATTTTTGTAGTAGTTGTCACTTGAAATTAGTCTCAACGATGGATATCTAAACCAATCTCTCTGATTTCTTGTCATTAAAATAAGTGTCAGTTTTGATAACATTGTATGTAATAAACATTTGTGTGATAATTACAGAGCATTCTGTTTGTTGGCTTGCCAGGTGACAGCACAAACTTTGTGCTGATGTGCTCCAGCCATGATTCTATCCATCTATCTAGATGTCTCTGTATCATATTTATATCCCACCTTTCTTCCATCCTGGAAGCCAGCTACACATGGTTCCCAGGTGGTTTCCCTCCAAGCCAGATCTGCTTAGCTTCAGCCATAACCATTATAACCTGCTGATGTCTAGACATCAAGCTGTTAAAGACACAGTATCCAAGGCTGGTAAAAATTGGTAATCTAATTGTTGGACCATAAATTAAAGCAGCAGGTTTAGGAAAATGTATTCTTATGTCTCAGTATAATGGTGTATAGTTCAAAAATACAAATTCTATTGAAGATCAATGGTTTAAGCCCAACTACAGGAAAATATGGGTCCACTACGTATCCTTATATAAATCCATGACTGAGGGGAAAATACATTATGAAGAGATTTGCTTTAATTAGTCTAATAATTACTGTTTTTTCTTCTGTTCTTTATTCAATTAATTATAAATTAAATAGGTAGAAGGTGGGGTGGAATTCTGGGAATACTGAGTGAGAAACTGAGAAATTCAAGCTGTCTTAAAGCACATCATGAAGTTGAAGTCCTAAATAATTTCCTGTTACTCTGCAGGGATTCATCTTGTTCAATTGAAGAAACATCTCTTGCTAGGTGATGCTAGTTTAGAGCCTAAGGTTATGAATTTATAAAAGCCTTCAGGCACTCTCCTATGGGGATATCCATACTTGGAGGATTATGGGCATCTCATGCAAAGCAGGGGGAGTGCAAAAGTAAAGGTTGCCTCAGTGCATCTCTTGCTCTGCAAACCAGGATTGCTATGCCAATGTATAATGTTACAGTGTTCAATCATGTTATTAACCGATTTCTGATATTCATATACTGTATTTCTGATGTGTGTGAGTATTTAGCTGCTCCATACTAACTTTAGTGCAATTTACCTAAAATAATACAATTTAAATGCAAACTTTGGCCCAGTCTCTCAGAAGGTACATCAGTCAAGTGCTCTGACCATTGAAAGTCTCAGAACCTAGATAGTTTTAGAATTTGATCTGGAGGTTAAGCATCAGTCTAAAAGATGCCTCCTGTATACAAGTGAAATGAGCAATCCTAGGAGCCACTGCATTTGATCAGTAATACAATAGGGTGCACTGTAGTGGTAAGAAGACCACAGTGGGTTCCGATTCCAGCCAAAATGCTGCTGCAGTCGTGTGTGTGTAGAGGATGTGTCACAGCCATTCACTGCTTCCTGAGTAGAAATGCAAAAGATGGTACAGTTAGACCTGAGATTTCTGGAGCAAGACGCAGAGACATTTTTCTGCTCCATTGCTTTTAAATGACTTGCAAGCAGAATCTGACGGCTATGCTAAGCATACTATGCATTAGGGTGGAGTTTTAATGAGGTTCCTGCTGAGGCAAATGGAACTATAATCATCATTGTGAACTGAGTAACTAGGCTTTATCTTAGTCAAATCACTGTATGTGAAAATACATTTTTATGTCATATGATATTAAAATGTTTACCTGAGTTGCAACTGCACCATTTAGAGTCTCATCTGCACCAGGTACCATAATATGAACTCACTGTTCATTCAACCACATCCTAGAAACAAAGAAGCAAAGTGAGTCAGAAGGGGCCTCCAGCTGGCACCACTCATGTAATCCCCAATCCTGTTGTTTTTCATATCTGTATTTGATCTACCTGAACTACTATTTATTTTCAAAGATTCATTCATTATCTTGATCCAGTGCCTTTTCTCATTACCATTGAAATGGGCTATGCTTCTCAGTCTAGCAAGCGGAATCTAACTTCTTGAGCCATAATGCCTAAACACTAAAAATGTACATCTGATATCATGTTCCTCCACCATAGTCTGGTTTTCCAGCATCCCATCCTTTCTCAATTGGTTACAGAAAGCAACAGTTGGCATATCTAATATAAAGTATCCACACTTTATGTAGATATGGTGTTATACACATGCACATACCTGAGAGTAAGTAGTTCTGAAAAGCCATGGACAGGATCTTGTTATAAAAACAAGCTCTGTTGTGTGGCAACACTGATATTCTGGAATTTTGTTCCCTAACCACATTTTATGCTTCATGTCTGAGATCAGAAGCTACTTTATGTTAACATGGCTGAAGTGTGTCACAAGTTATTGGTATTGGTTTGCTTTTCAGAATAGGCACATGCTACTACTTTGCTTGGCTTTCATCACTACTTTCTGAGACAGTCAACAACATAAAGAATCATACTGATGATCTTTTAGACAACTGGATTCAGCAATTATTGAAGAGTAATGATTCAGTGTTAAGCTACTTTGACTAGAGCTCAGGGCCTCTTTCAATCTGTGGGCCAAATTCCTCTTTGGAGATGCTCTCAAGGAATGCATTCCAGGAGTAGGTGGGGCCAGAGATAAAAGGCGAGGGCTCAAAAATATCAGCATAGTTTAGTTAGGGCTCTCACTGCAACAAGGAAGTCTTAGAAGGTGCATTTGACCTTCTAGAATGAGGGGACATGCAAAAGCTGGATGATAGGACAACCAACCAAGCCTCCCTGGAAGATCTGAGGTCAATCTGGTGTATACAGTGGGAAATGGTTTTTATGCCACAAATGTACCTCAATTATTCTTTGTGGTCTCTATGCATCACACATATGGACTCTGCACAACACAACTGTACCTCTATTTTGTAGCATTCATAGCTTTCATATGAGGTCATCGCCTTTCTCTCAATTTGGGGCTGACCTACACATTGATTCACTTTAAGGCTGCAAATATGAACCTGGCCAGACCAAGTCTTATTAATCACGACTGTAATTCTATGTGCAAACACAGGAAGCCCTGAGATTACTCTTGCAGCCTCCATATGGGACACATGCATTTCTCCCAGGCGAAAGGTGAAAATCCCTTCTTCAGCTCAATAATGTGGTATTATGGTAAATAAACAATGTGTTTTACCCCATTTTGCAACCTAACAAACTGCCAGAACATAGTAATTTACAAAATCAGAATAAAATAGCCCTTACCTGCAGCCTTAGAAGCCAGAAGACACAACACAAAAGGAAAACAAAGGGAAGGGAAGGAGGAAAATTTACACAAGATGATTATTAGTGGAGGCCACTTTGATTTAAATAGCTGAGGTGACTACACCTAACTCTTCCCAAGGGTAAGTATCTATCAATTGTGTCACACTGGTTTCCTTGGGTAGTTCATTTTTAAGCCAGAGGTTCAGGAAGAACAAGTAGAAATTCCAACAAAATGTTATTGTCTGAACTCATCATGATTACTACTCTACAAAGTTAGCTGTGCCTAGATCTAAGATGGTCCATACCATTTCTATTTCCATCTGATGTCCTATTTTACTCCCCCAGTAGCCAACATTCTGTGGTTTGTTCAACCCTTTTCTCTCCCTTAGGACAGAATTCTACCTGTGTTCAGACAAAGATCCTACAACTCCCAGCATGCCCTTGCTTTCATGTGACATACAAGCACCTTGCACTTCACGTGAATCCTTGCACTTCATGGGATCCGACACCCCTTGGGGAGGCCCTGCATAGCTCATAAATAGAAAATGCTGTCAATCTTTAGCTTTCTCACTGCACTGTGATACAACCCAGTGATGCAGTCAGGGAGGGAGTTCCTATCTAGAGTCCCATTCAGGAGAATGAGCAGGAAGGGCAGAAGGTGGCCTAGATTACCACATTCTGAAGTGAGCAAGTAATTTTCAGATTTGTTTGCCAGTGTTTGAGCCAGTGTGTTGGGTTAGGATACCATTTAGTTGAATCCAGACTTTATTTCCTATATTCCTATGTACCTTTAAAAAAATAAAGCTCAGAACACAGTTGTGGCAAGCCATAAACAAAAAAGAAAACTTACATGTCTCAAAACAGATTTGTAGTCTAAAGACAACTTTGCTATTGTGAGGTATGTCAAGTTCTCTCCAATTACAGCACCTAGCAAGCTGTGGATTATGGGCCTGCTTTGGAGTGGGGGGAGGGGGAATTCGGGCTTTCTAAGAACATTTTGAACTACACAATGACATTTATTTATGGTTTTTGTATGCTGTCCCAATTACTAAAAAAGTCTCTGGGAGGCTTACAGAGAGCAAACCAAAAAACCAGAACCCATAACAATGACAACACACATCTTTAAAAAATGTGATTATATTTCTCATGCACTACAATATAAACATGCATTTTCTTTGTGTGCATATATATTTTGTTGTTTAGAGTCACATTCTGTGAGATTCTAGCTATGGAGAACCAGAAAAAAATCCTCAGAATGGAGCATTTGACTGCACTAATTCAGAAGGTTATAGCCTTTTTATTTTCCCAGTATTTTAAGGTTTAGATTGAGATTTTAATTGGGTTTTTATTGTATAGTATGGATGCTGTGCTCCACTTTGTTTTAGTGTAATACTACCCCGAGACCATTTGGTAGTAGACGGTAAACAAAAGTTTTAAATAAATAAATTTAATACTCAGATTATATGCGGGTCAATAGAAAGAGATGTATACCTTATAGTGAGGACTGTTCATATGCAATTTTATGCACATTAAATTATAGAACTATTGATTTCTTCTCAGTAGGGTGCAAGCAAAACAAACACCTTGTCTGGAAGTACCTTCCATCAGATAAAACAGGATGGAATAGCTGCACATCTTAGCATCTACTGACTGGTAGCACTTGGGCTTTCCTACCATCTGGGAATACTCTTGGGGAGTCCAGTCTGGAAAATCATTTAGATGAGACAATCTATTCTCCCTTCTTCAGATCTAGGGAGTCCAGGGAATTCAGCGATGGAGTGAAGGTGTGGAATGCCACTGTAGAGGTTCCCAAATTGCAACCCCATAAATGTTGCTCATTCGACTAATTCGGAGCTCACCCCAATATAAGGGATAAAACTGGTGCTACAATTTGAATACTTCTAAAGAGGGTGGGGAACACTTGGCTTCTCTACTGTAGATCCAGGGATTCATGAAAGCCTCATCTGGCAGCGCATAGTTCTTTCGGCCTATGAATAAAGGGCATAATCCTCTTCATAGACAGAAATAAAACTTACAATTCCTAGCATTCCGCAGTCAGTATGCTGGGAGTTGTAAGACCCCTCCAATGAACGGAGTTCTACGTTGCTAGATCCGAAGCTACAGCAGCACACTTTAAGCGCCAAGCTCCTAATTTAGACGCGTCTTGCGCTCTCGTTTCCACTAAGCAGTACAGTCTGATTCCAAGTGAGGGCAAGCAAGAAAGGGCAGCCTGCTTCGATGGCGGCGGTTGAGCATGCCCAGGTGTCACGGAGCATGCTCAGTAGTATTTGATGTTAAAAACTTGACGGGCAGCAGAGAAAAGGGTTCAGCTAGGCCGGGCTGATTGTGTCCGAGTGGGTGCCGGGGTCTCTACTCGCCATGGGGAAAAGGGATAACCGGGTGGTGAGTAAGTCAGGTCGCCATGGTGGAGACTTGCTTGGGGCTGCAAGCTTTTGCGGGAAGGGCCGTCGGCGCTCCTCTTCGACTGGATGGAGATGGGAGGGAACGACGTGGGGCGGCGGGTTCGCTTATGTGTGTGGGGTAGGTTGTGGTTTTGGGGGGGGGTCGGGATGTGTGAGATGCGTTACCTGTCACACCCATGACAGACTTTTCCTAACCCTCAGCTGGAGAAACAAGCACGCGCTCTTAAAAGTAGCCCCAGTTCTGATGGTTTCGAGGACCTTTGGGGAGGCTTTGTGTGTTGTGGCGGGGAGTGGGGGGACTTTTTTGTTTTTTGGCTTGAGGTGCCTTCGAGAGATGTGGGTTAACAAGCTTTTTCCTTGATTCGAAGGCAAAGAGCCTGGGCCCGGAGTACAAGTGAATGTGCTGGATTGTCAAATTGAATTGTTATGCGACAGGAATGAAATTTAGCACGGGGTTCTTCATAGGGATGCTTTCTTTGTACGAGGATAGTTGTGGTGGTGATTATACTCAAGTGATCCCTGTGCATTAAAGGCTTTGATGATTGAAAAAAATTGACTTCCTTTTTTTATTGTATTTGAATAATTAATTCCATTGTTGTATCTGGTGTTTTTCACCTTTGGGACTAGAGGCTTGCTAAATCACCCCGCGTTGTGATGTGGCTAGATTTAAGGAATGCATTGTCGTTATTTATTTTTTATGATTATTGCCAGAAATAATAATAATTGTTGTGGTGTACAATTCATGGAGTGAGAGAGGGAGGAAGAGAATTATAAATGCTTCAAGAATGTGACTAAAAATTGGTGCTATTACTTAATTGTTATGTCTTAAGCATCTTCTAGTGTTGCATTTGTTAAACTCAACATAACACTCAAACCTGAGTACAAAGCATGAATGATTAGTGGCACCTGTAACTGCTGAGGCATTTGTTTCTGTTAGCACAGACTAGAAACATGTGTGCTTGCATTTTGTATGTTATCACTGAAATATTCAAAAGTATCTTAAAAGAAAAAATGCTAGTGATCTTTTTGCAGAATAATCTTCCTTTGCTAAGTAAAGGCAGGTAATTGTAAACTAGTTTCTTTCTGAGATCAGATGTTGAAAATTAGCGGATTGCACAGATTACTGGGATTCTGTATAACAGGTGGCAAAAAAGATTTTTCCTAGTGGAATTGTGCTAAAGCTCTAAATGTGACTTTTGGCACAGACACAACAAAGCAGTGTTAATTTATTATTTAAAATATTATAGACTGTCTTTCAAGGTAAACATCCTTAAGTTTGTCTTCTGTACATTAAACTGATCATCATAGTTTCACTTTTTCAAAATGAAGATATTAGGTTAAGTCTCATGCTATATCTTGAAAGGATAGAATAACTGTCATTTAGACGGGTTTAAAATCTGGCTCTGCATATGATGGGGAAATAGCGGTGCACAGACATTTTGAGTTCATGGATGTATTTACATGCAAATATACTAGACACCCCTTCTCTGTATTCAGCATTTTAACAATGAACTTGAGAGAGGACTGAAATTTGGAGAACTCTAGCACGTATGGGTGCATGCTAATAATTTTAAAAGATATCTTCCTCAAATGGTAAAAGTGGGGACAGTAATTTATACTGTTCTTATGTGACTTACAAGGCCAGAGTCAAGAAAATAGGAATTGTAGCTGGCAAATAAGGCAGAACTTGCATATATTGGCCTAACTGTCCTGTGCCTGAACTGCCAAGATTCATGTGAACAGAATGCTGAATTTGAACATAAGCATAATCTCAGTTCGGCCATGGTCCCAGTTCAGATGTACCTATCTCCGTCTAATACACCATGGTTTAAGTATTTATTAAATTTCTTTACCACTCAGTAGCCAAACCACTTTGAGCAATTCAGTAACAGACTTAAAAACAACAGAAACTGAAAGACAGCAATGCCTGGGAAAATAAAAAGGTCTTCACCCGACACTGAAAAGACCTCAGTGTAGACACCTGGCAAGCTGTTGCACACGTTTTTCCATAACTCGGGTGCACAACAGAAAAGGTCCTTTCATTAGTAGCCAACCACCATCAGTTAGCAAGGTACCTGGAAACAAACTTTGCTCCATTATTCCTCCTTTCTTTCTTTCACTGTAATTAAATACTTGTGGGTTTTAATCCAACCACCCTGTGTAAATTTTACTTTTTTTAGAAGAATGTTACCTACATGGCAGTTCACACTAGGTCTCCTCATTTCACCCGTTCACCATTTACAATTTTCTTTCCATACATAAAAAGTACATAATATCCCCTCCTCATTCCAAAATAGAACCTAACCCAATTCTTGGTTATTAGGTAACCAATATAATGTGTAGGGGTACCCTGCCCCAAAAGAAACCCTACATGTAGAGTGTTAGGTTTCTGTGTCCCTACAGAGTTATTTTTCTTGAACAACCCTCCAAGATTGTTTGGTTGGGGCCGTTTGGGTGCTTTTCATTGCCTCAGTTAATGTACTGAAGTTAAAAAAAACTTTGTATACAAGAAAGCAGAAGTAAGTGCACCTCCATAACTACAGATATGGCTTTGCTATAGAACATTTTACTACCCCAAAAATGTATTTGAATTTGGTTTTGGTGTAGTTAAATGCTCCCAAAACCAATTATATCAGTTTTTTTGATTTTGTTCAATGGAGGTTAAATCACAGTTTTGTAGTTCAGATCTCATAGGAAATTGTGGTTTTAATGCCTCTCCCCAAGCAGTACTGAATCATGGTACAATAGAGAATGAAGGAGAGAAAAGGAGACAGGAATGCCTGGGCTCAACATTCATTCTTGACTTAATATACCCAGGTTATATCTGAATGGGGGTATTTTCTTCCTTAGTGACATAAAGAGTTAAGAACCTTTCCATTATCTGACATAAACCATGACACAGAACTGCTGACAGAATTGAGAGTTAACTTATAAAACATTTCTCATCCACATGGTTAATGTTACTAAGTTAGACTGCGCATTCAAAATTTGTCTAAGATACAAACATCCCTCATTTTTACTGCCTTGGTTATGTGTGTGTATCTTGAGCAGAATGATTTTCAGGGTCTGCACACATTTTCTGCTGTGTTAGAAAAGAAAACTACAGCAAAAAGTCAGCATGGTCAAAGAAATGACTATAATAATTATGTGACACTTAATGTATGCTCTATTTAGAAGTCAACACTTTTAACAGTGATTTGAGAGGAGGCAGCTGTGAACAACTGGACTTTCTTCGACTTTCCAAAATACACTGTTGTAACATTTTTCACATACACACACATGTGTGCGCATACATATCCAGACTTTAAGTAAGTCTGTCAACCTATTGACTTTTGTGGTTTGTCTAGTTGCCTATAGAATACATTTTTTGAATTTGAAAAAAAAGGTGGGGGAGGCTCCATAAATAAGTAAGAGTATTATTTGTAAGGGCCCCAAAGTGGAATGATCTGATTATATCCCTCTTTATTTTATCATCTTTAAGGCTTATATGAATCCCATAGCAATGGCTAGATCACGGGGGCCTGCTCCATCTTCTGGACCTACCATACAGGACTACTTGAACAGACCAAGACCAACATGGTATGTATGGAAATGCTGACTGTTCTCTTTTTATAAGAGCCCCTACTTTTTGCTCTGATCCAGCATGGACAGTTATATGTGTAAGCACATATTTTGCAATAAAGGAATGAGCTGCCATGAGTCTTCGGTTCAAGCATTCCCCCACTCCATACATTTTCAGTGTGAGGTGGGGTGAAATTGAAATTAACTTTTTAAAAATCTTGAATATACTGCAGTTTACCATGCATCTGAACTCAAGAAACTGGTTTATTCTAAGTGTGGTTACTTAACAAGCCAATATTGAGTCTACATTATTCATGGTTTGTTAGAACAAGTGCTATTAGACAAATTTTCCAAGTTTGGTTGTAACATGAGGCTACAGATTATTCAAAGAACTTTTAATCTCTTTCCTTTCCTTCCTTTGTGCTGAAAAAGGAGGTAAAGAAACACCCATCAGAGCCTGAAACTTGCAACAACTTGTTCTCATAGCAAAAGCTTGGTTTAATGTTAAATTTGAGTCAGGCTTGTAGAATAAATTGACAGATCTCAAGCCATTCTCTTTTGTAAAATAAGGGGACGGCAGAGGTTGAGGTGTCTAGATGGAGTCAGTGGGACAGGGGGTGTGGGCTTAGGTGGACTCTGGGGGATGGTGGAGGACGGGAGAGCATGGAGGAATGTTGTCCATGGGGTGATGATGGTTCGGGTGCAACTTTGAAACTAAACAGATATTTAAAATTACCACTTTTTAGCAGCCAGTGCCTCAAAACTATATTTGATAGCATTAAGGTTGTAATCTGAATCATATGTACTTAAACCAAGTAACAGAACATATTCTTTGAAAATATTGTTAAGGTTGGGCTGTAATGTTGAAATGTACTTCACATTTGTGTCTTAGATTCTAAATTAATTTAGCCTAGTTAAAGAAATACATGGAAGGAAGGTTTCTCATCTATCCTATCTCCTCTTCTTTTCAAGTAACTCCATCCTGCATTGTTCATGGCTCCCATTTCCCCCAGAAATTAAGTTCATAAATAGAACTATGATGGGTCAGACCGAAAGCTTGTCCAGTCCTGTTCCACAAAGTGGCCAGTCAGAGACCTCTGAGAAGTCCAATGGCAAGACATGAGGGGAAATATCCCTTTCCCACTATTGGTCGCCAGTAACTGGTATTTCAAGGCATGGTGCCTCTGATGCTGTAGGTAATACATAACCATCATGTTTAATAGCCATTAGCCTTATTCTCCATAGATGTAGAATTTGGAAACTACATAGATTTGGAAACTATCCATGTTGGTAGCCATCTTCACAGTGGAATGCACAGTGAATTTTCTGGGCATGAATGGCATAATTTTACTCTATGTTGTGCAACTAAGCACTTCCTTTTATCTGTCTTGGCTCTCTCACCAAGAATAAAAAATTTCCGGATAGACTTTTGAAAGGCCACATATGGCTGAAGAGGGGAGAAAGGTACAATAAACTATTCTGTGAACTTACTTATCTTAGGATCAAAGCCAGTGGGGTTGTTTGCACTTAACAGGGTTACTTAGCAGCAAATCATGTGTTAATTAGCCCACAAATTGCATGGTTACAACTAGCAACTGCCTACAGATGTGGTATACATAGGTTATTGCAGGAAAGTGCAAGCAGTCCACCTGTGCTACACATCCCCATATTTTATGGGTTGGTTAACCCAACATTTTCCACCAAAAGCGTTATTTATACACAAAGTCCATATGCCAGACTTGTTGAATTTGCAGGTGTATCCCTTACAGATTTTTGTACATGTGTTTGTTTTCACTAAAGGGAAGAAGTAAAAGAACAACTAGAAAAGAAGAAGAAGGGTTCTAAGGCCCTAGCAGAATTTGAGGAAAGGATGAATGAGGTTTGTTATTTGGATAACTTTATATGCATATGGATTGCTTAAATTTTCCACTTTTCCATTAGCAGTGTAATGAAATATCCTGTTCTAGCTATCTGTTGTCTTCCTACATGTTTTTAAAAACCATAGTAGCATGACAGAAAATGCTGCTTATTGAGTTCCTTGGTAGTCCACTATTATTACCTGGTATTGTTTGATATTAAACATATTAGCTTCTAATATACAGGGCCTTAATTTTACAAACTGCTTCCATCTGTAGCAAGTTCTGCCCAGCAAGGGCAAAAATGTAAAGCTCAGTTTCTGAAATTCCTTTAAAATTAGCTCAAATGAAGTGTTTAAAAAAGTTTATAATGTACTTTAACAATCGCTTTGTCAGTGCAGCTGTCTTACATTTCCCAGTGAGAGGTGACATGTAATGTTTCATGTTGAAGACTTTATAACCAAGAAGAAACTGAAAACCTAACAGAGGGAACAGAAATAGAATTACAAACTCTCATTCCAAGGGGCAACTAGAATAGCCCAATAATGTGCAGACAGAGCCTTTTTCTTACATCAGTGGGAACATCCCAGTCATATACAAATATGCTGCGAACAATAAGAGGTAGGACCTGATCACGTGAGAAGTTAACTTTTAGTGCTTTGTGTCTTGTACACTAGCCACCACTGAATGAATTAACATGAAAAACAACATCCTTGGATGTTGCCCCAGTTTCGAGGTTCCAGATTTTTAAAAATCTCCTTGCCTTAATTTCTCATTGTTGTCACTTATCCCTTTAAAAATTATTTCCTTCTCAGAGTTTGTTTACTGTGGTATTGAAACTCTACAAAACCAGGGAAAGAGCTCTCCAGGGAAAAGCTTGTAGCTAAGTGCTAGATTGCATGCTTGAATGTAGAAGGCGCTTCTACATTCAATCCCCAAACCTCAGCTTAAATGGAAAGGGAGAATGAAAGATCCCCCTATGAATCCTTGGAGAAATACTCCCAGTCAGATAACACTATTTATAAGCTCCAGGTTTATATAGTCTGTATTGTCACCTATTTCCATGGCCTGGAATATGGACACTTTAGCATATTTGTTAATAAAGGAAAGAAGCTGACCACCTGCTCTGTACAAGATACTTAATGTGCAAAGCAGAAAGGTTTTATATGTAACACTTCAGGACAAATAACTGGAGGCGTATTTAAGTTAAAGCATGAGGAGTATTTCTGACCCCCTACTTATTTTTAACTGAGTATAAGATAGCAACTGAACTGTATCAGAAGAAACTGCTTTTTCATTTGTTTGTTCATTACATTTCTGTATCACTCAACTGCCAAAGCTGTCCAGATAGTTCGCAGAAATCAAAACCATAGAACACAGCATGGAAAACTTAATATAATATAGCACAATCCTGTGGATGCTAGACAACACCTATATGGTCATAGGAGTGTTTGGCATTCCAGCTCCAATCTCAGAAACTTGATCCACTGTCATCAGTGGAATGTCTTCCTTTGCCCTCTTAGCCTGCACAAAAGAACTGTGTCAAGTTCAGCTCTGTGGTCACAAAATGGGACTCTAGAGGCAGAGAAGAGTGGGGGAACATAAGAAGTATCCTGGTAGTGCTTCGCACTGCTTCCCACCCACTTTGAGGCTGAACCCTTAGATAGCTGAAATTGGCCATCTCAGTGCTTTGTATGGTGGGGAAGTGCAGAGGCAACATTTGCCTCTGTACCTCTTCCACCATGCATGATTTGGGGGATTATGGCAGTCTCATTGGATTGTGCTGTAACAGTTTTAAAACAGAATAAAACCAGAGTAAGGACAAGCAGCAGAGAAAGTTCTAAAAACACAATAATGTACATTAAAAAACAAAACTGAACAACTGAAAGGCCTAGAAAAATAAAAGGGTTCTCATCTGATGCCAAAAAGAAGACCGCAGTGTAGGTGGCAGCTGAACCTCTCTCTAGGGAGAGTATTCCATACCAGAAATGCCCTCTCCTTAGTAACCACCTCCCGTGCCTCATGTGGCATAGGCACCCAAAGGAGGCCTCTGAAGATGTTCTTAGGGTACAGGATACTTTTAGAGAGACTACTTGTTTAATATTCTGAATAGAGGTTAACAAAGGCTACCTGAAAATTATCCATGATTTCTTTCAATGTCTTGCAGAACTGGAAAAAAGAACTGGAAAAACATAGGGAGAAATTGTTAGGTGGAAGTGAGAGTACTTCCAGAAAGAAAGAGGTAAGAGTCTTTGGTGTATTTATGTAGTAACAATGGAGTCTGAATTTTCATATTGTGATCATCTGCAAGTGCAATATCATAACTATTGCTGCAAAACACCTCAAAATGAAGATTCCTAACTTAATTGGTGGCATGCATAATAACCACACTAATGAATGATCAATTGGTTCCTTTTAGAAAAAGAAAAAAGAGAAGAAGAAATCCAGTAGGGTGAGCAAAGATTTCACCTTTTTTTCCCCAACCTCTGTGTAGATTAACATTTTACCTAAAGACTTGTCAGTAGAGGTAAACTGGATTTTTCAGAAGTATGTTTTAATATCTTCTTGTGTTTTCTAAACCTAAATTTTGTTTTGAAGTCCATCTGGTATAACTTTACTTACTATTTCTTAGGAATTATTCTTTTGGAATTTAAGACAATAACTGTGAATCTAGGAACTTGCTCCTTCTTCTAGGGCTGTGAGCTGTTCATTATTGTATTTCTTAAACATATTCTGCATCTCACAAACTCACATTTTGTTGTCTTTGGTCAAGTTGTCTCCATCTTCCTCCTCCTCATCAAGCTCTGATTCTTCCAGCAGTTCTTCTGATTTTGAAGATGAGGTAAGAGTGCTATTACTGGAAATGTAACTTTCTATAAACTTGTGTCAGCTTAATTTTCTTCTTGGTGTGTTGATGTATAGTTTATATCTAATGCAGAACAAATTTGAACTCTCAAGATGTCACTTTCATTGGAATGAAAGCAGTCTTTTAAGGAATACTTTATCATTTTCACTCTAACTTCTTTGAGCTAAATATTAGGTTGGATCCAACATTCCTGTAGGAACTCTGCTCAGACAATACCCTACTGGAAAAAATGAGGAAGAGTATTTTTTTCCCCCAGCAGTCCCCTGAAAATCTATTCCAAAGAGTTAGGGAATCCTTCAGAACAGCATAGACACTGCTGTAGGAAGGTATAAAAGAAAGGTGTAATTACTTTTCCCTCCTTTCCACATTCTTCTAGCACAGAGGTTCAGAACTTCAGAGGTCAAATTCAGCTGTTCTTCAGGAAGCCATTTTCCTTCCCTTGACCCTACCATCTTACTTTCAAGTACCAATTGTTTAGTGGGTTCCTGGTTTTTACAGGCTTTTATATCCCCCCTATTGCCAAGTGCTCAGGACGGCTTACAAAATATAAAAGTGCAATATAAAATATAAAAATACAATATAAAACATCAATTACTAAAACAATATAAAACACATCACAACTTAAGAAAAAGGAGGAAAAAATAGAAAGTGCGACTGTGAAGGGAAAAATCCTAAAACATCTAAAAGTGGTGGTTATTAAAATAGTGGTCGAATAAAAAGGTCTTTACCTGCCACTGGAAAGAGTATAACGTTGGCGCCAAGTGGACCTCTCTGGGGAGCAGATTCCAAAGTCTGGGTGCCACTGTGGAGAAGGCCCTCCTCACCCAGCACAAGCCTCCACTGGACTCCTCTCTGAAAGGAAGGAGCTTTTTTGTTTGCAGAAGGACAACTCATGATCCATTCTGTTGTCCATGAGCCAAAGAGATCCATATACACAGGAAGGCATGCAGGGAGAGCTGCATGGGCTCTTGGTTCTTAGTCATTATTTTTATTTTATTTATTTATTTTTCCGATTTATATCCTGCCTTTTTCCAACAAAGGGCTCAAGGCAGCTTACATCATTCTCCTTCTCCATCTTATCCCCACAACAACAACCCTGTGAGGTAGGTTGGGCTGAGAGTCTGTGACTGGCCCAAAGTCACCCAGATGGCTCCATGGCTGAGCGGGGACTAGAACCCTGGTCATCTGAGTCCCAGTCTCATGCTCTTAACCACTACACCACACTGGCTCTCAGTGGCAATAGATCCCACCTATTTGATTTAAAGAATGGTTCCAATCTGGGGAGGGACTTTTGTTGACTTGGCTGAATCCCTTCCTTTATATTTGCTGACCTATTGTCAACTGGATAATGTAAGATTTGTTGGGAGCCGCCCCGAGGCTTCGGCGAATGGGGCGGCATATTAGTCCCCTAAATACATACATACATACATATTTGCAAAATCTCCCAGCAATGAAGGGAAAAAGGGGAAAAGCTGTTCTTCTCAGAGTGACATTAGATGGGGTGAACTGGAAAGGAGAAACAGCACATTGAATTGGTTTTTAACCCTTTCTCTACCTGCTGCTTATCCTTTACAATCACACCACCAGGTATTTTCCTAGCCAAGTTTCCAACTTGTGTATGTGGACTATTGTAAACTGCACAATGAGTTTCAGTCGTGGGGCAGTACAGAAATGAAAATAATAATCATAATGAGTATGCATCCCTAGCTGTTAGGGAAGTCTCAGTGGAAAGGTGTTGGGGAAGAGCTAAGAACTCTCTTCTCCACTGATCACATCTTTAATGCAGATCACCTCTTCTTGTTGCTTCCTGGAAGAGAACTATTGAAGTTTTTTAATACACAAGATGGTCATATAAAGTTTAGTCCCAGCCTTAACTTGGTTTGTCAAAGAGCAGAATTGTGAAGTAGAAAGCAAGTCCCATCTGGTCCTTTGACAAAAATGATGGTTGAAAGGTTAATCATTTGTCAAAGAGAGACTACGAAAGGCAACAAGGGAGTTTGAAGGTCTTAAGAACTCTGGACATTGAAATCAGTCACTCCTTAGTCTTTAAAAGCAATTCATCCACCAAAACGGAAGAATGAGCAGACACAATTGACAAAAAGGGACTTGAATCCAAAACACCGAAACACTGTACTGAAGAAAATACTCATTAAGAGAACTGATTACATTTCAGCAGAGCCTTTTAATGATTTCAGTTCTTGATCCGGGTTGAGATGTTGATCTTGAAGTATGAAAAGAAGAACACCAACCAAAATGGTTTAACTTTCACTTTACTTAGATCGGCACAGTAATTGTTCAGGGTGGTCCAACTTATGTATTCTTTTTAAAATTGAAATTAAACTTATTTCAAACTTAGACTTACTTACTTTGGAAGAAGCTCCATGTGAATGTCAGTGTTGTAGTATTGTAGGCTGTATTTGTAATAAATGAACTAGTTTATTCATGTAGCATGCTGGCTTCTGACCAGCATGCTTCTGAGTAAGCATGCTGGCTTCTGACCACTTGACTGCTCCCCCTGAGTAAATCAATCCAACTCTTATTAGGACATCTGCACTCAGCACATTGGATTGGGGGTCGTTTGGAGAACAACCCAGATATGCAATTTATGGTTAATTCTTGGGTTACAAATCTGTATTGAACCTTCCACCCAGCAACCTCCAATTCTAGATTGAGATACTCAATGGAAGTGGTCAGGAGCTAAGCATGCTTCAGTTCCAAGTTCAAACAGGATGATAAAAAGCAAGTGTCCCTGGGTTACTTCAGCTGGAGCAGGCAGAGAGGAGCTCACATACTTCTGCTTCATTATTAATATTTGATTGTTAATAAATTATGAACTAGGTCTAAATGCTATTTATAATGTATTCTCAGCAGGAAGCTCCACTGATTTCAATAAAGCCTATTCCTAAGTATAGGATTGTAGCCTTAGTATCATCTTAAATACTGTGTGATTTTGGTTTTTACATTTCAGTTTAAGAACATGTGTTTGAAGTTGTTTGTTGCTTATTTTCATGGTCTCTTCAGGCTTTTAGTTGGATCATTGTGGCAAAAACTATAAAATATTATGGGACAAGAAAATATGTATAGGACAAAACCATTATCTTGGCTTTATTGACTCTGAATGAAGAAAAAATGTAGGGGACTTGCATAAGCTTCAGCCATTACTGCAGCTACTGTGTAAGAATACATACAGGTTTCTATCTTTACCTTTTCAATTGTGAACAAAACCAAAACATGTTCTTTAAATATTTGTGGCCAGGATAAGAAACACGGGAAAAGGAGAAGAAAGAAAAGATACCGCTTCTCACGAAAATCATCAGACAGCTCTAGTTCAGGTTCTGAATCGGACAGCAAGGTAAAGTGTAATATTAATGGGGGAGGGGGTGTATGTGTGAAAACAGTATGGGAGATGAGCTATACTCTGCCATATCAAATATAAGGGGATATCTGTTCAGCCTCTTCTAGAATAAGCCAAGCAAAATGGCCATGGTGGTACAGTAGGGAGTCTCTGAGGGCCACCCCAAAGTGCTGAATGGGCACTTCATTGCACCTGCTATTTGGTCACACAGAGTTGTGTAGCCACAATGTCAAGTGGTTTTGCTCTTCTTGTCAAGTCACTATGTAATGGATATGGACACCATGGCAATTCACCATGGAGAAAACATATCTTAGGAATAGGCCTTGGTTTGTCAAGTAGCTTATAAACGAAATATATGCCATGATGGTTTAGCATGTCTTTCACACCCAGCCTACTAGGTTTTCAACCCCCACTCCACCCCCCAACACACCTTCTATGTTACGTTCTCTTCTACTTGCTTTTGCCCCTAGGCCAGTGATGGTGAACCTATGGCACACATGCCACAGTGGGCACACAGAGCCCTCTCTGTCAGCACGCAAACCAACGTCACCCAAGAATTGCCCCAGCAGCCAAGCACTGGATAACAGCAGACATAGGGGCCATGCGCATGCTCGGAAAGGAGTAGTGGTGTCAGGCAATGATGTCACAAGCCACGACACATTAGTTACGACTTGTCCAAGCTTTTGCATGGCTGGTCAGTGCGCTGACAAGGATGTATATGAATTTGCTTGGACTGGCAGTTTTCATGTTTTATTGTTGTGTTGGCACTTTGTGATAAATAAGTGGGGTTTTGGTTGCAGTTTGCACACTCAGTCTCTAAAAGGTTCACAATCACTGGATTGGGTTAGAAGAACGAGGTGTCCTGGCATGATTTTGATGGTTGGAATGTGTTTAGAATGGGCAAAAATGATGAGCTGTGCGGAAAAAGCTACTCATGTAAGGCTTTTTCAAAATTGCCCTCTTTTCAATGGAACTTTAGCCCTATGTTAGGGTTAGGGGTGTGCACCAGGGTAGGGTTAGGGTTAGAAGAACGAGGTGTCCTGGAATGATTTTGATGCTTGGAATGTGTTTAGAATGGGCAGAAATGATGAGCTGTGCAGAAAAAGCTACTCAAACAATGCTTTTTCAAAATTGCCCTCTTTCCTGTGGACCTTTAGCCCTATATTAGGGTTCGGGGAGTGCACCAGGGTAGGGTTAGGCCAGTGGGGGCGAATCTATGGCACTCATGCCACAGCGGGCACACAGAGCTCTCTCTGTCAGTATACGAGCCATGTCTCCCCAGCATCACCTTTGCAGCCTAATATCAGATAGCAGCGCACCTATGGGCCATGCGCATGCTTGGAAAGGAATAGCAGCATTGACATCAAGCACCGTGACTCATTAGCCTCCACTTGTTCAAACTTTCACATGGCCGGTCAGTGCGCTGCCAAGTGTGTGTGTGTGTGTGTGTGTGTGTGTGTGTGTGTGTGTGTATTTGCTTGGACTGGCTCTGAGTTGTTTTTTCTAAACTAATACCTCAGTTTTCAGGTTTTCTCGTAGTGTTGGCACTTTGCGATAAATAAGTGGGTGTTTGGGTTGCAGTTTGGGCACTCGGTCTCTAAAATGTTCGTCATCACTGCCCTAGGCTGTCCTACATAAAAGCCAGCTCTGTCTAGTATGAAGTATCTGTTTGATTGCAAGCTTTGTTTTGAACATCTTACTTCAAGAGTATCAGTATTGTTAGCTTTACAATAAGTATATGTTTAAACTTCAGTGGTTAGAAGTAATGCCATCTTTTAACCTATAACTACTACTATTTTTAATTTAGGACAGCTTGAAAAATAGAAGGCCAAAAGAAGACTATGAAAGAGAAAAGGTACTTCTTTGTACTGTAAAAAAAAGTTCTACCTCATGGTTTAACATTTGGGTAAAATTCTTAATTTGAGATAGTTATCAACTGAAACTTGTATATCTAGATTTTCAGAGGTACTACCTTCACATTTGGGAGATTTTCAACAATTGGGTACATTTTTTTTGGATGTCTGTAAGTGTTCCTAGACACTCAACTATTAGTAAAATCTCTGAAATTACTGCTATGGAATATCAACATTGCTTGTTACTATGCATATTTAATTGTACAAAGTGACTTCCAGATCTCTACACCAAACAGGCTCTAAACAGTAACCTTGTAAATTATTATAGAAAAGATGTATAGTCAAATATTGGAGTGATTATTGAAAATCATCAGCATTCACCCCATTTTTGCTTTCTTGTCTAACCAATTGCTTCCTGCCAGCATAAAGTTGTTCTCATAAAGTTCTTCCCAGCCATAGAATTCATGTAAGATTTCCCAAGCTGGCTTCTCATTAGCTCTTTGTTTAGCTTTAACTCCCTCGTCCTGTCTGATGACTTTCTCCACCATTTATACTGCACATAAATTCTTGTTCTTCAATTTATTACACACACTGATCTTTTTTCTCCTCAATTATCAGGCTGACCCCATACAGGTTTGCCAATTTTCTGTGAGATTTTCCCCAGGGAAAAAAATCATTGCTATGTGAATCTGTAGATATTGTTAAGATTCTAATTACAAATACATTTGCTTAAACAATTAGAATATTTAAATATGTTCTGTGACAACACAGCAACTAATGGCTTGATGGCTTGCAAACAAGAATGCAAGAGGTTATTGGTGATGGGCAGTTTGTTACTATTATTTAATAATTTATATCTCTCTTCATTAAACTCAAGACAGCTTACAATTTCCATGAATACAGTATATCAATGAAACAGCATTAAAATACAAAAAGAGAATCAAGCATAAAAATATAATTTCCACAGCAGCATTGTTTAACTAGTAATCACTGCTAAATGACAATTGGTTATCAGGCTGCAGTCCTGCACTTACCTCTCTGGGAGTAAACCCTTCAAGAGCATAGTGGGACTTACCTTTGAATAAATATGTATTGGATTGCAGTATAAGAAAATTAACTCCAGGTAGTTAAAATATGTTAAGTTGGGGCCTGCAGGGGGTATTCATTCACATGTGCACGTAAGATCTGATGTTATGTTTCATTGAAAGCAAACCATAATGTATTCATAATTATATTGCATAATAATTTTAAAATATAACTTCTATTTGAACTCTACATTCCTTCAACAAAACCAAACTTCAGTGAAAAACCACCAATTATAGTAGAACAACAAGAGTAGAACTACAAATAAAAGGGGGAAAGCAAAACAAAAGGAACAAAACAGCACAACAAAACATACAGCCATGCTTTAACAATCAGAGATACAATGAACTGGCCTTGAAAGTATTACTAATAACACATATGTATACATATATGCTCGCACATACACGCAGAGATATTCAAAGTTCCTGCTGTACATCACTAATGTAGGTTGACCAGATGTGGAATGAGAGATGAAGTGGTTGAGGGAGATGATTGATCTTTCCATCCCCATAATGTGTGTGTCTTAGCCACCATAAGGCTAATAGAGCTCACTTGTAGAGGCCAGAGAATAGCTTCCAGTTTATAAGAATGCAATTCAGCAATACACTGACAGCTTTAAACAAGAATGATGCATTTAGAACACAGTTGATGTGTCTATATTGGCTAATACTTAAGCTAGCTTCAAATCCAGCCATTTGAAGTGAAATGATCCTCTGCACATATCTATATATGTAGATATAATCTCTACTTCATCTATGCAAGTAGCTGTATGTATGTAATTTCTAGGAAACTTCAGGCTTGAACTCTCTTGCAGGAGTAAATTAAACCTCTGAAGAATCCTTTATAAACATCTTCAATTTCAGGGACTAATATTAGTTCATTTTTATGTCATTTAGAGTTATACTGGGATTTTTTAAGAAACCTCTCGAATCATATATTCACTCAATAGACAGTTCTGTTTCTTCCATCTTGTCCATAGTTCTTTGTATTCTCCATTAAAACTCTTTTAACCATTTCCCACCATGCTTTTTCTCATTTAAATGCATGTCATTTATCCATTTAAATGCATGTCATTTATCCATATCCATTTATCCATTCTGTCACTCACAAAATATCATCAGCGGTGATTGAATTAGAATTAAGTAGTGCAAAAATATATTTTGTACTTTCGTTTAGGTTTTATTTTTAATCCATCGTCCTTTCATTGATGGATAAAACAAACTAAATATTCAGCTGCTTTTGTGTGGAGGTTACTTCAGGTTACTATAAAATAGGCCCCTATTTTGCTAGTTTATAAAATGTAGATTTTCTCTTACATAGGAAACCAAAACCCTTGGTAGGAAAAGGAAAAAAGCAGATCGTGGGGATGATTTGTCGTTGTCAGACTCCTCATCAGAATCTGAGCATACAGATGAGGTGGGTATACATATAAAGGTCAGAGATAATATAAAATATTTTTGCAATTTCAGACCCCATTGGCTTGTATCTGTAGAAGCATAGGAACAATATCCTCATGATATCTGCTGCTCCACATTAGTATGAAGGAAAGATCCACACCAGCAAAACAGAAGTTTTTTTATTTAGATATTCCTGGACTAAACCTGTGTGGTGTGTGATTTTTTAAAATTATAGTACATATTATAACAGCTATCATGTCCTTGAAGAAAATTAGGAACTGTGAAGGGATTTGCAGAATAGTAACCTTTTAAATTAGAAAATTGAAAAGTATTCTGTTTACTATGCAGTATTGATACAGTACTGTGTCTGCATTTTGGCATTCTTGAAAATATTTCTTCTGCTTCCCCTCTCTACGCTTTCCACTTAGGTACAAGCAAAGAAGAAGAAGAGCAGTGAAGAAAAAGAGAAAAATGTAAGCATTTATTCTGCTTATCTAAGAACCTGTAGAAGTATTTCTTCTTAATTTTAGATCAGCATAAATAGGCACTGGCACAAACACCCCTCTTTCAATTGCTGTGGGGTTTCACTGATCTTAGTGTATCAGCATAAAAAAGAGTTTAATTGGTTGTCTGAATTGCTGTTTGTAATAAGTTGGCTTCAGATTTAGTCACACTTAAAGGAGAGTCAATGGAAATCAGTTGGATTTTGATAGCTATATTTTAAGTATAATTAAACTTGGATCTGCACCAATAGCTATTAATGAGACCAGTATTCCTTACTTCTACCATGGTAATAAAGGTGAAAAGAACCTACATTGAATTAGGCAGTTTATTACAGTGCTGTCAACCATGCTTGGCAACAGGTTTTGAATAAGTTCTCGTGCCTTTTGGAAAGGTTTTTCTAAGACTTACCTGATATTCTAGAGATTGAAGTTAGGGTCATGCACACAGAACAACTCTGCCAGTGAACTATGTCCTATGTAAATCACTTTTCTCTCACCTCCACCAAAGAATCTGAATGGCATGTTGTTATTCTACTAGGATGGTCTTAATAAAATGTTCAAATGTCTTTGGTGAACCCCTTCCTTTGCAATACATATGCTTAGCTGGAGCATATGTATTTATTTTCAATATCCTGATATTGTTTTTAATATTGACATTTCATTATATTTGATATTAAAGGAAAAAACAAAAAAACGAAAGAAGCACAAGAAACATGGAAAAAAGAAGAAAAAGAAGGCAGCTAGTTCAAGTTCTTACTCAGAATAACATCAATCAAGACTTTTTTCTTATCAAAAGTGCAATGAGACTAGAGAGAACTGCGACTGTGAAAATTATGAACTACCAACTGCATGAGCTCTCCTGTGTGTTAACAATATTTTAGATTTTCAGCTTGCCCAGTGTCATTGGGCTGGAAATAGCCATTGTTGTTGCCTGATGCTTAATATATACATAGTACCCCTCTCCCCCCATCTAGCAGCTGGTGTTAAATGTTTTGAAGTCCTGCTCATGGTTTAAATAAGACAACAGCATGGTGAAATTGGGTTTATATAAAAAGGGTTTGCCCATTCCTGGGTTTCTACTTCTTCTCTAATGTAGATGTAGCCCATGCAGCCAGGATTCCCCTTATATTACAATAAAAGGAATTCAAGCATATAAAGAAATGCACATGTGGATCAGCTCCATCTGCTGTAATGAATGGGGCAATCCTAAAGACAGCAGTTCAGAATTGCATATGCACCAGGATTGTTTTGTTTACCCATAAGCTGAATTAGGGCATTTTATCTTTAATAGATTGGTGCTGAAATTTAATTTTCTATTGCAAAATAATATGCAGAATTCTTCATAAAAAGTAAACATAAAGTGACACCTGTGACATTTCATGACTACTGATGCCATTTTAAAAGCTGAAACATGCCAGTGACAAATACAAGGTTACTTTTGTAGATACTGTAATATAATTTTGCTCTTGCTTTTTGGGGTAAGACAGGGATGCTTGTGCTCTCATGGACTAGAGAGAGTGTTTTGATCCTTTTTGAGAGCAGTAGTGTTTGCTGATACTTTCACTGTGCTTTCAAGGATAGATTCCGTTGCCTTTTTCTTTCTGAATATGCAGTAGAACCCACTGGAAACTTTTCCTGTGCAGGCCTTGCTAAATTAAATGGATGTTGCAAAAGAGCAGTTGTGCTAATAATTGTTAATGCAAAGGTAGACATGGAATGTTTAGGTAGCTGCCCCACTCATATATCAAGGGCAGGGGAGGGAGGGGGAAGTCTAATTTTTAGAACAAAAGGTGTGCAAAGCTAATGAGAGGTGAATGTCGTAGCCTTCCCCACCTTACTTTTTTGCTTCCACCTATGCTGGTTCACTTCTGGTATTGGAGCTGAACTGGGAGAAAAGTGCCTGTAGCAAAGCCTGGGGGAGTGTTGCGGGAGGGGGCTGAGCTACACTCATAATATTTACTGTAAAAATTAGACCCTGTCCCATTCCCTGCCTTATATGAGAGCAGGTCAGGCAACAAATGTGGCTACCCATTCTCATCTAGTTTGGTCCTCAGTTTATTCTGAACCAGTAGTATATGCTGCTGAGGTGTGCAGAAACACTAGCCTATTGCAGCGTAGCTGGCACTCAAAAAGTGAGGATTTCCACCACTGAATAAAAATAATCCTGAGTACTGTGCTATTAGTACCTATTACCATTATTTGAGGTGATATTGCATTTAATTGAACATTTCTGACATTTTTAAAATTTGTGTTCTCATTAAGATATTTAGAATTAATGTTCTGCATGATTTTGTACCATTTAAAAATTAACCAATAGAGGAATACAGTTGTAATCAGTGTTTTTTATTAAGTTCCACATGCAGCATTACTTATAGGTAATAGTTCATATTGCATCCAAGCTTATGTTTAAATGCACATTTGCTGAAGACATTTAGCATGTAAAAAGCTGAGGGGATGATGGCAAACAGCTTCATATTGAAGCTGCCTTTACATAAGTTCAGTGGCAGACTGGTTATGCAACTATGTCTTGATATAAAAAAAATACTGCCAGACACTTAGTAAAAATATGTTTTAAGTTTCTTTGCTTCTGGATTTTGTGTGTGATTGTGTTTGTCTATCTTACTAACCTCACATGTATCGTTTTGCATCTTCCAAGTAAAGCCTACCACCGTATATGTACCCTGGGATCATGAATACGCTTTGGTCCACAATGGCCTCTCCACATCTGAGTTATGCCTGCTTGCTTTAGCTTCCTGTTAAACAGATTGTTAGGGGGAAGTTACAGGGAGAAGCACCTCAGGTTACTGAAAAGATAGAAATAACATACTGCATTATATTCCCAGAAGCCTTGGCCTGTTCAAACTATAGTTGCAGAATCTATGCACAAAGAGAGATAAACAGTGGGCCTCCAGGATTTAAACCTTCTCCCACCATCTTTATGTACAGCAAAAAAAGAAAAGACAGAAAAGAGAAAGAAGCTTCCTGTGATCTTAATAGTACTGGGATGTACTACTCTGGAGGTACACAAAAACCAGGAAGTTTTGTTGGCCGGTATGGAAATGTTCAACATTCACGATAGGGTAGTATCTTTATGAATGACCAAGGTAAGAACTGAAGAAACTCAGAATGAAAGGGAAAAGTAAAGGGGTTAAGAGTCCATCAGCAGCCCCTAGAAAAGAGGATTCACTAGCTTATGCATTGAGATTTTCAATGGAAGTGACACAACCTGGTGAGAAAAGGAGGTCCACATCGAATTTCTCACAAATGGGGTTATAAATGCAATGTAATATGTGGGCTTCAATTGCTAAGGAATTGTTTAAATAGTGTTTGCTTAGCCAGTTCAGAAACAGTTCATATAAAATGCTCTACCCTCCATCCCCATTAAATCTAACCTGAAAGAAGTCAGAAACTGGAGTAAGCATTATCAGAGAACCAATACTGCACAGTGAAATTCAGTGGCTTCAGTTCAGGCTGTGTTAGCTGAACTTGGGTAGTACTGAAATCAGTGGAACAATATTTGAAGTCCCATTGATATCAGTGTGAACTAAATGCAGCTAACTCAGTATATCTCCAAATTTACATTACTGTAGTAAAATGTTGCAAGAATTAAAGCGTGCAACCGAAATACTGGACGGAGAGATCCTATGACAAAACGCTGTCGCTAGAGCAACGGGAGAGTGGAGAGGAAAATTGAATGGGGGGAGCCTCGAAGTTAGAAGGCTTAGGCTCCCCTTCATAGGATTGTCACTTGAATTACCCCACACAGTAAACCTAATGACTGCTCTGTTCCACGAAGCCTGGACAACTGTCACGTCATGAAGATTAAGCAGGCTTGCTTTTTGATGATCCAGAAGGCTGGTCTAGAACTGAACGAAGTAAAGTATAAGAACGCAAGATTTCCGCCGAAGTTTAAGAAAAAAGTAAAAGCTATTGAAAGGGGGAACAGGCTGACTCGAAAAGATTGCGCTTTGGTGCAGGTATTTCAGCCGAGACTGGCTAAGTTGTACGTGTATCAGCGCAAAAACCATTTAATGAGCAAGGAATTCGAACATTTTATTACTGTAACTAACAACCTGCACCAGTGATTGACTTAAGATTTCTTTATCTGACCTACTTGTTTCCCTTCTCAAGTTGAGTTTCCTCAGTCTTTCAGTTTGCACGGGTCTCTTTCATTGTTTTTTCTGTCATTTTGCCACTCCACAGTGGCAATTCCAAGATAAAAAAAATAGAGGTCGGGAAGAACACAGCCAGTGGATTTCGGCAGCTTTGTCGCACGTGATAAAACATGTTTTACCTGAAACTGACATCCAAAACATACAGGTATCCATGTTGATTTTTTGGGATGGAGGATGGGGAATCTAAAAATCACAAACAGTGCTGTAATTAAGTCCCATAAAGATATCCGCGAATGGTGTTGGAGTACTTTGACAAGTAAATGTGTACGGTTGCGGCCATAGTTTAACCCTCACTTTATGACTCACATATATATGTGAAAAGTACTTTCTTTCAAGTGACCACGAAGGTCCAGCAACGGAGGGCAAAGGGGCCAGCTACTTATCCGAGGTGGAGGAGGGTCCCAAACACCCCGCTTGTCTCTCTACCGCTCCTCCCCCTCCCCCTCCTCCTCTCCCTCCTCTCGTGGATCTTCGTCCGTCGGCGTCTCTCTTCTAGCGTCTCGGTCCCCATGGAGACCAAAGGGCTCAGCTTCCCGCCTTGCCCTCGGCGTTTTCTTCCCTCTCTGCTACGGCGTCTTGAGGACGACCCCGGGCCAACGCGGGTGCCTGACCTGGTGGGAGGGCAGGGAGAGAAATTGCGACTGGGCGCTTCTGGGTGTCCCGAGGCCGAAGCCTCTGCTGCCACGGTAAGTGCGTGGCCAAGGCCGCGGAGCGCAGGATGAATAGGAAGAAGCTGCAGAAGCTCGCCGAGTCGCTGTGCAAGACCGCTAAGCATTGTGAGTGGGAGACAACCGTGACGTCCTCCTCTTGGTTCCAGCCACTATCTCGTTTCATTTTTGAACGTGCATTTTGTTTTTTCATTCTTATATGATGGTGTGTCGGCCTAGACTCAGGGCGATCCGAGTTCAGTTTCCTATTTGTCTTGAAAACTCCCTGGGGGGCCGATCAAGACCTCCACGCCTAACCTACCTCGGAAAGCTGTTGAAAATTAAGGGTGCAGGCCAATGAATAGGTTGCCCTGCGGAAGGAGGCCCTGCCCGCCCAGCATTTTCCAGCCAACCCTTTGGCTGAGGACTGCTGGAAATTGTAGGATCTTTTATTTATTTACTTATTTATTTAAAGCGTTTATATCCCAGCCTTTACTATGTCTCAGGGTGGTAATAGAATAAAATACAATAAAGTACAGCATCAAAATATGCAGTAAATAGAACCCGACCTTAAAACAGTATTAACATTTAAAATAATGAGAAAATAAAAAGGTTTTGGCCTGGCGCTGAAAAGAAAAAAGTGTTGGTGCCAGGTGCACCTCTCTGAGGAGCATGTTCCATAGCCAGGGGACCATTGCAGCGAAGGCCCTTCTGCAAGTAACTACTCTTCCACTCTCCTTTGAAGATGGCTCCCAAAGAAGGACCTCTGATCCAGATCTTAGGGGGTGAGCAGGTATGTATGGGAGGAGGTGCTTCTTCAAATATCCAGGCCCTAAGCTGTTTAGGACTTTATAAGTCATCACCAGTACCTTAAATTGGGCCTGGACTTCAGTTGGAAGCCAATGGAGGTGGCACAGCACCAGTGTTAATGTGTGTATATCTGCCAGTCCCTGTTAGCAACTTGGCTGCTCTGTTCCGATCAGTTGAAGTATCCAGATCATCACCATGTAGAATGCATTACCGTAGTCCAATCAGAGGTTACCAGAGCATGGATCACTGTCGCTAGGCTCTCCTCATCCAGGTAGGGGAGTAGTTGATGGATCAGCTGAAGCTGAAGGAAAGTGCTCCTTATCACAGCATTCACCCAGCAGGATAACTCTGGGTCGAGGAGCACTCCCAAACTGTGCACTGTTCTGATTGTGACTTGAAGCATCATATGAAAAGTATTATTTATTGCAAAGATTTAACTACCGTCCTTCAGCCCAAAAGCTCCCAGAGTGGTGCATGCCATTGAAGGAAAAATGAAATGAAGTGAAAATGATTAAAACCAGTGCTAGACACTCAGCATAAAAACTGACTACAACCTAAAAGATCTGTGAAGCCTAAGAAGGCTGATAAAAATATCTTCACTTTATGCTTGAAAGCATCAGACTCCACCATACAATGATTTCCTTGAGGAAAGCATTATAAAGCCTGTTATATGAATTATGTCAATTAAGTTTTACTTCAACCTAGTAGTATTTTATTTTAGTGATTGTCATTAATTATTTTATTTTATAGTCAACAAATTTGAAGTGGATTGCCTCATAAAACTTTTCAACAACTTGGGGGTGGAACCCAGTGAACGACATTCTGTTGTTGGTTTAGATCGTAACTCATTTCGAAATATCCTACATGTCACATTTGGAATGACAGATGACATGATTATGGACAGAGGTGAGATTAAATGCATTCTTGCTAATTTGTATATATTTAAAATATCCATCAGAAGGCAGCTTGTCTAGCAGTTTTGAAGACATATCTATTCTATAGTAATTCATAAAATTGATAGCTCACATGATGGAAGCTCTGCTTTAGTATTACTTTACTGCTAATTATAAATTAATAAGCCCTTAGGAGTTCTGCTGATGACTAATGCATTTGTATCTTCAACTTATACCGTGGCTTTTGGGCAACTCAATATTTGAGGCTTGTTCTCTTGTCCATAAATAAATAATATCTATCCAAGTACCACTGCTGATACAATAGCTCAAATAAAGGATTTACAGTAAATCCTATATATTGTAATTTAAAAGTAAGTTCCAAGTTCCGTAGAACTTACTCCTAGGTTAAGTAGGAATGCTAACTTGAAAGTAACCTTCACTTAAAAGTGTGTGGGGAGGAGGCGTCTTTCCCAGTAAAGTCACTGGATTGCACTATTACTATGGTAACATATTAGACACATTATACAAATACATTTTAAGCATCAGTTAGTGTATGTGTCAGGCATTGCTGTCTAGTGGCTATTGCTGCAATTAGGCAATTAAGCCGTGTAACAAAAGATAAAACACTGTGTAGCTGTCATCAGCAGCTTTGCTCACAAAATTAGCCATGATTTTAAAATGTGGACTTGGTGACAAAGAATTGGTTCATTGTGACTGGTGTCCAGAATTTCTACTTAAGGTTTCACAAGGGCTTGAACAGCAGAAGTTGCATTTGGTTTTTACTTTGAACCGTATGCTTTCCTCCACCCTGCTCATGCTATATCAAAAAATTGCCTCACTTTCAAAAGTGTTTTTCCATGTGGCAGTCAAAAATCCATTCTGAAATGTGGAACTAGTTTATTTCTTTTATTACATTTTTATATGCCTCATAGCCCACAGGGCTCTCTTTTGCTGCCTTTTTTAGATCCTGGATGAACATGCTATAATATGAAGATGGTGCAAATATGGTTTTGAGAGAAGTATTTTATAGCTGCTGCTAAAACATAGTTCTCACAGCTTTTCTTTCTGAAAATATTTCTTATTACAAATGTCTAAAAAACATTTGTGATGAGAGTATCATTCTACTGTAGGCAGGGGTCAGGAAAGGAACAACTCAGTACAATTAATGTCCATCCTTTAATAGAGCAGATAAATTCTTGTTTTCCATGTTTATATTTACTTAGGGCTTAAGATGGGATTTATGGAGTTATAAAATCTTTTTTACATTTGAGTTGTCCTGGTGGGGTGCAATGAACTGAGAGCCAACATTTTAACTGAATGATACATCTCTAAGACTCACACATAGACATGGAGGCTGTAGTTCTATGCGTACTTACCTGAGAGTAAGCTCTACTAAACACAAGATTTCATTCTGAATTGCATGCACTTGAATATATTGAAATACTCTATAACTTCCCTGTTCATTTCAGTGTTCCGTGCTTTTGACAAAGACAATGACAGCTGTGTCAGTGTAACAGAATGGGTGGAAGGGTTATCAATATTTCTCCGGGGAACACTTGAAGAAAAGATGAAATGTAAGCTTTTTATAACAGAAGCCTCTTTTTGTGCTAGCCTTACATCTTGGGCAATTTAAATGACAAGTATATTGTTTAAATATGTAAGTAACAATTGGAATCTTTCATCATTCATTTTAATTTATTTTACTTCTTCCAAACTGCTGAGAGTAATATATATGTGCCTTATAATTCCCCACTTGTTATTCTCATGACAGTTCTGTAGATGGATAAAACTGAAAGTGATTAGCTATGCTTACTTTAGATAATGATGAGTTATTTCATTTTTATGCTGTCCAATAGCTAGTGCTTTCTTGGGAGGTTCACAGCAATTATACTTATATTTTATATTTATAATTCACTTTTCTATGGTACAAATAATCAAGGTGGCTTATGATAGGAGAGATTACAGTATACCATACTAAAAATAAATCCTGTAAAACAAGAGTGAGCAATATATGGCTCTCCAGGTATTGGCTGAAGCTCCTGTTATCCCACACCATTTCATCCAACAGTCCAGAGGCCCACAAGTCCTGCATCCCTGCTTTAAAATAGAATTAATTACAACAGTACTTGAATCACCTATAACCTTTGTGGATGAGTGAGGATTTGAATCAAGGTTGTTAGTATTTAACAGTGCTTTTCTTCAGCAAATCTTGAGAGTACATAGTGAATAATTGACAACATTGAAAAGCAATTGTGTATGAGGTAGCATGAGATAGTATGGACATTCTTACTGTAAGATTTAGAGAACAATCCTGTGGCCCTTGGGAGGGCATTTCAGCAATCACAGGATTGTCTTAAAAAACCGTCAAAGTCACAGGCAGTGTTTCAACTTCAGAGGAGGAGTTGGAGATCCACCCTTACACTCTGACCCCTTGCAGCTGGTGTGGAAAGAAATGCACCAACTGCCTCTGGAGGAGGAAGGGGAAGGGAGATATTCTGGTGATCAGGAGGATATCAGAAAGGCCAGGATATGAAGGAGCGCCTGCGTCCATATGTGCCCTCCCGCCCCTTGAGATCGGCGGCAGAGGCCCTTCTCCACAGAGGCCCTTCTCCACAGAGGAAGCCCTCTGTGAAAGATATTAGGAGGGTGAGTACCCAGAGGAGGGCTTTCTCTGCGGTGGCGCCCAACTTATGGAACGCACTCCCCAGAGAGGTCCGCCTGGTGCCGTCGTTAATTGTTTTTCGGCGCCAGGCCAAGACCTTTTTATTTAAACGTTATTTTAACTGTTGATTTTATTTATTGATTTTAAATCTGCTGCCAGGATGTCTCCAGTATTTTATGTATTTTGTATAGAAATATATTTATGTATTGGAAGCCGCCCCGAGGCTTATGTGAATGGGGCGGCATACAAGTTGTCCACATACATACATACATGAGATACGCCTCCTCCAGTCTCCTTTCTTCCCCCTCTGAAGTGTCCTCACTAGACAGTATGAAATGCCTATGCAAAGAAAATCTCTAAACATGGAGGGTGGGGAGTTGAAGTTTGCCTCAGCAGCTCTTCCCACCCTGTCATTATGGCTTATGGTTCATTCACAGAAGCAAGACACCAACTGATGAATTGCATGTGGTATTGCCACAATTCTATTATGAACCACATGCCCTAGAAACTACAGCCAGTAATTTGAGAACCTAGTTTATAATTTAGATCCATTATATAAACATGGTGAGAAAGTCTATTTCCATTCCTTCTGTGCCTGTTCTGTAAGTTCTACTCATTGCTGTCTATTTCTTCACACACTATATTGCTTTTTCCAAAGGTATATGCCAACTTAACCAGACAGTCTAGGATTGAGAAGTCATAATTTTTTAATACAACATCAAATGTAACAGAAACATAAAATGTCTGAATTAACAGGAAGCAAAGTTGTTATTGTGGAAGGAGGTGTCCAGCTTTTGGAAAAAAGAAATGCTGTTAGGTTGATTAGAACAAATATATAGTTATGAATATGTGGTAACTTGCGTACATGGAGAAAGTACCACATAATCCCTAAAGCATGCTTCAGCAGGGCAGGCTTTCTGTTAAATGCAATTTACTCTTTAAAAAAAAGTTAGTAACTGCTAAGAGTTTTGATTAGCTGAAATGTGCTTTGTTTGATATGCATGCTTTATATTAACTCAATTATCCTTTCCAAAGATTGCTTTGAGGTTTATGATCTAAACAGTGATGGATATATTTCACGGGAGGAAATGTTTCATATGCTGAAGAACAGTCTGCTAAAACAGCCATCAGAAGAGGATCCTGATGAAGGCATTAAAGATTTAGTAGAAATAACATTGAAAAAAATGGCAAGTACAGTAACTTAAAAACATCACTTCTCAGCTATATAGGCCTAGATCTAGTAGTCATACTTAGGGTAGTCGCACTGAAGTTAACAGAACTTAATCATAACTAATTTAAGCCCCATCAGTTTTAAGGGACCATGTCTGGATTCAATCCAAGATATAAACTGCACTTCCATCTGATAATGACTAATAGCAGTATTTTAGTAAAGAAGAAATAATCCAAGAGTCCAACTTTCTTCATTACACTAATTGGCAATAACAATATGGTTGGAAAAATATTTTAAAAGGTATCAGCAAAGTAGAAGTTGGTACAGCAGCTATATAAAATTTCTGTGCTGGTAGCTGCCAGATAGTGTAATAAGATGCATGTCTAACTCAAAATAGGGCTCTATTCAGTTCAGTAAGCCTTGCTTTCACATAAGTATGTATAAGATTGCAGTGTAAATGAAGTATTTATATTGGTTAACAATATCTACACTTTTTTGTAGGACTATGACCATGATGGCAAACTCTCTTACATGGATTTTGAAAAAGCTGTACGAGATGAAAATCTTCTTCTAGAAGCATTTGGACCATGTTTACCTGATATGAAGGTGTTTAATGTAATCCAGATTGGAACACAAAACTGCTATAGACTGGTTTAGAAGCATATACTGAATATAAACACTGGGTGTTAGATCCAGGAGCTGCCTTCCACAAGAGAAACCACTTTTCTTGCAAAAGATCCCTTGCTGTGATTTTTGAGATCCCTCTACATCACAGTTCACCCTATTCAGTAAAGTCTCCTGACATTCTATAGTGTTTTCAGGAGACTGGAGGGGCTGCCATGGGAAGGAGGGGTAGCAGATCTACTTCTATCAGCACAGTTGATTTAACATAAATCTGGCGTTAATGCACATTGTATTATTCATAGCATGTTCAGTTGGAATAGTAACTTTACTCCAAGAAATGCATAAAGCTTGACTCAAAACAATACATTCAAATTTAAAAAGTTACAAATCACAAATCCAAGGTGACTGAAGGAGAGATCTCATGAAATGACATTGAATGATGAAAGGTTAGTTTAGATTAATAAAAAGATGAAGGATATCTTTACACCTTAAGAATACTAAAGCCAATCAGCCAGCCATCTGTACTGTGGTGGAGAAACTCTTTCAGACCAATAGCATCTTGAATACCAACCATTTACATTTTTAATCAGAAATAAGCATGAACAGCATGTCAGTTGCAATAGATTGTATAAAGGAGGAAGAGGATGCCTGCCAATTGTCCTGATGGTGATTGAGAAAAGGAGTTGATAACATGGTCAAGGCACCTTTACTTTTGTTAATGCTTTTATCTGCTGTACTGGCTTTTGCCATTCTTTATATATTCTCTTATGGTAAGATGCAGAACTTCACGGCCAGGGGCAAATCCAGGACTCCAGGATTCCTCAGATAGCCATGACCTGTTGCCCTTACCTCATTCCCTTTCCCTGACCATTGACTGTTTCTTGGCTTTTGGTTTCTCATTGATTGTAAAAAAAAAAGTTGAAATGACTCTTTTACTCACAGTAAAAGCTTTGAACCAAAATTTCAGCCTAAACCACCACTGGAATCCAGGCCCTACTCCTGCTCTTCAAAATGGAATTTGCCCCTCAGGCTGAAAAAAACTTCCTCCTATACAAGTGTGTTTATATGAAGCCCGAAGTAAGATGCATTTCTGCAAATCATTGCAGATTTTGAAAACCCCATAATTGCATCTGTTAAGATATATAACTCTCTGCCATGGCCAAATAGCTAAACGCATTAGGATAAAATGTGGGGGTAGCTTTGTACACTCATGGGGTTTGGGACTTGTATTTAAACAAACAAAGGAAACTTGGCAAAATGCTTTCAAAATTGGTGGTAATATAAAGAGTAAATTGTAATATGAAATGGAAGTTTGTTGTTCAATGGGGCTGAGGGGAAGAGCCAAATATCCCATTAAGCAGTTCATCGGATAGAAGCCATGATAAAGCTGTCCTCGTATAAGATGACAGATGGAAATTTTACTGTAAAATTAAAAGAATTAGGGCTTTTTTGGCTTTCAGGGATGTTTATATTATGCAAGATTAACTTTTAAATATATATTAACATTAGATAATTATGTTGATTTCAAAATCTTTTTAATGTTTTATTTTACAGTGCAGGACAGAATTTGAGACACAAGCATTTCAAGAGACGACTGATTTGTAATTCTGCAAATGAAATATACTGTACTATGAAAGTACACTTCTTTAAGTAAAGAAGGCAAGTCAGAGAGTTTCTTTTTCATACAAGCATACTAAAATAGGAAGATCAATGGAAAATGTTGCCATATACTTACCTAATCATGCAGTAATACATTTAAAGGGATTCCAAAAATAATGGGACTACATTAAACATTCTTATTTAAATTGTTTAATAGTCAGATCAAGCCATACAATTTTGTTGTGTAAACTAATAGAACCATATCTGTTTAAGTTAAATTCACAGAAGATGCTCCCTTTATATTCTTCTTCTTTGCTTTAGCGTTGTCTCTGTTTGACTATTTTCTGAGATGTGTCCATGTAGGTGAGGAGTTTGAACAGGGACAACAATCTAATATGGAGAGAAAGATTTAAACTTGGTACATTCATTCAGACAGATAAATAAACTAATTGTATATGAGTCTTTTAAGCAAATGTTTTGATGACTCAATGCTATCTTCTTAATGTACCTGCTTTTCTCCATTTCCCTGCCTCTTTTTGCGTGCCTTGGTAGCAAACCTTGTACTCTTATCCTTCACTAATATCCCTCCCTTTATTGTCCTGTAGCTCTGACTTTAGGACTTTATCCCATAAGGTCTCAGAACATGTATAGCAATTGTAGCAGTGCATTCTGTAAACTATTTAACACTCTTCTTTTTTTCCAGAAGCAAACAATCTGGCTAGGCAGGAATACAATCCAAGGCAGTTTCAGATGGCTATATTAGATAAGGGGGAGGGAGAAGAGGTCATGGCATGGGAAAGTAAATGGTATTCAGCAATAACTCTATGAAACAGGTGTGACTCTAGGATTACAAGCTGTCAGGCACTAACATCCAAAAACAAATAGGCATTAAAACATTTAAGTGGTGTTTATGTCACTGATCAGCAAAACAAAACAAAAATATAGCCCAAGCTCTGTATTAGCTTTCATCTAATTGTCATTCAGCTGATGATGAGCTTGGAGCAACTTCATGAGATGCATTTTTATAATTGGGAGCAGATTCTGAAACATACAGTAACACATCTACAGCAACAGTTGCACCCCTTTGTCTCTAGTCATCACTCAGATGTATTTTGAAAGAAAAAAAATAAAATACGTACAAATGGTCCTCCTGAAGTAATTGTAATTGTGTGTGTGTGTGTGTGTGTGTGTGTGTGTGTGTGTGCATGTGTGCACGTGTGTACACTACCCAGAAGAATGAACTCCCATGCATCAAACACTGCATGGAAGGGGTTTAGAAATGTAGTCCCAAGTACTGTAGACATTAACTTCCATGAAAGCAAAAGGGATTGTTTCCAAGTAAGTGCTTATGACAGCAGCATATGCATTCTATTAAGTAGTTGAAGCAAGACTTAGGGTTCAGTCCTATTGCCCCCATGACAGATAAGCCTCTGAACTCGGAGGCTTACATGCATCCTGTTCCCAAGATGGGGCACAGCAGTGATCTCTGCTGAGGATGCTGAGCATGAATGCTGACTGGAATCTGTTTCCAAGACCACAGCCCCAGCTTCCTCCCCTCCCCACCACCCAGCATCCCACAAGACTCAACAGTGACATCAGTGGAGGGGCGGGGTAGCTGGCATGGTCTTTCTGAATCAACTGCGAGGTGAGCAGGGTGCTGGGGCTCTGAAGAAACCTATGCCCCCTCCCCCCCAGATGATGCCAGGAAGACACAGAATGGCATCCTTACGGCTGAAAATAAATCACTTCATTTTCAGAATCTATGATACAAAGCAGCAGTTTTAATCATAAAATGGGATTTAATTTCATTCTAAAACTGTTTTTCTCATAATTTTGACCCGCCAAAACAGGAAATACCAGACAATTAGAAACATAAGAAGCGGCCCCGAGGCTTCAGCGAATGGGGCGGCATAGAAGTTTACTAACTAACTAACTGACTGACTGACTGCATACATACATAAATGGACAGTTTTAGAAAGCACCCTAATGCTGAATGGTACTAAAAATGGTTTTCCAAAACAAGAAGCTTGCATATGTGCACCTCTTTCCTTCATAACCTTCCCTTATTGAATTGACATGGAAAGGCAGCTTATAACCTCTAAACAAATCATTTTAGTAAAGATTTTGAAAACACCAAATGAGAGTTTACAACATACCTCTTTTAGTTTATTACGAATTAAGTTTGCTGAGGTATTCAGTGATTCATCATCCATGTCTATTTTAGGTGTTTCTGGCAGCTTTGGACCAATAATTATTTCCTCACTATTGTCTCTTCCAAAAAGCGCAAGTTTGTGGTCTTCGTCGCGTCTTCTCTTTCGTTCCTGCAGCTGCGTTGTTCGGGGCATGAATCTGCCAAGTCCATTATAACAAGGAAGTTTTCTTTTGCATGCTGACGTGTTACATTCTCCTTGCTGCAGTTTCTGAGTCATTACTGTCCTCTCAGATGTTTTAGTACAGTCAGCAACTGACAGAGGTGCTGCTAACACACTCTGACACTGCTCTCCTGAAGCAGATGCTACACCTCTCAATGACAGTTCACAGTATGGTGATTGATGAGGACCATGGAAATGTGCAGTTGGATTCCAGGTACTAGTTGCTGCTTCAGTCATACAAGATCTGGAAGTGTTTAGTTGAATGTTCTTTTGAAAACTAGTGTTAGAATCCCGGTTCTTCATCTGTAGTTGCTCTTAAACATAAAACAGTAGAAATTAACATCTTGTCTACCTAATATCTGTGCAAGAGAGGCTTGTATGCAGCATAATTGTATTACTATGTAATAACTTGGCATTAAGATGGGGATTTGTATTCCTAAGGCAGTGTTCACATTCTTACCTTTGGAGAATGAGTTTTATTTAGGGTTCAGATGAGCCCTATTGGAATCCAAGCATGACCTTCCTCTTATGCTTGGTGTGGTTTTCCAAAGCGGCTTAGAAAAAGTTCACGAACACTCACTAGTTGTGCAACTGGCAGCCTTCTCCAGCATCAGCTGCAGCTGCCAAAACAGTGGCTGCCCTTGGCATGGGAGAGGGGCACTGCTAGCAGTCACATGCAGCTCTTTTCCTGGTGATCCCCTCACAATCAGCTTTCGTTGGTGTCAGGTGCAGCTGCCATTACAGCATGTGGGATTCAATTCCTAGGGAGAGCCCTGCAAATGCTGAACACACTTGCCAAGAACCTGGACCCAGGGCCACTGCAAAGCAGACCAGAGCCCATGGAGCCAAGCCCAAGGAAATTCCCACCCCCAAATGGATTGCTCACATAGTCCTACCATGGAAATTTTCGGAAATACGTGTATATTGGGGTGAAGAAATCTTATATAGAAGCATCCAAAATTCATTTCAGAAGACATTTGGATTCAAACATAGATACATTTTAATCTATTATAAATACAAGTTTTCACAAGCATTTTAACTATCACTATTAATCCTCTCCACTGTTCTCTAGATCCCATCTTAAAAATTTATTTCAGTATGGAACTTACTAAGAACATTTCATTAATTTTTGGCCCCTTTGAGTGCCATTTTTATGCAACAATGGGATATAAATCAAACTTTTAAATGTATGCCTAACCTAGGTTTGAAAAGGGTCATCTTCAGAGAGCCAGTGTGCCATGGGGGTTATTATGTTGGACTGGGAACCTGGGAGATCCAGGTTAGCCATGAATAATCTAATCCCCACTTAGCCTTGAAGCTCACTGGGTAACTGTGGGCCAGTCACTAACTCTCAGCTTAATCTACCTCACAGGGTTTTTGTTTTGAGAACAAAATGAAGTGGAGGAGGACTGTGTAAGCTGCCCTGAGTTCCTTGTAGGAGGAAGAAAGGCAGGATATAAATGTAAAAGTATAATAATAATTTTTACCCTGAATATTTTCTATTTCCACTATCACACAAGAGGATCGAACTAAAGATAAGAACAATGCATCTTTGCTTTTAATGTGCATTGTTTTAAAAATGCAACTTGAATGCAAGTTTAAATCCCCCCAGAGAATGCCTCAAGTGCTCCTTTTTCTGCATGGGAGGACTGTAAACCTCTAAGTTCAGGGCCTTATGGCCATCACAATAGGACTGCTCTTGATGTCATCTTTAGCTTACCATACTAGGAACTATTTATTTATTATTTATTTATTACAAGCATTTATATCCTGTCCTTTCGCATAAATGCTCAGGACAGCTTACATAATAGAAAATTCTGAAATACAATATTAAAACTACAATTATTAAAACATTTAAAATTAGAATGATAGGCTGTGAAAGTATCTTTCATACCAAAAGCCCAAACACTTCCCTTTATTAGACTGGGGAGTCAGAGGGTAAATTTTCTTTCATATATTGTCTGTCAGATCACATAGATGATCGCTATTCCTGTAGTGTGACAGCTTTATACAGTTTTCAAGGCATAGTGTTGTTTTGAACTATTTTTTTCAAGCTGTATCTTACACTGATTACATTGTTCACTCCTATCCTGTCCTTGTAGCCCAAGATACTGCAGCAGATGTGGACTACCACAGAAGGAATTTAAATTTAACTATAGAACAAACACCAAGGACATTTAACCTCCAAAGAAGTGTGTACAACAAACCTTTGTTACTAATTACTTTTGCTATATATTTCCTTCTATCTTGTAGCTTCTCCCTGGTCTCTTGTACACTCTCAAATTCTGGAGCATAGCACACATGCAGCAAACTGCCAAAGAAACTCCGTTCATCCAGTTTTCTTTTGGCTATCCTAACAAAGAGAAAGTGAACATTAAACATTTTTTAATATTTAAGATCTTTTTAATTCCACACCTAGGTTCAGATACGATTTTACAAAAATCACTTTGTGACTTGCACTGAACAAGCATTTCACAAAAATCTCAAACTAATGAAGAACATAAAGTGAAGACAGGGTATAATTCCCGAATTATAATTACCTTGCACTCTGTATTTTTTGAAACTTGATCAAGTAAACCTCTGTAAATTCTTCTGCTGGATAGTCATCTAAAGGATTATATTCTTCTATGGTGCCATATAATGCAAATTGCTCTACTAATTCCTTCATAACACCCAAGGCAGGGACTCCTTGTATTAGCAAATATCGAGATTCTAAGTTGATAGTATATACCTGAAAAACATAGCAGGATTAATGCTAATTTTGTAATAAAGGCAGCAATCTCAAGTTCGTTTGTTAAACATTCTTAACATTTTAAATAATATTGTAATGTAACTGAGTTAGCCTTTCATTTACAAATTAAAGTGTTAGGGTTGGACTGAGATGTAGAAGATTCACGTTTTAGTTCCCCTTTGGCCATAAAGACTGCCAGGCAACTTTAAGCCTAGCCTACTTCAAAGGATAATTGTGAGGATAAAATGAAGATTAAGCCTATGTTAACTGCCTTGGATTCCTAGAAAGAAGAAAAAGGGAAAGTATAAATAATACTAATTATTTATTTTAATGGTATAATAATCTTCACAGACAACTCTACTGTAAACCAATTCATAAAAATCTAAATCACTAGAAAGTAGATACAAAATCTGATCATTTAAATTTTAAACTTGCTAGTAAGAAAATAGATAATGGGGTTGTGCAACATTAACAGCAGCTCCCTGGAGAGGTTCGCCTGGCACCAAGTTTATATTCTTTTCAGCTCCAGGTTAAAACCTTTTTATTTAACTGTTATTTTAAAAATTAATTTAAATTTTAATGTTTAACAGTCGCTTTTATTTAACTTATTTAATTTGTATTTTTTGGTTAATAGTTATTTATGGCTGCTTTACTGTGGTTGTTTTAATGATTGTAAGCCGTCCTGAGATGCCTTGCATACATAAAGGACAGCATACAAAAGTTTTAAATAAATAAACATGCACAAAATATATACTAAAAGCACAAGAATACATCTAACAGAGCTAATCCTAAAAATACCATCTGAATCAAAACAGATGTATTTGTTACTGTTTATTCAGTGTGTTAACATACAGTACGACAGATCTGAAAAGTGCTTATTTAATAATTAGAAAATCACGCACCATATAAAAAAGTACAATACTTAACATTAGCAACAAATACCAGCAAGAAATTGTTATCCTCTTGAAAAATAACATCTCAGATACCGGAATGTTTACTATTCTACACAGCCACACACTTTAGAAAGTCAACAACTGGCACAATTAACACTTATAGAAACTGGAACAGCTCTCTAGCCCTCTAAAGGGAGTTTTTAATTCTTTTATGGTTTGAATTTTTTTTTAATTTTGAAAATCATCATCATAATTTTAATGACAGTATAGGAAATATTTAAATAAGTAAATAAATGTGGATTATGCCGATTCATAGACTAGGTCAGAAAATATTAATAAGCACTTAACAGAGCCTTATTGTTCAATGGCAGTGTTATACTGAATTCAACGAAATTTTGAATACACCGCTGAATACAAGTCACTGGTGTGCTCCAGCAGGGCTCCTCCCATGGAAACTTGAGAGATGCCAAAAGGCAAGGGGAAGGGAGCCGTTTTACCTTCACCGCGCGTGGCCTGCGCCCCTCACGATACTTAGCGCGCGATGCACATATCGGTTGCTGCGCGTGGTGCTGATAGACGCCACCGATCTCACCCCCATCAGGGTTCTCAACCGCAGCCGCCATTGCTTCTATCGCTCTTCCTCTGTCGTGCACGTCAAGCGTCACCCATCCCCCTGTCCTTCGTCGCATATTTTAGCTGTCATACCGCACTCTCGCTTCTCCCCCATTTCCGTCACAGACAGCCAATCAGATCAAGAGAAATGCATTCCTGCGTTTTCATTGGTCCCTGTTCGGGAGTGGAGAGAAGAGGGTGAAAGTTGAACCCAGTCCGGAAACTACGAAGAACTTAGCCAATCACAGCAAAGCAAGGTGAATGGGTCGATCGATTTCATTGGGTGGACTGGGGGCGGAGAAGCAGAAACATTAATTCTAGTGCGAACATGATTTTCAGTAGTTGCGAGTCTGGGTAGTTTTAAGCTTCTAGCCCTACAGGCTGTCGATAGGCCCGGGCCGCGGCCGCCATGTGGCGGGTGGGTGGCCCTGGCATCGCCGCGGTGAGCGTTTCCTTGAGCGGCGCGCGCGACTGCTTCCTGCACCTGCCGGCTGGATTGGCTTCCAGCCTCCGTCTGCAGCAGGTACAGGAGCGTAGGGGAGGGTGGCTTAATCTGTTGCCTGGGTAGAGGATCATGGGAACTCGCCCGAGCTCTTGCTCTTTTCTTTTTCCGCAAGCTGAACCCCTGCCCAGTGTCACCCGTGATGGTGAAGCTCTCCTGTTCTTTCCTAGTTGCAGATCTCTTATTCTTTCGCAATACGTGTTCACTCGCATTTCTGCTTTCCTCTCATCGTGTCTTTGTTGGCGACGTTCAGGTGCCCACTCTCCCCTCATGGCAGCCTCCTTCATCACAACTTTCGCATCTTGTTACTATGGCAACACAGAGAGGGCTTGGAATTCTTTTTTATAGCATCTTGATACTCTGGTTTCAGACTGCTGGATACAGTAGAGAATGGGAACTCTTTGCGTGTGCCTTTACTAGCTGTGTAGAATAGGGGTGGGAAACCTGTCACCCTGCAAATATCTTTGGATTACCATTCATGCAGCCCTGACCATTGGCCATGCTGTCCGGATTTAGAGTCCAATGACTTGGAGGACTACATATTTCTCGCTCCTGGTATAGAGGATGGAATTATGTTACATACAAGGTTGCTGTTTTGCTGTTGCTTTTCATCACTGCAGAACTTGAAGTGAAAACCTAAAATTCCTTTGTAGATTCCTACAGCTAGAAAAGGGCCAGACACTTTAAATCTGACATAACATACTCCTCTGTCTGCCTCTCTTTCTAATGCCAACTGAATCACCTTCCTTTCTAGCTCATAGCGGTAATGCAACCTGCCATGCCTTTTTGAGACCTGAAGTTCTGATCTGTGGTCATGCTAATGGCATGAAATCTTAGTTCAGTGAGATGATCTTCCTTTGCAAATATACTTAACATAAACATCTGAAATACACACATTAATAGAGGATGTCAGTACTTTGAGTTTTAACTTCCTCCATTAACTTCCTCCTTTCCTGTTTGTTATGTTTTGTGCAATCAGCAGTACCCAAATTTCTTTAGTAGAATAACTGTGTATCACAATGTTGATCAAGCGAAAAGTTCTATTTACCAAATAGTCTCCTGTCCTCTGCCGCTTTTGCTTCCTCTTGTCACACACATTCCTGCCTTACATCCTCTACTGCATTATCTCACAGGACTCAATTTCCAGTATTCCTTTTCTTGTTTATTTGAACATCAGATACATTTCTGCAGAGAAGTAGCCTTGCTTCACAGGTTTTACTCTTGTCATTAACATCCACCTCCTGTGGTGGCTGTGCATATAGTGTTAGGTCCTGCACATGCTTTGGTGGTTTGATAGTATACTAGCATTCTTGTTGGGCTGCCTCATCTTAAATATACACACATACTGTTATTAAATTAGACTAGGCTGAAAAGCATTTTCAAATATCTTATTCTAGATGGTGAAAATAAGATTGGGGTGAAATGGAAGATTTTTGTCCTAGTTGTTAGTATTAGTTAGTAACTAGTAATAGTTAGTAACTATTAGTTGTTAGTTGCATGATCTTCATTGAATGTGGAACTATGCTGCTGGAATTGTTCCATTTATTCCTGAGGGAGAATCTAATTCATGTAGGCATTCCTTTGTACACATGGATATTTCCCCTCCATTGAAGCAGATAGGGAAGCCCATCCATAGAAAAGATCTGCACAATATGCACAGGTTTTAGAGTAAAATTCTATACAAGGTTAATAACCTGTAAAGAAATACCCTGTATAAGGGTGCATCATATAAGCTCTCTCTTTGCTGAATAAAGCTTGATGGTATATATGTGTATTTACATATTCTTAGCCAGAAAAAATGTGCATGATGCATGCTGATACACTGTTTAACTATGGTTAGTCTTCTTTGAACTTAACAGGATCAAGCTGTGAAAGCTTCCTGGGACAATTCTCCTGTATTCTTGGGCTGGACAGAAATCCGACATTGTCATCAGTATGGTATAAACATTGTTGAAATAAGCAGACAACTAGCAGAGAAACTTGGCATCAAGAATGGACAGCAGGTTTGCAATGCAAGCTCTTGTTTGTATACACAGACTAGGATATGAAATTATTGAAATCTAGTTCATAGTTATTGGTCTTCATCTGGTTGTTTGTTGCATATTGTTAGTTTGTTTATAGTAAAGCATTTCTATGAAAACAAAAGTTTATTTTTTCATGCATGAACTGAACCGGAATTCAGGGTAATACTGTACTTAAGAAAACAATATTTTAAAAGGAAGAAATTAGTCTCTTTCTATACATAGGACCAACTCAGAAAGAAAGCATTATGTTGAATAACAAGCTGGGTTAGAATAATTTGTACATGATTCATTGAATTGATTAATGTATGAGCAAACAAAGATTCAGACCACCAGAGATTTTTCTTAACTGTTTAGTATCTGATAGTGTTCTGAACAGAATTATAAACCTGAAAAATGTCTTCTGGATTGTTCAGGGAGAACAAGGAAGGCACACTAATGAAAAAATGGTTCAAAATTATAATGCCAACACAAGGGAGGCATGCAAATGCCTTGGTTCATTTTCACTGCCAGCACTCCTTTACATCTTCTTTTCATTTTCTCAGCTAGATCATACTGTCTGCTTTATTTTGCTTATGTAAATATCAAGAATATTTTTTTCAACAAGGTTTATTATCTGCCAGATATTCCTTGAGCCATGTTCCCAAGTCTTATCCTGTCAGCAAGTAGAAGTGGAACCCCTCTCAGCAGATGATTGGGAGATACTGGTAATAAAATATTCAAATTGTTTAATTTTTTTAGTCATTTTAAAACATTCTGATGTCTTATTCCCGTTGTTTTTCCTTTTACAACCAAATGTTCACTGTACATAATTTTTTCTATTCTTTCCTTACGGTTCAAATCCAGTTTTGTGTATAAACTTCATCATGGAATACAGACAAGGTGTAATATAAAATGTTTTTAATGTTTCATTAACATTATTGTAGGAGCTGCATGCTTTCTCACTTGAAAGCCATCTTCTAGATCAAATTCGAATAGTGTTTCCTGAAGCTATTTTCCCAGTGTGGGTTGAACAACACACATGTATTTATATTAAAATTGGTAAGTGTCATTCATTTTTTCTACACCATTAGATGGATACTAGTAAAGTGGCATATATATTAATATGTTCCCCTTTATTTCAGTTACCTTAAAACCAGCTGCTCTTTATGGGAGACTTGAAGCTGGGACCAAACTTTGCATACGCCCTAAAATGCATCAGCATGAAGAAAGTTCCACCATGCTGCCTTCTGCAAAGAATCACTTGTTACAGGATAATATGTCTAAAACTCAGTTAGATTCAAGAGAAACAATGAAAGAATTATGTGCCAAAGAAACCGATTTAAATATGGGAGTCCCAGACCATAACTCAGGCACAAAAGTGTCATTAAGTGCAAATGTCTTGCCAAACATATGGAACATAATTGGTAACATTTTCTTTTATCCTTCTGACAAGAAACAGGGAGCCTCTTGTGATACTGGTGAACTGAATACAATCAAAGACAGCTTGTTGAACTTGATTCACATGGATTCTATTTTCAGAGTATGTCAGACTCCACCCCCTAGTGTGCAAAGTACATTAGCATCATGTACATTACAGAAATACAGTACCATTCATGTTTTTCCGTGGAATCTAGACTTTCCAGCGTTAGAAGCCAGCATTAAGGTTTCTTATGGGAAGATTAATAAACTGCTCTCTCCAAGAGAACAGCATCAGGAGTCAAGGCAGAATCTAATGTCCAAAAAAGAAAAGCAGATGATAAGTGTAGAAGACCAAAAGCAATCCAGCAGCAATAGAAGTCAAGAATCCAGTGAGAAGACTGTTGTGCAGATAATATGGAATGGATTTGAAGATTTAAAGAATAGCATATTGTGCAATAATCCTGTGGAGAAACTACATGTTGGAAGAGTTTGGGTTAGTCCAATTTCAGATGCTTGCAGGATAATCGTTACATTTGTGTCTTGAAAATGTTTAAGTCAAGTGAACTTGATGCTTTTCTTTCTCTGGATCTGTTTCCCATCTCTTCTTTCACCCTGTATCTGGGTTCTGATCATTCTCTTTCCTACTTCTGGTTGGTTGGTTCATTCTCTGTGTGTCTTTGCTGGAAGAGACATAGATTAGTGAAGTTAACTGACAAATAGCTTACTGTTTGCAAAATGGAGACTTAGTGGCACCACATCCATTGTGCCAGCTATTTTATGCTTGCTGTCATGGCAGTTTTGCAAAATTAGCAACTGTGTCTACAAACGCAGATGGGTGTTCCCTGTCCCATCAATTTCAGATATTTAATTAGGAAACTGTGTGCCTGGCCACACAGTGATAGGCTACAGTCTCTAAGCTCACAACCGTTGTCTCACAACACAATCCTATTCATGTTTAGACATGAATCCTACTGCTGCCAGCACATCCTAGCCAGTCATGCTGGCTGGGGAATCCTTGGAATTGTAGGCCTTTTTTCTGTCTCCAGGCACGTATAGGCTCATACCCTTGAAATAGTTCATTGACATCAGTAGGAACTATTTCCCTTTAGAATGAATAGCTGTGAACCATTTATACTTTTAAAAACAACATTTAATTAACTAACTCCTTGTATTTATTTGAATTACTTCTGCCCTCTTCTAACTGAAGTTCTTGAGATGTCTTAAAATATATTTAAAATAAAGTAGGTAATCAGGCTATTACAAGCCACCACTGGGTGAAGAGTCTTCACTCAGGCCACTAGTAATGTTTTGTGCAACTCCTAGTAGCAAATAAGATTTAAGGGTTTTATTGGTGCCCTAAAAGAAGTTGAGAAAGACAGTCCTGGCCAGCTGGAGGGGTGCTGTTCAGGTCTATATTTTCTGAGAGCATCAGAAAACTGTTAACATTTCAAATTGGATTCTTCACATTCATTTGGAAAAACAAACAGATTACTCTTAAATTTCCTAAACATGAGATAGAGGACTGGCACAGATACCTCAGTGGAATGTGAAGGGTTCTTTGAATATTCTTAAGCACATATTCTTTGGTGTTACTGTTCTTCATTAATTGCATTTCAGATACCAGAAGAGTTGAGAAAAAGACTACATATAGAAGTACATGCAGCTGTGAGAATCGTATCAGTGAATTCAGACCCTAAAGTTCCAACATCTATTCAACTGCATCCTGAAAGAACTTTAGTGAGCTTATGTCTTTTGCTTATGATTTGTCAAGAAGTTTCCAGTGTCTTGTAGGCTGTTATGGTTGGGGAGCATCATATTCCATGATGCTTTTTAAAACACAATTCATTCCAAAAGCATTCTTAAAGCTGCAAGGCTCTATCCAATGTTAGTTCTGTTTAGAGGAGACCCATTGAAATAGATAGGATGTAAGTTAGGCTAATTCCCCCTTCCTTCCCGCCTTCCTGCAGCAGCCTAATGTGATGATAAGAGAATGTCACTGAGTTGATTGGTTGCTGTGCTGGGTGAAGAGGAGGGAGGGCCAATTAGCAGCACACATGCCAGACTGGAGACATTAGTGAATCATAGCTGTGAAAGGTAGATTTGAGAAAAGTTCCTGGTAAAGTAGGAAGTGACATGAAGCAGATTGATAGAGGTCTAAATGGTTCGTACTTATTGCCACTACCTGCAAATGAGAGGATGAATAATACTCCTGGTGAATTAAAATGGATATTGTGTATATAAGGACTTGAGTTCTATTTTTTTTTAAAAAAATGGCTACTACAAGCAATTGAGAGGGAAGTCATGTTTTAGAAAATGCTGAGACTACAGGAAACCCTCAGATAATAAACTGTTCCAGTACTTAATATTTCTGTCCAGTGGACATCCAAATGAACAAATGTTTATTATGTAAAATTATTTATATTACAGAGCTCCAGCAAACTAACAATCCTCTTTATATCTTCTTTTCAGAATAATGAGATCAGTGAAGATGACATTAAAAACACGTTTAATTTGTGGTTAGAGGACTACAGCAAGCTTCCTTTGATAATAGCAGACAGAAGCTATATACAATTACCGCTTAAAGATGGTAAGCAAAATTGTATCTTTAGTTGTAATACTCTGTTATGAGGCTTCACCTTTAAAAAAATTGCTAATGATAAAGGATAGTTAAGTATGATTACCCTTCGGTCAATTAAATATTAATATGTTGCCTTTAAGGGGGATGCCCCTTAATCAATGCAATCAATGTGCAATCAGTGGAAATGTCCATAAGCCTCCATATTCAGGGGTTTACAGGCATTCCATGCAGGGTGGGAGTAGCATGGGAGCAACTTCCCCTTCACCTTCCACCTTACAATCAACTGGACTGTCAGTTTGACCATCTAACAGAGGCATATCAGATGAGGAGGGAAGGAGGCCGCAGGACCATCAGGATACATCATAATCTGACAAATGCAGTTTCCTGCCCTCTTTGCCCTTCTTAAGGGTCACTCTCATAGCCCTGGAGACACCTCCAGCATGGTTAATTCTGTACCAGCTGTGAAGTGAGGGGAGGATCCCCAGCATCTGAACAACACTATGGCTCTAAAAAAGCCATCTAGAGGCCATGGGAATGCTCTCTAAATCAATATGCCTGTTACCAAGCACCTAAGTGTGATGCATTCTTGGAGACAGTTTATAGTATTTAGCTAGTTATATGGAGACACACTATTTAGCTAGTTATATGGAGACACACTGCAGCTATAGGTAGTGCAGCTTCCACCCAGTTTCATCCTAGGCAGCTTTAGGAAAAGAACACAGGAGAACTTGTAAAGACTAAAGAAAGAGTTCTTTCAGCAGCAAGCTGTGAAATCTCTGATCAATGTCAATTTTATGCATGTTTGGACAGAAAAAAAGTCCCTACAGCTCTTACTGTACCCCAGCCAGTTATCCTGTATAACATGTATAAGGTTGCATCTTTAAAAGCATTTAAAGTGTAACTATCCCACTGAGAATTTAAAGTTTAAATAGCTTTCAGTTTTAGAAATGAAGTGTGTTTTGTGTGCATAAGTGCTATTGCATTGAAGCTTGCTTCTGAGATATGAATGGGATTGAGCTATGCCTTGTATGCTTGGTTGAAGAATGTCCAAGTTCTCCAGAATTACATTTGTGAATATATGCCTGCATGCACACACATGAAGTTGTGGTCTTCAGTATACCCAAGATACAGCTCTTTGGGCCAAAACATTTGTGCACCCCTGTTGTAGACGGAAAAGAATTTCTTTTGTTTTTATATTAATACATTGGATGCAAAATAACCATCAGTAAATAAAGAACCTTACCCTCACTTCTGTCCATAAATTTGGTTATTTCCAGTTAATCAATTAAAATGTGATTTGTTTTATCCCAAAAATGATTTTATATACCCAATAACACTTTTTGAAACATCTGGATTTTATTAATAAAAATACAGAAAAGTCTTAAAATATGCAATGTTCTCATTTTATATCACAAGCAAAATTATTATGTATCCATTGTGTTTTAAAAGGCATGGAGGACTTTGTTCTCAGTGTAGTCACTTCTGACACTGAAGAGGAAAAAGCAAAAAATGCTTTCATCTTGAGCCCTGGATTGCTGCGGAAGGCAAATATACAAGTAAATATCAGTTATTTCAGGTATCCAAACATTATCATCAAATAAATAGTGACATTTCCTTTATTTCACTATAGTTGTTAGTTGTTTTTGTTGCTTGTAAGAAAAGCATAAAGCACTGGGGAAATTTTCTAATAATCATCTGTGCATAACAATATTTAGTGTCTTAATATTTTAGAATCTTAGAGGAGTTCTGAAGTGACTGCTTTTCAAAACAGGCTTATAGCACATTTATTTATAAAGTGTGCTTATTTTCTAGTTTTTGGTATTCTATATTTTTAGAAATATATTTCTAAAATTTCTATATTTTTAGAAAAGTGAAAATCATGCAGTATTTAAATGTAATGTTGTGGTTTATTTGTCTGTCTTACTGTTTTGGGCTGCAATCCTGTACTTACCTGGGAGTAAATCCAACTGCATTCAGGATTTCTCTTTGAGTAGGCATGTATAGAACTGTACAAACCCCTTACACACACTTGAGATACAAGTTTCCTCCCTGTGATTTCTAATAATTTGATCCTAGTCTTATTTTACCAGTATATCTGGTAAATGGTCAGTATTTCTGCCCACTTCCCCAGTACTTTCCAATAGTGCAATCTTATACTTGTCTGTTTCAAAGTTTCATTGATTTTAATAGAAGTTGATATTAAGTGGTATAGGATTGCATCCTAAAAGGCATCTTTTTATTACTTTTTCTTCTTCTAAATAGAACTTCTTTTCTTTTGTGCAGGTTCTGTTACAACCGATGAACTTAGCCAGTGGTGGTGGTGGTACACAGTCTTCTTTTAACCAACATCTTCCATGGTTAAGCATGAACTGTTTAGGGTGAGATATTTTGGTAGCATTATATAATTGCAAGAAACAATTAACTGTAAAAAGCTGCGAAAAATTAATTAAACATTTAAAAACCATGCAGTATAAATATAGTTACCATTTTAACTTTGAGGAATGTTGTTCCTAAAGAGAACACTAGACGTTATAAGACTTGGAGTTGTGCTCTGTCATGATATAGTAACATGCTTAATCTTACTTGTGTGAGTCAGAAATTGGGCAAGTGGCAAGCACTGGTAAGTTAGAAGAGTTTCTATACAATAACATGCACAAATACTAGATTGGCATATCAGTGCCTTCTATTATAGGTTGTGCTAGTCAGATTGATTTATCTGAACTTTTCTTACATACAAGGAGCCCACCTACATATCAAGGGTAAGCATGGTTGGATACCCACTGAAGGGCCACATCCCATCAGAAACCTATAGACAAGACTTTTCACTGTTACAAATTGATTTTTTGTTCTGGCCCAGACAATGGTAGTGGTGAGGAGGAGCCAAAGATGCCATTATCTAGTCCTCTGCTTGTCAAGCATGCAAGTGGCAGCCATGATGAGAGCGAGTAGAAGGATCAGTGACAGCTGGGGATAATGGCAAAAGTAGACTCAGTGAAAGAGGGGCTCTACTGAGGGTGCCTTGCCCAAGGGCTCTCAGAAACCTGGAGGTAGAACTGCAAAGACCTGAAGTGCAGCATATATGGAGAATGTCTGAATGAGACTCTTTCTGTATATTTACAGTTGCTGCAACTATGGGCATTAAAGTATCATAACAGAATAGGGCTCATAAGTTTCATTTCCATAAACAAGTCACTTCAGGGCATTTCAGGATAGAAAGTATTTTGCTACAGTTTTGTAGCAAATTGTAGCTACAAAATTGTAGTTCTCAATTTTGCTACAATTTCCTTTGCAGAGGTGTAGATAAAGAAGGATTATCTTGTTTCAAACACATATCACACAGCCTCTTGGGACAACCACTGTCTCAAAAGCTAGCTTCTGTATCTGCAGGACTGCGTAGTGGAGGAATCCTGATTACTGGAGGAAAGGTACATTTTGACTTTGTTTCTTTGCTTTAGCACCTAAGACATATCGATTAGTATCCTTCATCCAATTTATATGTCAGACAATCATGAATTTGTCTCTAATTGACTCCTTCAAATAATGTAAATAAGATCTGATATTACCATATATATATTTGTATCTACCTATCTATATAAAATATATGTAATTCTATATTGTATGTATTATTGAGATTAATGCAGTGTAGTTGTTAAGAGTGGGTCTGGGACTCAGGCAATCTGGGTTCTAGTCCCTGCTCAGCCATGGAGTTAGGAGACTTTGGGCTGGTCACAGACTCTCAGCCCAAACTACCTCACAGAGTTGTTGTTGTGGGGATAAGACTGAGAGCAGGAGGAAGAGAATGATGTAAGCTGCTTTGAGTTAAAAAGAAAAAGGTGGAATATAAATCTAATAAGTAAATAATGTCTTATGCAGTACAGTGTTTATACTTCTAATGTATAGATTTGCCTTACATCCTCATAGATATGCTAATTTCTTGTTTTTTTGTATGATGGCCCTTCTATATGACAAGTAATTCCAAGAGAGTCCTCTGTTGAAGGCATAATCAACTTGCTCCTGGGATTTTAGTTCCTTGTAGTTTTAATTCCTTTCACAGGAGATAGTGCATCTCTGTTTCCTTAGGGAAAATCTATAGCAACAAACTAGAATAGTATTCTTTAATTCTGGATATAATTTTAGAATGTTTTAGTCCTGATTTATTTTACAGGGAAGTGGCAAATCAACTTTAGCAAAGGCTATCTGCAAAGAAGCATTTGATAAATTGGATGCTCATGTACAAGTAGTTGACTGTAAAGCATTAAGAGGTATGAGTACAGCTGTGTCCTTTCTGTAGCTCTTTTGGTATGTGAAATTGTTTATTATAGTGTTTTTGCTTATCTTAGCAGCTGTTAAGATTTGGATTTTAATGAGAGAATGTATTGACCAATGCCATATAGTAAGCCACATAAACTATACAGAAGTTAAAACTTGGATCGCAAGTGCCTCTGGTTTAATCACACTCCCCCACTGGTTTAATATTCATATTTTAGACCAGAGTTGGACAACCTATTGCTTTTGGCCTAATTTCATGTGGCCCTTGTCTTAGTTCCCAAAGCCTTCTGCAGGCAATCTGTTTAGACTTCTATGAATTATCTATTACTTCTCCAGCATCCTGGTCAGTGGAGAGAAATATAGGAAGGAAATAGAAGGCGGGATGGGAGGAATAGAGAAAGAATTGGAACTGACCATATCCACTGCTGGCATGTCCCCCTCGAGTTATTCTCTCTGGAATATAGCCGTCAGCAAATAGAAAGTTTTCCAGACCTGTCTTACATTGCCTTAAGGAGATCTGTAATAAGGGATAATAAAGATCTGCTATAAGCAAACTGTGTCATCGTATAAAATAAAAATCAGCATTGATCCATAAACTTGCAGAATCAGAGTTTACTGTAGAAGCTACCATGTTTTCTTTCTATTTCTTGCTACTCTGCATTTGTGTTTCAGGAAAAAGATTAGAAAACATTCAGAAAAGGATTGAAGAAGCTTTTCTGGAGGCAGGATGGAGACAGCCATCTGTTGTTCTTTTAGATGATCTTGATCACATAATTGGAGTTCCCCTTGCTCCAGAGCATGAGAAGAGCCCTGAAGCAGTCCAAAGCAGCCATCTTGCTTATGGTAATAGCTTGCTACTTAATTGTACAAGAAGATTCTATTTCTGGTAACTGTAACAAAAATTGATGCAATGTAATTTTAGGTATAATACCTAGTAGTTAAACTGCTTTATTTTCTGGTTCTAGTTTTGAAAAATTTGATAAAAGAAGTTATTGCCATGCAAAGTTTGATTGCACTCATTGCCACAAGCCTATCTGAACAGTCACTGCATTCTTCTATTGTGTCTGCTCAAGGAATTCATATATTTCAATGTTTTCAACATATCCAGGTTCCAAATCAGGTAAAAACTATAAACTATAATTTAATCAGATTATGTTCCATTAGAAATTATTTAAAATCTTGGGATCTAATTTCAAGAGTTGTTGTAAAGTTGTAAAATGTGTAATGTTGAATACCCAAATCTGTATTTTATCTTACAAGGTTAGCCCCTTGTCATTATTTTGAAATGTGGTCTAGCTTTTTCTTAGTATTTCTCAATTCTTTGTTGTTGGCCTGCAGATCAAGTTGCTTTTTGTGTTTTTGTGTTTTTTCAGGGACAAAGGTGTGAAATACTTCATTCCATAATCCAAAATAAACTTGACTCCAGCATAGAGAAGTTCTGTTATCTTGATCTCCACCTAATTGCAAAGGAAACGGAAGGATTTGTGGCTAGGGATTTGACAATGTTAGTTGATCGTGCAATACACTCATGTATTTCTAGCAAGGGAACATGTCAAAAAGAAGGTATGTACTATAAGCAACTTACGCACAACATTTCTTTTACGGGGTACAGAACCTCAGGCCTGTGAGGCCAAATTGAGCCATCTGGGGTTCTGCAGGTGGCCATGCCCTTTTACTCACAGCCTCCAGTTGGGTAGTTTGCACAAAAGACAGAAAAAGTAGCAATCTTCTCTACATTGTAAATGGTTCAATTGTCTGTCCCAAGGCTTAGTTCCTTGTAACAATATTTCTAAGGTTGACTAGGCTGGTATATTTGGTATTTCTAGTGTACCCCTTTTGCCTTTATATCTCCTAATATTTAATATTGAAAAGTTATGTGTAAAACAAAAAGAAGAAAAAGATGGGCATCTTTTTATAATCTGAAACCATGAATTAATTAAGAGGCTGGATTAAATAGAAAGCACAATAGTACTCCTAGGATTAAATAATCGTGTATTGCTGATAACCACAATTAACTGGACTTATTATCTTATCACATTGCTGCATAAAGAGGTTTCCTACTACACCATTATGTGCATGAAAGCAAGCTAGTTTCTCTGTTGTTGACTGAGAGTGATCCCTTTCTTTCATGCCCTCCTCATTCTTCCTTTGTTCTTTTCTTTTTTGACCCATAACAATGCCAGTATCAGAAGAGAGTGGAATATCAAGTGCTTTGATCCTAGAGCAGATGGTTATATTGGAGGTTGGAAGGCAAAAGAACAAATGCAGGCAGATAAGCTGGTGCTGAGCTAGCTGAAGGCCTTCAGTCTAGAACACTGAGGGAGGCCTGAATGGTTTCAGCCAGCAATGAGTTATTCAGACTTGTTGAATGACCAGTCTGAAGAACTTTTATACTTGCTGATGGCAAGTAGGATTATGGGTTGAAATTTGCCATAGTACCATCCAGCAACTGTGGTAACAAAGGTGGCAGGGAACTGCTCCAAGAACACTTTTCAGCCAAGTGCATAGTTCACAGATGTCATATAATGCCCATCTGTTATGTTCAGCTATGAATAAGGAGCTGGGGCAACTGTTTGAGTTTTTCAGCTTGTACTTCCTGGTACTTCTGGTTTAATGATCTGTCTTTTATGACTGCAACTTGGATGCAGTTAAGATGGGTTCATTGGTCCTGTCAACATTTTATTGTTAGTGCAACTCACAGGAGCAATGCCTTCTATTCCTCACCATCAGACTAATACAGTGTTGGGTCCCTTCACAGGAAGAACATACTGGATGTGGCCCTCACTTTGCTGTGCAATGAATCTTACAAATATGGCTGCTTTTTGCCTTGTATATGTATCATGGGATGAAGCCATTAGACTTAGCCTTGACCTTTATTAGGCTAACAGATTTAATTTATGGCATATTTAGAAATAATGTTGCTTAATATTCCAGTGCAAAAATCATAAAGTGAATGTTTTTGTCCATTTTAACAGATTTGATTCTGTCAACATCAGACTTCCAAAAAGCTTTACAAGGTTTCACCCCAACTTCTTTGAGAAACATTAGCCTTCATAAACCTCAGGACTTTGGCTGGGATAGGATTGGTGGCCTTAAGGAGATACAGCAAGTACTTAAAGATACAATCCAATTACCTGCAAAGGTACTTCTTGTTTCTTTGTCTAAAAACAATTAATTTTCTTAATGCTGTGTTTGCCATATAATCATATGAACATAGATATTTGATGGGCAGCAATTCTGGCTTGAAGAATAACCACTTTATTAAAATGGGCAAATACATATGTATGCTACAATCTTCTCATTCAGCCATACTTGAAGCAGAAGGATCTTGAAGCAGAAGGAAAGTGCAACAGCATTAAAAGTGCACCTGTGTGGATTGAACAAACATGAGAAAGATGCAGCAACAGAATAGTATTGAGATGGATGGGTTTGCAAGGAAGTATGAGTTGTTAATCTAAGATCATCAAGAGTCTATGCACAGGGTGGAAGGGGGATCATGTTCATCCTCTCTAAATCTAGATTACCTTGCATTGAGGCATAATGAAAATAAGTCTTTCTGTATACCCAATGCACATAATCTTTAATCTCCAATAGAATGAACTAAGCATTTTAGATAATAGACTGTGCACGTAGATCTTATTTCTTGTTGCATGCGGTTTGCTAGTGTGAGGCTTGGCAGGTGCATCTGGGACATGGGAGAGTAAATACTATGTGGCTTGAAGCAGATGTGAAGAGGACAGGAGAAATGAAACACTGTACATTTTGTATATATAAATAATAGGATATATGATTCTTTGGTAATTATTGGACTATATCATAAAGCACATAGCCAAACAGGATAAACTGAAGCCTGTAAATGCAGAATGTTACCCATTACCGAATGATGTTACAATGTTTAGAAAATTATTTGTTTGCATATTATTATTATTATTATTATTATTATTATTAGAACATTTCTATGCCGCCCCTTGCCGAAGCCTCGGGGCGGCTTACAACACAATAAGATACAATACAATACAAAATAACAATATAAAATTAAAATTAATAATATAAAATAAAAAAATAAACGATATAAAAGAAGTTATAAAAGAAAAGTTAGAAAAGAAAAGAAGAAAAGAAAAGAAAAGGAATATGCATGTTATATCTCAAAATAAGCAAGCCTTAAGCTATTTTACAGGTTTTTGTGAAAGGAGGAGGAAAAATGAGGGATTGGTTGTACTTTATATATGGAAAAATGCCAGAACTGATATTGTGGAACATACTACATTCATCATGCATTAATATTAATATTGCTAATAATGGGGTCAGCAAAACAGTATTCAAGTGGTTATCATCATACAATGTCTGATGTCTTTGTATACTTTCAGTATCCAGAGTTATTTGCAAACCTGCCCATACGACAGAGAACAGGAATATTACTATATGGGGCTCCAGGAACAGGAAAAACTTTATTAGCAGGTGTAGTTGCTCGAGAGAGTAGAATGAACTTTATCAGCATCAAGGTAACCAATCGAACTGTTTCTGAATTCCAGTAAATACTAAGATGCACCTGAAATTATTGAGATGTTTTAATTGGGCCAGGATTCAGTAAGAAGATGGACTGCATATATATAGTTTTGCTTTCAGAAGCACTCATGCAAGATACCTACATTGCTTTTTAAAATCTAAATGAGTTTGTTGTAAGCCAAGTAATAATGTCCACAATTTTACATTATGAATTTACATAGTGCTTTCCGCAGCCATAGGAAGTTGCTAAAATATCTTAACTGTCATTTAAAAGGATGCATCTATTTGTGCCTTCAGCTGATAGAAGGCTCTGTGATACATAAGAAAGGCATGATTTCCACTAATGTTTTCTGCTCCCATTGGGTGGGAGCAACATGGGAAGTGGTGTGGAGGTTGCAGAAGAAAACAGAACTGTGCAAAGAAATCAGCTGCTGCTCCCTGTGCCCTCACAGGATTCTCCACTGATCAAAGGGCTGTGGAGGGGGAGGGATACAGTCAGATACAACCCTTCGTTTTTACCTGGTACAGAGACTGGAAAAATGTATATCCAGCTTTTGTCAGTGAATCTCTTGGGCAGGGTAGATTCAGTTTCATCTTATTGCATAATGTCTTTCAGTTACTTGATTTTCATAATGTTCCTTTACTTATGTGCCTGTTTTTATTCATTCACTCAATAATGATCAATTACATAATTTCTGTAGAACGTGTGTATTACTGGAGAGTTGCGTAATACAATCTTTTTTGTTGTTGTTGTTAGACTACCTAGAGCCATTGCATATTTTACTTCCCTCCCAACTTTGGAAGAAGAGGTATCCTTGGTTATGTTTAAAATGGCTAGTTATTACAGTAGCTCAAATTGTGTCTCATTATGATATGCCCTCCCTTCGGTCTTGATTTCTTACATTTTTAAAGGTGTAAGGTGCAATCCTATACATATTTGGACAGAAAAAAAAACTGACAACTCTTAGCATGCCCCAGCCAACTGGGAGTTTTTCTGTTTAAATGGGCATAGGATTGCATCCCAAGTGGTTTGGTTTGTTGACAGTACTTTCATATTTGTGTTTTACAGGGACCAGAACTGCTCAGCAAATACATTGGAGCAAGTGAACAAGCAGTTCGAGATCTATTTAACAAGTAGGATCCCAATTTGCTAATAGATTCTCTCTTCATGTTTGGTGTTAAAAATAGTTACTGGAAGTACTAGAGAGCAGTGTGAAGAAACAGGGCTAGTTGGAGTGAGTGGGAAAATAGCAAGGCTTACTAATATCACATGCCCAGTCTTGGCAGGCTCAATCCATTCCTTCAGTCTTTATTATGTTGTATTGCAGAGCACAGGCAGCCAAGCCTTGCATACTTTTCTTTGATGAATTTGATTCTCTTGCTCCTCGGCGAGGTCACGATAACACTGGTGTAACTGACCGAGTTGTTAATCAGCTGCTGACTCAGTTAGATGGCGTAGAAGGCTTAGAAGGTAATGATTTCGTTGTTATTTCTGCCTCTTCCTGTAAAATGTTTAGCAGACATGTGTTATTAACAGATACTCTTACTTTTTCCAAGGAGTTTATGTACTAGCAGCCACTAGTCGCCCTGATTTGATTGACCCTGCCCTTTTGAGGCCTGGTCGCCTGGATAAGTGTCTGTATTGTCCACCTCCTGATCAGGTAAAGAAACAAAGCACTGCACCAACTATGAAAAGGAAAAAAAGAACCCTAACTGAATGGGAACTAACTAATTTCTGTATGAATTCAGTTGAGTTGTATCCTATTGATGACTGAGATTGCATAAGAATAAAATCATCATGATCTGTAGATCATATCCAGTTTCAAAATATGAAAGAAAAATCAGATTGGAACAGAATTAATTTTAACTGAGATAATAGCATGACAACCCTTATATGCTTACCCGGCCTTTAAGATCAATGCAGGGGGCCCTCTTGCATTAGCCATCCCTTGGGGAGGTGATAGGAGTGGCTGCTAGGGGGCGGCCCTTTTCTGCTGCTTCCCACAATTCAAATGCTCTCTCTAAGGAGATTCACTTGGCGCCTTCTTTAAACTCTTTTTGGCACCAGACAAAGACCTACCTCTTTAAAAGACATTTTAATATTGATTAGTCGCTACCTAACCCTCCACTTGTATTGTTTTTAATGTACTTTTATCTGGTTTTAGATAAATTTATGCCATTGTTTTATTGTTTTATAAAGTATTTTAATTATCTGTTGTTAGCTGCCTAGAGAAACCACGGCAAATTAGGCAGTTAAATAAATTAAAATTCTGTACCAAGAAAATTATGCTATTATGCTAATATTATGCTTCTGACTAATGTCTTTGTGTGAATTGTTGCCCTGTTAGTTCATCTAGTTGTTTTAGTTTGAACTAGATCAATTCTATGACTGTGTACAGAAGCAAAAAGTATAATCTAGCATTGAATAAAAGTGAACCAACAAAGGTTGGTTGCCACTCTCTGGCCTTCCTCCTACTTCATACTGAAGAATTTCTTGGTTTAAAGGGGGTGCAATGACCACAATATCCACTGTACCCACACATGTGGGTTCAAAATATGTAAACTCCCTACTCGATCATCTTTAAAAAATCCTAGTCAAAATTAATATGACTTTTTAAATTAATCTGCTTAATTGTAAAGATATGCTTTTTAATTTATTCAGTTAGTAAATAACAATTTGCTACCTGAATATATTGTAAAGCATATTTTTACATTTTTGTGATCTTATTACTGTCCTTTATTCTTCTTCCTCTTCCTCCTCTTCTTCCAAAAGTAACTTTTCTGTATTAATTGAGGTAACTGAATTCTTACCAGTACCAGTATGAGCATTACAATCTCCCATTAGTACACTGACTTCTGCATTAGGAAGCTCATTCTGCAGGTCTAGTAGATAATCAACCAAAGTAGTACAAAATAAGAAATGTGATAGGGAATTCTGAGGTGGATATACACATTAATTTGTAATTGCATCCCCCATATGAACAAGTAATTTTGATAATGGTGAGGACTTAATTGGACCTACTGAGAAAGAAGAGTTTACTATTTCACATTGTGTACCTAACTCTTAACCTTAATGTGTTTTTCTCTTTAAAAATATTATTTCTGGAGTTGTGTGATAATAGATTTGTTTGAGAAAATGAAGGCTTGTAACCTATCAAAGTGGATATTTATAATGTTTATAAACACCTCTAGAACTTGGATGGGATGGAAATTGAGCAAGTACAGGTTTTTTGGATGGTACTTTTGCAGAAGCTAAACACATACTGCAAAATTCACAAAGATGCAGAATGTAGTAGTTTCCTGATGATCTTATCAAACATGCTTAAAAACCAAGAAAAAATCAATTATGGGTAAGAAACAATCTTGAAAATGTGTGTGGAATTGCAAAAGACTATTCATCCCATTCAATAAAGATGATTTACTTTAGTGCTTCCACATGCTATTGTAACTTCACCACTGTCCTTTTTGCTAGATCACAAGGCAGATTCAGAACCAGAATGTTAATTTAATATTCTAAGGGCAAGAAATTAGTATTTTAGTAACAAAGGTACTTCTAATTGTCTTAGGCTTCCCGATTTGAAATTCTTAAAGCACTGAGTCATCATCTTCTTCTGGCACCTGATGTAGATTTACAGCATTTGGCAGCAAAAACTGAGCATTTCACAGGAGCAGACCTCAAAGCTTTACTATACAATGCCCAGTTAGAGGCAGTGCATGCTAATTTGGGTTCAACCTTGCCCCAGGTGAGTACATTTAATTTTGTTTGAAACAGAGGTTTTGCTATTTATACAATTTACCAAGGTTTCAAAGAATCTCAAAACTTTGGTAACCAGGATGCCTAAAATGCTCTATATTTGGATTAATTTGGAGGTTATATCATCTAGAAACAAAAAAAAAAAATTTTTTTTGCCATTGCTTTATTTAATAGTAAACAAGTTTCTGGAAGGTTTCTTCAATTTCTCTTTGTTTTGCTATAGTTAGAGCCTTGGATCCAAATATCTGTATTTATCATGCCCTAGAACTTGTCACTTTCCTTCTTGAATAGCTCTCATGTCACATCATAACTATGCATGGAAGTCCTCTCAGTTTCAAATTTTCACTCACACTTGTTTTCTTTGTCAGATAATGTTGGAGTGCAGTTTTCTATGAAAGATAAACTTTTTTTGGTCTAGGAAAAAAAAATTTGTGGGGGAAAAGGAAATATGTGCAACATAGCTTTTATTACTCTTTATAAATCTAAAGCTACTTTAGGAACATAAAATATATTTCATAAAACTTCAGTCTCTTATAAGATTATTTTTTTAAAAGAATTACACAGTAAACTTGTGGTTAATAGCTGAATAAATTATACTTTCAAATTTAATATATGAAACATTTAGTTTTAAAATTATTTACAAATAATCAACCATTCATATTCAAATGTATAATTGTAATGATAATACTTACTATATTTGCTGCAGCTACACATTAAGTTTATCTTATGTCAGCTTATTTTGTGAGCTGCCCCGAGGCTTCATTGCAATGGGGGCAGCATAAAAATGTTTTAAATAAATAAATAAATAAATAAATATTTTTATAGTCCTGTTTATTTACTAAAACAGCAATATGAGGCTTTTTAATAAAAAGTAGCAAATTTTTGTATATGTGTGTTTTCTTGTTGTTCAGTCAGTTTTAACACAACCCAATCCCATAGTGTTAAATTTTTTAAAAGTTAACATAGATAAGATTACCTGGATGGATTGGGAGGCCCTTGTCAATATATACATATAAGGAGACATTTAAAATTCCGCCATAAACTATTGAGGAATGATATTGAAAAGAATGAAGACATTTGAACATGCATCAAATTAGTCGGCATACTCTGTCATTCCTTCCACTCTGCATTGGATTGTTGTAAGTCTCTACAATCCATAGGAGACTGCACGCTTAACAGGTAAAACTGGAGCAACAGTAACAAAACTCATGATAATGAGAGAAAACACTAACATAAATCAAACATTTGCCAAAGTGTTAACTTCTTTGTCTGAAGGTGAGAAGAAAGGGATGCCATGGGGCTCCTTTTGGAGGGATTTTGCAGTCTTGGCAATGCTAATTTTTGTTAATTTTCTTTACTAGGATATAGGCTCTAGCTCAGACAGTGATCTCAGTCTATCATCAATGGTTTTCTTAAACCAAAGCAGTGGATCAGATGATTCTGCAGGAGATGGAGAAGGAGGCTTGGAACAATCTCTAGTCTCCCTTGAGATGTGTGAGTTGCTTCCTGAAGATCCAAGATCCAACATATATCGTCTTTACTTTGGCAGTTCCTATGAATCTGAACTTGGGAACGGAACTGTTTCAGAAATGGTAATTGGCTACTTTTCCTTAATTAATCTTCATGCAAGCAATTAAATCAAATTACACATATCTGTTAAGAATATTTTTCTACCCCAAACCAAATTCAAATGTATCTTGGAGTAGTAAAATGTTCCAGAAAACATCCCTCTGTGTGGGGTCAGAAGATGTGCACTGTTTCCCTGGATGTGTATTTGTATGAAATACAAAAAAAAAAAACCCTCCATGAAACATTTTTACCCCAATACATTCTACTAATGAGTTAAAACAGTGGCAAAGATCAGTAGACTGCTTCGGATATTTCTTTTGTCCCAAACACTTTGGTTTTCAAACATAAAATTCTGGACATGTGAACCTGCTGCTCTGACTCGATTTTGTTTGAAAAACTTTACTCCAAGATCTTCTGTGGGCTTGGACTGAAAAGTACCTCAAATAAAAGAGTTAGTTGAGGTTTTGTATCATATTCCTTTTTTCTAGTTACTTTTTGTTATGCAGGGAGAAAAACTGCAAATGGTAAGTGGCTGAAATTTAAGTACTTTGTTTATTACTATGCAGGTAGCAATCTCCTAGAAGGAAACATTGCACCTTGGGTAAGATTTTATCCCATCATTAGAAAAAGTTTGATATTGTAAAATGAGAGGAAAAATAAAATTTTTAAATGTAATATAAGAAATGTGTGCCATTGAAAGTCAGTGGCAGTATTATTTAATAAACACCCTTGAGTATGATAAATTTAGAACACTGAATGGCACTCTACTTTATCCTTCAATTAACTCCAATCCATTTTCTTGTTTATTACGGCCTTTGGAAGGGAATGAGGAACGGAAGTTACTGATGCTGGCTGCAAGATAGTGGGCTGGTTTGTGCAATTGAGCCATGGTGTGTGAGGGCAGGCATTCTGAATATTCAGTGCATATATTGAATTTATAAACCCTTGCATAAACCATGGTCCCTTGTTGGATTATGGGAAGTTTATTTAACTTTCACATAGCCCATGGTCCCTGACATAGCCCACATGACAACAGGATGTGGTTGTGCCTTGACTATGCAAATCCCGACCTGCATGCACCACAGCCCAGTATGGATTAAAACTACCCATGGAATGATCTGATTGTTCAAACCAAGTCACTTTGACTTCCTAGTTTGCTAAGTTATGGACAGACTTGAGAGAGAAGCTAATACAGCATGTGATTTAATTGGATAAAGTCAAGTAACACTTCATCCAAGCTTTATACTCTGTCTGATTTGTCCAAAAGTAGAGGGAGGTCTGTGTGTGTTTTGGGAAAGTATGGAGGAACAAAAAATGACATTTCTCTTTCTTTCCTGGTCTTTTCTGTTCTACAGAGATGATCAAGGTAGACCTCTGTAAATGTGAAGTGTTTTAAAGATGAAACACATTCATGTTTAAGCTTTTCATCGCACAAATAACTTAACCTGACTGATAAATCACTTTTTACTGTTTGCCTTCTTTAATCACATTTGATAATTATCCATTACTTTTGTTGAAATAGTAGCAACTGAAAGTATGAAATTGCTGTTTGCCTTGTATTATGATATTATATATTTTTTATTTCTTTCTACAGAGCTCTCAGTGCTTCTCAGGACCAAACTCCATGAATCATGATTTAACTAGCATATCTCTAAAGGATTTTGTATCCTCTCAACCTCCAGTGTTAAGAGCAGCATTACAGGAAGGTTACCAAGAACTTAATCAAGATCAGATAGAGCAACTCAGGGCTGAAATCAATGCTATCAAGGCCAACTACAGGAGCAGAAATGGAGTATGCAAGGCATTTATATTTACTGTTTATTGTATTTACACAATTGTTCTTTGGATTTTTTCTATAGTTGCAATAATAGTAAGTACTGCAATAATGCAGCAACAAAGGTTTGAGGTTTTAGAAGCAGCATAGCAGTAGGAATAAGTTCTCTACAGGTAAAATAAAAGTGCTCAGGTGGTCCTTGCTGGGACAACTCAGCTAGCACATCTACTTTAAGGTTGTGCTCTCAGAGCCATGATTTCACAGTTCTGTTCTGGCACTCGCTTCCCTATCTTCCCCAGCTGCTAAATTGTTTGCAGGCTAAGAACAAGAGAGTACTGAAATACTTGGTGTATAGTCTGAAATTATTGAAGCATATTTACAATTATTAACTATTCAAACACAATACTCAAAACAGTCATTTTCAGTTGTTAGTCATTCCTAGCCTTGATCTGACTGTTAACAGTCTCGCCGGTATAGTTTGGTAGAAAGCTTGGCCTTTCCCTAACTGTTATACAGGAGCTTCAGATGTGCTGGCATTCTGACTTACCTATTGTGCTCTGTGTATTTAATTGGCATTATTCTGAGCCCCTTGGCTCAAGAATCCATTTTATTTCTGAAAGAAGCAGCATGGGGAAACTGCCAAGAAACATCTTTGTTAAGACTCTGGCTCATCACAGGAGCCTTAGTATGTATGTGATACTTCTGTTGATAAAAGGAGTCATGCCTGCAACTATGGAATCATACAGATACTTAGAAGCTAGCACAGTATCAAAAACAAAAGCAGTGGTCCCTGGTGTCCATTGGGGCTGGTGGGGCAGCAGGCAGGTCAACTAATATTGGGCAGATCCATGGGGTCACAGTAAGCAGAGCCACAAACTGAGGCATGCAAGATAGAAGAATAAAATGCAAAATAATTGGCTTTTTCGGGGAAACAGTAGTCTGTAGTACCTAAGCATCTAAGATCCCCTCTCCCTTTTTAAAATTTGTGACTAAATACTGAGAAAATGTTGTAAACCTCCCTGAGAAGCTATTGGGTGGTATAGAAGTAAAATAAATATATAAATAAAATAAACTTAAGGGAAGTCAGTGCTAAGAGCATTTTTGTATTGGCAACCAACCCAGAAGCCCTTAGGATCTCATGCCTCTGAGTTCAAGTAATTTTAATTGCTCCTGCTTGCCTTCTAAATCTATCCACCCTTTGTCACTCTTACAGCCCATCGTTGTCACCAGCACCCACGCTTCCTTGGTTGTACAGTCTCCCAGTCCACTGCTCTGCTATTTCCGTAGTACCACCTCCTATTTATTTGGCAAATGTAGGGTTTTCCCAGTCTTTGTCTTTTTCTGACTCTCTGGCATATTTGAGTTAGTATACTGATTGATGTAGTTAAGAACATAAGAAAAGCCATGGTGGATCATACCCAAAGTCCATCTAGTCCAGCACTCTGTACACATGAGTTGGTTTCTAAATCTAAGCCTTACATGGCTTAGGACCACGATACTTATCAAGTGCCTATTCAAGGTGAGTAGGGTGGCAAGAAAGGGGAAGGTTGTCTCAGTGATTGCCTCCCTGTTTGTGAAATAACCTCCCTACTGCAACTTGGCTGACACCAAATTTTTCATCTTTTCCACACCAGGTTAAGATAGCCCTCTTTTCTGCGGCTTTTATTGACTCACTTGGCCACCCAGATGCTTGAGAGGGTTCACCAGTTTTTCAGAGTCACGCTCACTCATTCTTTTCTCTCGCATTCGTTATTCCTTGCTATTGTGTTTTTATTACCAGTTTTTAGCTGTTTAAAGCTATTTATTTTTTTCTGATTTTATGATATTTCTGTTTTACCTTTATTATCTCTCTTTATGGAATGTGTAAACCGCCAAGAGAGCTTTGGCTGTGGGGGGGGGGGTATAGAAATGCAATCAATCAATATAAATAAATGACTGTTACTGCAAACCATGGTTTGGCTGGATCTCTGAACTTGAACCATTATCAGTATCAGGGCAAATTACTTTTGTTTTATCATACAGTCTGTTTATTCATAAAATACAGTATTTTTCCTTAATGTGATTGTTTTTCAGGAAGGGGTCACTCCCAGCCCATCCATAGTAAGCAAGAGAACACTAAGTATTACTCAGATTCACCTAATGACTGCACTTGAAACCACAAAGCCATCTATTAATCAGGATGAATGGAAGAAATTTGCTGAACTGTAAGTATAAGTCTTGTAAAAGCAAGCTACAAGGTCTTAGTAATAATCTGCCTTGTGAGGCACACCAACTGTGCACAAATCTATGTGATTGGGAGGTTGCCAGTCAGGTGATAGAAGGAAGGCTCGGGGAGGGAGGTACCAGCGGAAACCTCATGTTACCACAGGATAGGTGGCCTGCATTCTTCTTATTCTTTCACCTGCAAGCCCAGTAAGAAGTCCCAAATGGGAAGTAATAATCTTGGGATTATCAGAAACACATGTTCAACCAGATCCAAATTGAAAGATGATGTTAATTCAAGCATGTAATGAAACGGAAAGAAAAAGAGAACAGCACTTGTAAATAGATAAATAACAACAAAATACATAGCTTGCAAACACTTTGACCTAAAATACTCACTGTACAGTGGAACCTGGAGTGTTCCAATATGCAGAGCTTCTTTGGGTGGTCAAAAGAAGAGGTGACTGGGGGATCAGAATGACAGACAAAAATCCATATTCCATTTTTAATTAGGAGAGAACAGGCTCGTATGACCCTCCTACAGATTTTGCCAAAGGACTCACACATAAGGAGGAAGATAATCCTCTCACATTTTGGGCTAGGAGTTGGGCTAGAAAGTGTTAATTAAAAGGGAGATGACTTTAGTTTTCATTGGCAAACCTGATACATCAAAAACCTTCCTGTTTGGAAGCCCAGGGAAATATTTGCGGTATTCCAGGTGGTCTCTGGACACCAGCATCCAGGTCAAAGGATGATGATGATGATTTAATTTCTATACTGCCCTGCCCCATAAGCCAAAGCTCTTTGGATGGTTTATATACAACAATCCATAAAAACCAGACAATAAAAGAGCAATAAAACAGAATCAGAAAAAAATTTAAAACAGCTAAAAACAGACAATAGCAAAGTACAACTCTGCAAAACACCTGGGATAGGTAACTTCCTGCAGGCCCCTCAGGGTCTTTAACGGCCTCAGAAGAGAGCCTTCTTAACCTGGTGCTGAAAAGAGGATAAATTCAGCATCAGCCTGGTCAGTGGGGAAGTTGTTCCATAGATGGAGAGCCACTACAGAGAAAGCCCTCCCCCTTGTCGCTACCTTCCATGCTTCCCTTGGAGTTGGCACTCAGAGGAAGGTCCCAGAGGTTGAGCAGATATTTATAACTTGAAAGAATTAGTACACTGATGTACAGTTCCCTGCCACAGTATTTATTAATTTTTAAATATTGTCCATGAACATTTTGGAAAAGTAGTCATTAACATCATGGATGTGTTTATTATGGATTACTGTTTATTATGGATTTAAAAATTCTAATTCATTTGGGATTTTAATTCCAATTCATTTTTAGTTGTACATTGCTATCCACACTGAATGGAGTAGCAGTTATGGCAGGGTGTTGAAGAATATCCATTTTAATTAAAAGATTACTGCTATTTCAGAATTGTATGCCATGCAAACCAGTTAGGGCACAGTCCATTTAGGATGCTTTTAACTCACTGAGAGCCAGTGGTGTACTGGTGCAGAGTGCTGGACTGGGACTCTACAGATCTGCGTTTTAGCTCCCAGTCAGCCATGACACTCACTGGTGACCTTGGGCCATTCACAAGGTTGTTGTGATAATAAAATAGAGGAGAACCTTGTAAATGGCCTTGGGCTCCAAAGAAAGGTGGGGTAGAAATGTAACGTAATAATGCTATTATAATCTTATGGACGGCAGGAGGAATGCAGTGATGAAGGCTGCCCCTGCTCTCTTCTACCTTGCAAAGCACTTTGGAGGGGGAGTGCAGGAGGCTGTGGCACTGCAGTGTACTTATCTCTTCTTCTCTCCATCCCTTCCACCAAAAGGTCTTCTCTAAAATCGCTCTTATGACCTTGGAGAAGCGGTCAGCATGGTTCTTTTTGTCCTGGCAGGGAGGAAGGAGGAGGAGGATATGGTTACAGAGCCGCAGCTACATGGGTGGAATGATTTTCTGACTATGTAGCTGAGAATGTAAAAAAACAGATGACCATCTAAGCACTGACTAGCAGCAATAGGATTGCATTATAAGCCTCTAAGGCACAGTAGCATTTGTTTTTATTTCTGATGTGTTTTTTGAATATTTCTCCTACAAAGTACATTCTATGGTCTTAATGTGCTTCTATTCTTTTTCTCTTTTCTTTTTTAGGTATGATAATTTTCAAAATCCAAAGAGAAAAGGATCCAGTGGACTAGCTTTCAAACCAGGACAAAAAGTAACATTGGCTTAACTTCTGTGAATATGGAAGTGATTATAATCACTAAGTAGTTTTCACTGCAAAGTGTTTACTTTGCTAAATTATATCAATATATATAATATACACATGTGAATATATTGATGCTAGGATAATAAATGATTGATTTCTTTGAAATAACTTGTTGCAAAATTATTTTACATAATTGCAGTTTTCAAATTATGTCTTCCTGAAAACCTATATTAAAATGTTTGAGGTACTATTGTCTACTTGAATTCTTCTGTTTTTTTCTGGTGGGAAGAAGAATTATACACAGTCTCTTGTTATTTCAGTGGGAAAGCCATGAACATGCAATGCAATGTGGATTGTTCACGGAAGAAGCCATGGCGTTTACAGCCGGGCACCATGACTTCTTCGCATCCTTCCCCTTTGTTCCTCCAGCCAGTATCACAGTGTGGCAGAACCTGTCTTGTATTTGCTTCCCTGCTCCAATTGCTATTCTTTTTCATTCACTGCCATTTCATTTTGCAGCACAATTCAGGTCAATATATATTTTTAATCAGCTTCTGAGAATTGCACAACCATTTGTACATTTTTAAATTATTATAGCTTTGATTTTTTAAAAATTTGTTGTTGTTGTTGTTGTTAGTTGCGAGGTTGTGTCTGACCCATCGCAACCCCATGGACAACATTCCTCCAGGCCTTCCAGTCCTCCACCATCCCCTGGAGACCACGTAAGCTCACACTGACTGCCTCAGTGACTCCATCCAGCCACCTCATCCTCTGCCATCTCCTTCTTCTTTTGCCATCTATTGTTCCCAGCATTAGACTCTTCTCCAGGGAGTCCTTCCTTCTCATTAGGTGGCCAAAGTATTTGAGTTTCATCTTCAGGATCTGGCCTTCTAAAGAGCAGTCAGGGTTGATCTCCTCTAGGACTGACCAGTTTGATCTTCTTGCAGTCCGAGAGACTCACAGGAGTCTTCTCCAGCACCACAATTCAAAGGCCTCAATTCTTCGGCACTCAGCCTTCCTTATGGTCCAATTTTCACAGCCATACATTGCAACTGGGAAAACCATAGCCTTGAGTATATGCACTTTTGTTGGCAGGATAAGAGTAATCTTGCCTGTTATATCTCCTTGTATGTTTTGGCTCTCAAAGGTAGCAACAAAGTGGAGCAGATAATTTAGCTGGAAATTGTCAAAGCATGACTGTGCATAGGCTAATTTGCAATGGTTGCCAGGGAACAATTGTCCCATTGTTAGTTGAAAAGCACTAGTAAAGTGACACCAAAAGAGCACACACCAAAGGGGAAAGGGACAATATCTCTACCTAGGCAATGTGATCCTCTGGCTTGTAATTATTGAACTGACAGTGTTCTTCACCTTTCAGCACTTCTCCAAATTTTCAGCTTCTCAGGAAGAGGAGATATTAACTCTTTTTGTAGATCCTTTTTAGAGCAGTTACGGCTGCAGTTTTCATTTCATAAAATCTCTAAAGGATAAACAGGTTATATTTAGCCTCTTCAATCATCTCACAAAGAGCACAGGTGATGCCAGTGTGCCTTGTTGTTTTGTAGCTCTATATGATGTAAGCTGAAAATATGTTTTGTTGCAAATGGGGAGCCAGTTATTTGCGCACAGCCAGACCTGACTCCATCTCTATCTGGAGCAATAGTAGATCAGCACCGTATTACTAAATTTGCATATCACACACTTTCCAAGTCCATAATTCAGTTTCTTAGAATTTATTTCAGACTGCGGATGCTGACAACTTAAAGTATACTTGCCTTTCACTGATCTGATGACTGGCAGGTGCAGCTCTTCTCAGTTGTCCTATCCAACAGACCTTGAGTAACCTTTTCATGATTCTCTGTTAATCTTTCAAAAATATTGTTTATTGAAGCAAACAAACTCAAATTTGCACTATACCTATTAGTACCTAGAATTAAGAAACAATTGACAAACTATTAATATCAGAAAGTCCCTGTGATGTAAGTAAAATTGTTTCAAAAACCAGTGCCTGTACTGAACTATGGCTGATACTATCAATAGCTGTTTAAATTATATAAAACATGTAACAGTTGGGAAAAAATAGTATACTACAGTATCGCTCTCAAATAACAGAGGTTTAATTTCCATTGGTTCTATTTTGAATGAATATTTTGTAATGACATCTGGCTACAGGATATTTGAGCTGGCTTACTAGTTGCGTCTGCCTTAGTATGGCAAGGAGCCAGGCAAGCTCGACTCTTGTGGCACTTGAGGCATTGGGTAGGATTCAGAGCAGAGGTGAGCTCCCTGTTTCCCACTGGGATCTTGGAGTGTTGCTTCAAGACCAGGCCTAGTTTTGGAGCTGGCATCCTGCCACAACTCAGATTGGTGGTAGAATCATGGAATAGTACTGTAGGAAGGGGGCCATTAAGACTATCAGGTCCTGTTCCCTGCTCAATGCAAGACTTTTAGCATCCCTAAAAGATGGCTGGCCAACTGCATCTTGAATGCCTCCAGTGTGAAAGAGCCCACAAGCTCCCTAGCTAACTGTTCCACAGTTGTATTACTCTAACACTCAGGAGGTTTTTCCTGAGGTTCAGCCAGAATGTGGCTTCTTGTAAGTTGAGCCCATTATTGAACCCTGTTATGCATCCTAGAATGATTGAGAAGAGATCCTGACCCTCCTCTGTGCAGCAGCTGTTCAACTACTTGAAGAATGCTATCATGTCTCTCTTCAGTCTTCTCTTAAGGCTAAAACTGCCCCTTTCCTCCTCCTCCTCCTCCTCCTCCTCCTCCTCCTCCTCCTCCTCCTCAACAGGGCTTTGTCGTTGCCTTCCTCTGAATCCTTTCCACTTAGTCTGCATCTTTCTTAAAATGTGATGCCCAGAACTGGATGAGACCTACCCAGTGCTGAGTAGAGGGAAACTAGTGAGAGGCAATGTGGTGTAGTGATTAAAAATGTGGGACTGGGATTAAGGTGATCTGGGTTCTAGTCCCTGCTCAGCTATGGAGCCAACTGGGTGACTTTGGGCCAGTCACAGAGTCTCAGCCCAACCTACTTCACAGGATTGTTTTTGTAGGGATAAGATTGAAAGTAGGAAGAGGAGAATTATGTAAGCTGCTTTAAGTTCATTGTAAGAAAAAAGGTGGGATATAAATCTAATAAAAACTGATTATTCTCTTTCTTTCCCCCCTTTTTGAAGATAGGGACAACATTATCCCTGCTCCTGTCATCTGGCTCTTCACCTGTCAAAGATAATTGACAGTGGTTCTGAGAGTTCTTCTGCCTGCATTACTCTAGGATGCTCTAGTCTCTAGGATGCTCTAGTCCATTGGGTCCTGCAAGTTGAACTCATTCAGAGTAATGAGGTGCTCTTTGTCCAATTCAATGACAATAGTCCATGGAATTGGTCCCTGCTGTCCTAATGCCAATAGTTGATTGAGTCTTAAATATTCTGAGAAGTATATCTTAGAAATTTTGCTTATGAGCAAATATAACCTCACCTGAAGTAGTCATATGTTACATAATTATAGTTATTCCCTTGGATCATAGGAACAAATCTTGGATAAACTTTAAAAATCTTGGATAACTTTAAAAAATGGGAGGGTGTCTTGTTTGAATATTTCTGTAATGAAGGGGAATTGATTTTACATATTATTCATACATTCATGTAGTATTAGCAGGCAAGAAATGTTTTAATAAATAAATAAATAAGCAAAATCAAGGAAGCTGGCTGCTGCTTTGATCATAATTATAGCAATTGAAGTCTTAATGAAATTTGTAGACATAAGGAAGTATGTTCTCAAGTAAAACTGAAAGAAAAGCCACTTTGGTACTCTCATGGCAAATGATATTTTTGTTAAGGAGTATTTAACTGATTGTAAGAACATAAGAACATTAGAAAAATCATGCTGGAGCAGATCCAAGGTCCATCCAGTCCAGCGCTCTATACACACAGTGGCAAACCAGTTGCCCACAGGATCCCTTTAGTAGGATGGATGCAAAACCTCCTCCTGTCCAGCTCTTGTGCAACTGGTGTATGCAGGCGTGCCACCTCTAACTCAAAGAGGATGCACGGGCCCACAAGGCATTAGCGACTGATATCCCCCTCCCTCATGAATCTCTCCAATCCCTCTTTACACCATTTTAAACGCACTATATTTTCATATTATACAATATTCTATCCCTGTGACTTTTCCCAGACTGAGTTATCTTCCCTAGGCTATTATGGAATTGTGACACAGTATTAACTTGCTGTTAGATAACTGTCTGTCATACTCTGTAGATGTCTGTTTTAAATAGCCATGGTGTCCTTGGCTGACCTCCTAAAACAAAACCGCTGCTTGCTCCAGCAGGAAAGGATTACATTTCCTTGATTACTGCACAGGGGTTAGAGGAATGAGAGGCTTGAGGATCCTGTCTTTCAATTCCCCAGCAAAACAAAAACACTCGGTCTAGTAGCAAAACAAGTCCATGAAAGGCAAGCAGGGATCCCGTTCGCCGCGTGAGTCGCCGCTTTTGAAAATGCCTGGCTTTTGCAGAAAGGTCATTTTATTCGTGTGAAAGCCGAGAAGGGGAGGGAGGTAGACAGAGACTCAGCCAGTCACGCTGTAGGGGCGGGAAGGATCCGGCTGGCAGGATTCAAATCGCGCCGCGTTTCGCGTCTTCTGTGGCCAAGAAAGCACGTCCCCGTCTTTGCTGCTGCTGCGGCTGCTGCGGCTGCTGCGGTGCTTCCCGTCCTTCCTCTTCCCCCGCCGGGAGCGGCTCCTCCTCCGCGCCTGCCCGCCTCTCCTGCTCCTGCTCCTTCAGCGTAAGGCCCGTTGTTGGCGGTTCCCGCGGCCGCCGCGCTTCTCTTTTCTTCCAAGCTCACCACGATGGCCGGGTGCTGCGGCGGCACGCAGAGCGACGCCGGGGAAGAAGCGCTTCTGCGGATCCTTTCCGCCCGAGGAGCCCGCATCGCTGACGGCGGCCAGGGTCTGCTGGACAAGGGCTTCGACATGTACATAGCGGACCCCTTTGACGCCGAGCACAACCCTCAGGTGAGGGAAGGAGGGACTGGCCGGGGCGTCCCCATCATCCGGGCGGTGGGGGAAGAGGCTGGTCGCGGCCGTCCTCCTCTTAGATTACTTTTTATTCTGTTTCTATCGCGATGTCTTTCTTGTGGGGAACTCAAGGCCGCTTAAAATCCACCTCCTTCTCTCCATTTTATTCTTTAAACGGTTGCTTCTAAGCCTTACATTTCTGTATCGGTTAAGAAGCAATACCATTTCGTTTGTAGGGACGCCTTTATTTTATCATTATTACCTTTATATCCAGTCTTCTTCGTTCTTGCGAAAAACTCAAAGCAGTTTACGTGGGCCACTTCCTTTCCATTTTATCCTCACAACAACCTTGTGAGGTAGGCTAGATTGAGGCCCTACGGGACTGAAATAATCAGTGAACTTCATGATCGAATGGAGACTAGAACCTGGGTTCTCTCAGTCTCAGTCTAGCACTCTAAACCACTACACCTTACTGGCTTGGCTTGTGAGTAGCAGTCATCTGTTAAATGCAGGGTTAAATGCATCCAAAGGAAAAGGATATGTGGAGGATGAGTGTTTGGGGAGGGGGGATGGAATGGGACAGGTGTTTTAATAATGGGGTATGGGGTGAAGTAAGTGAGGAGAGTTGATGGGGATGAAGCTTTAGTATGTGGGAGGATGCTTTGTTAGTATCATGAGGAAATAGGATGATAAAAATATGGGGATAAAATATGAGGCATGGTCAAATGTCTGTGCCAGTGATGTGGAAACTGAGGAGATTGGGAACAAGTGTTTTGGAAGGAACATTGGAAAGATGTATCATTGTGAAAGTGATGGTATGGAAATTTTGACCCTGAAGAACAGAGTAGGGTGGAAAAGAAGTGAGGAAATGGTTTTGTGTAGGAGCTGGCTGGTGGGTGATATTGGCAGGGAAATGGTAGCTGCCTCCGGTAGTGGAACAAGTAAAGAAAGGGGGTGATGTGAGCAGAGAGCAGGGAGACCAAGCATTTGAGTTTGGAAAAACAGAAAAACCAAGGAAGTTCTGTGGGTGGACAACAGGGTGCTAGAAGGAAGCCCTGTGTGTAAGAAGTGAGTGCAGATACTTGTCTCTAAGTATACAGGTCAACATTTTGCAGCAGCCTTAATGAATAAAGGATGCTTCTAGACAAGCTGTAGCATTTTAGAAATTCGCAGGGTGAGGGCAGGGGAAGAGTGGTAGCAGCTGCAACTGTACTGTTCCTTTCAGTTGGGCCTCCAATGATAGCTTACTAAGCCTAGACCAAGCCAAAGTAGTTCAGTCTGGTTTGTACCAGCAAGATGGTGACGTGATCACTTGACCTGATATACCCTTACTAGAAATACATTGTCGTCGCTTCTTGCTATTGCAGCCTGCCAGGTCTACAGGAAAATGTGGAAATGTAGAAAAGTGGAATGTAAAGAGTTTAAAATGCCAAGTTAGACAACATACCAGATGATTCAACCCATGTCTAGAAGACTTGGTCTCTGGGGAGAGAAAAACAAAGTATTTCATTGTTGTTTCTTTTCCTGTGAAGTAGGAAAATGTGTAATTGTGGTAGCTTATTTTCATACTGGCCTCTGGCTAGTAGCTGTGGTTTTCTAACAAGGAGATTTTATTTAAAACTTGAAAACTTTTCAGTATTGACACAGAAAAGCATAAAAGGAAAGCATTAGTGGTGCTACCTATTTAATGTGTTGCATTTATTTTCAGGGCATATTAAATTTTGGAACAAGTGAGAACAAGCTTTGCTTTGATTTAATAAAGGAAAGGGTAAGTTTAGTTTCACGCATGAATTGTGATGAGTGCAGAATCTGGAAGCGTGATCTGTTGACTGAATTAATTGGTGGCAATGATTTGCTATTGAATAATCAAAATGTTATGTATGATACGTAATGTATGATAAACCATGACTGATCATATATAGGTCTAATATATGGTAGGGGCAGAGAAATCATAAGTTCTTTGTGTTTAATTTCATGACTGATTCATATGTTGAATATAATTGTCAGCATGGGTATGACTCTTCATTTTGATCTGTTATTCTAGTTCTCAGTCACAGATTATACATGTGTGTTCTCAGCTAAAATGAATTAAGACTACTTGATTAATTCCTCTAAATACTATTTTAAAAAGCATTTGAGAACTATCGCATATAAGAAAAGATCTTGTACTGTTACCTTTATTTCAAAAACCACTGCAGCTTGCCAAACCTGATATGAATTATCTGGAGCCTCACTTACTGCAGTATTCAGATACACAAGGCATTAAAAGGTACGATGAATTCTTAAGGAATTTAAAATGTAATTCTGTGCAAGTTTAAGCAGGAAAATGAAGCAGCTTGAGAATTGCAGGGCTTTTTTCTGTCTAAAAATTTGCATAGCATCATGTCCTTAATGTGTTTTCATACAGGCTAAGACCTGTTTTTCCAGTTCTTGTTAAGTAAAGATTTCAAAGGCTATATGAGAGGTATATAGTTTTAAGAATGATTTAGAACATTTGGTAGTTATAAAGTAGTTCCAACAATGACTATGAACAGGAAAATAGTTGTTTGTTTAAAACCCTCACCAGAGTGTGCATATTCAAATGATTAGTGCATAACCTACCTTTAATAATGATGCAGGGTTTTCCAAGCATAATGGATAAAAGCATTTTCAATATGCTTCTGAAATATGGTCACCTCTAAAAAGTTAATTACTGCATATAATGCTAATAACATCCAATATGTATCTATGTCAGTTGCTTAATTTGACTTGTACTGAGCTTATTAATTACGAATACAATTTAACCCCCCCCCCCCGACAGATTAGGATGGGATGGAAGTGCATCTCTGTTGGTGGAGAAGAGCCCAGCTGGCAAAGGCGACACATAAAGTGTGGAGGTCCCTACTGTGGGAGACCCATAAGCAGGACATTGGAGGACAGACACGGTGTGCATCCATGGCCCCTCTGTTCACCAATGATGAGGATTGGCCCTATCTGGCAAAGTTATTACATTCTTATTGAAATCAAGGATTAGGGGGTTAAAGAAAACTCCACCAGAGATGGGAACAAACAAAGCCTGTCTGTACCTCATTACTCCCACACCCCAGGCAGGCATGAAGACTTTGCAACGGGCAGTGATTTACCACCTTCACGCCCACTCTTCCAACCCTATTGCATATTGCTCTGTCTGTCACTGACTTCTTTGACCTACTAAATTATTCTAAAAGTAAAAATTATTTCAAAAAGTACATTTTTGAAATTAAAAACACCCCACTACTGAAAAATAAAGTAGTGGGGGGGGAGTTTCTATTTCAGAAAATTTTCACCCTGCATCACTGAACCTTGAGATAAAAATTCTTGATTGCACTTTCCAGAACATACTCGTGTATCTTGGAACAAAACAGCAAAAGCATCAAACTTAGCCTCTAGGCACTACTGCTTTCCGCAGCCCACATTTTATCATGGATTGATGAAATTCACCTTGTAAGATCTTGCATACATAGGAAAGTATTAATGCAAATTAACCAGTAATGTGTTAATTTTAAATTTCAGCTTCAGAGAAGAAATTGCCAGATTTCTTACTGAATATGCAAAAGCTCCAGCAGCACTGGATCCTGAACATGTAAGGAACCACAGTATTTTCCCTTTATGATAGGGAAAGTGTTCCCTCTCACTTATGAAAGTTTGTTGGATCTTTCATGAGATCTTTCAGAAGCACTGTTTTGGAAAGGGTGCTTGAGTTTGACTTTTAAATGGTTTTGGAAAATCTTCAACACTGAATTTATCAAGTGGTTAAAAATTTAGACTACAGCTAGTTCTCACTTTGCTTATTTACATTCTTAAAAAGTAGCATAGTTATTTAGATGATCATTGTAACTGAAATAAGTAGTCCAGGAATAGAATTCTTCTTGGAAGGTATTTGTACAAACACTGTTATACTGAATTTCATATCTTTATATTAACACTTCCTAGGAAATACCAGTTGGAAACCTGAACTACTAAATGGTACATTATCAATTAACTGTTTTTAGTTTAAATTGTCGTCATTTTTATTTGCATTACTGCTCTTAAAGACTTCTTAGATCCAGAATGATTGAAAGGATACCTGCCAACAGAGAATAGATATTTATCTTTATTTATGATTATAAATACAGGATGTTAAATGTTGATTGACTGTTTTGTTGTTAGAGTAACTTTGAGCTGCTTTAACCTGAATATGATTGGTTTGCTGTAGATTTGTCTAATATTCTGATTAATTTTAAAAGTTTGACAGTTTTGTTATCACAACGTATTTGTCTTCGGTTTCTAGATTATTGTGATGAATGGTTGCTGTGCTGTATTTGCTACTCTTTCAACTGTGTTGTGTGATCCTGGAGGTAAGAGAACTTAAGTGTATAACAATGAGTGGGTTTCCATGACATAACAACCCAATATGGGCAGCCAGCCACAATGGGTTGTGTTTTTTGAACTTCAGTAGTTTCTGCAGAGTGGCTTAATTTTGGGGAACATGCCACTGGTGATAACACATGGCTCATTCTAGGGGTTACCACACCCATGATAGGGTTGTCAGATCATCCAAACCCAAGAGAGGAATTTTATCTTGGGTTGTTGGAATCAGCTACAGAACCTCTTAGAAACAATTGCAGAAATTCCTGCCACTCTGTGATCTCATCTGTGTCAGCTCCATCCTGCCTTGTCAGTGACTGGTGCCCATATGGCACTTTGGAAGCATCATAACTTGTCACCTCCCTTTTTCCTTTTTCCCCTTTTTCTTGCTGTCAAAAAAACTGAACAAATGTCTTCATATTTGTTGTCCATCCAATACATGTAGTTTTGCTTCAGTGTTTTTGTAAACATCATGCATTGATTTCCTTCTATGTTACCCACTGTATTTCATTCACTTTGACAAGACAAGCCTACATAGGCAAATTTCTACATAATTGCCAAGGACTAGGGGGAAAGTTTTACTAAGAGGGCAGGGGAAAGCACAAGTACAGGTAGTCCCTGAGTTAAGAACGAGTTCGATTCCTGAGAACATCCTTAATAATGATTATACAGTAATAATAAAATAACTACAGGAACTGAGGCTGGAGAGAGAGAGAGAGAGAATTTGTGTGTATATATCTAGGTATATAGTATTGTAAAAAACAAAATATTTCTTAAAACAGTTTAGAATATTTTAACTCAGATCACTGTCATTCTTGCATAGATTATAACAAGATCATGAATATGAATCATTTTGAGCACTTTAAAGTATTGTATATATTTTTTCTTTTTGTTTGTTCATTTTCTGAATATATTTCTGAGTTGGTGTGGTAATTTACAATAACCATAAGAAAAATAAAATGCCACAGTTCAAACCAAACCAAATCTAAAAACAGAGAAAATAATCAGAAGATTCTTTCTTTTTATAGAATTGGCTTAATATTTGCAGGCCTGTTGGCCACCTTGGTCACCTGCTTATACCAGGCAGGTGTTTTCTCTCGCTCTCTCTGCTTTCAGTTCTGCACCATTTTCCCATCCGTAATATGGACATGCTAATACTGATCCAGTTCTCCTTTAGCATTTGCTCTTGTAACCAGGCCCTCAGCTGCTACAGTACTATTTATGATAAGAAAATGAAAATGAAAACAACACTTGACGCATACTTCAAGAAAGTGACTCTAGTGGTAACCCCCTTCCCTCCAGCAGCACAATCTCCAGCATCAGGTCCATATCCATCAGCATCAATTAATGTTAGGCTTAATTGTTACCTCATGGATTAAGAAGTTATGAATAAAAACAGGATTTCAAACTTTAAAACAGAAACAGCAACAACAAGAGTGGAGTAGGAGGAAGTGATCTGGGCAGCTCTGCTTCTGCTCTTTCCAGAAATTGTTTTGCCATGGTTCTGCTTCATCCTTGAGGCACTACACTGGCCTGGATATACTTAAGCCAATGCTGTGGAACAAAAAGCCACAGATACTATATCTTTAGTGAACTACACGGCCACTGAGAAACGTGTTGCCAGATGCATCGCATAATTCTCTAGAAATAGCTGTTAAATATCACTAGCAAAAAGCTGTGACTAACTCTGGAAAATTTCTCTTTCTAACAAAAAGCTATGAATATCTTTAGGAATAACTGTGACTATCTCTAGGGAACTATGTGATCACTGATGATATGTTGCCAAACACTTTGTTTAGTTTTCTAGAGATATTCACATAGAATTTATGGCAGTCAGCATGTTCATAAGTACAGGTTGTTCATTACTTGGATGTTCATTACCCAGGGAGTACCTATACACCAAAAAGGGGGAGTACTTAGCAAAAAGTAGTACACCAAAAAGTACCTTGTACTTAGCAAGGTAATCCTCTCACCTTTAAGGGTTGAACCAACATTTATTACCACCCTAGTTCTGTTCAGCACCTCCTCAAGTCTCCAGCAAGCCCAAAATGGTGAGATATTCTCTCCCCCCACACTTTTTTTGGCAGTTCATTTCAATGGGTGTTCTCTATGTAGTAGTACTTCTGGATTTTCCCCGATATTTTTAGTGGGCTATTAATAGTATGTGGTTACAAACGAATCTAGGACTAGTTCAAGAACAATCTGTTATTTGGAAGCAATCTTTTCCAACCACAATGATTCCATCCAAAGGAGCATTGAAAATAGCAGTACAAAGATGTCTGCAAGCAGAACGCAAAATGCATGGCTCTGTTTTGCAAGATGTTAAAATTACTTTAAGAAATTCTTCCTTGTTCATTCTTCTTGTAGATGGGTATCTAATTCCTGCTCCATATTATGGTGGCATAAATTCTAAAACTTGGCTCTATGGTGGAATGCAGCCCGTTCATGTGCCCTTGTTCAGTGAGGTAACAAAAATAAATTTACTAAAGATTCCTATTTGTATAAGTCCAGATTTATTTTTTTATAAATGAACACTATTATATACTGCCCAAGTAACAAAACAACCATACTATGTAAATCAAGCTCTGCAGATGTTTTTCTTGAATACTGTCCCCCTCGCCCCCCAGAAAATTGGAATATACTGGCAAGGCTGTGTTATATTTTCTTGAGCCCAGGTGTATTGTGACTCATATGCACAATAGTAATATGTCAACCTCAGGATGTAGGAAGTTGTTTTCTAAGGGTGCCATCCAGTCCTCTGAACTCAGAGAATTATATGCATCCCATCATGTGTAGGACCATCAATAAACCAGCAATAAAACCTGAAAACAGGCAGTCCAAGCAAATCTCTCTCCCTCTCTCTCTCCCTCTCTCTCTCCTTGGCAGCGCACTGACCAGCCATGCAAAAGCTTGGATGAGTCGCAGCTAATGTGTCACGGCTTGTGATGTCATCGCCTGGCACCACTACTCCTTTCCGAGCATACACATGGCCCCTATGTGCGCTGTTATCTGATGCTTGGCTACTGGGGTGAAGCTGGGGAAACTTACCACTGCCCTAAAGTAACCATAAGTTATTTCAATATGTGTCATTTTCAGACAAGTTAATTCCCTGTGAAAATGTAATACTACAAAATTTACTGTAGATCATGCATCCTCAAACTACAGCCCACAGGCCGGATCCAACCCGCCATGCTGATTTATCCCGCCCACCTCAGAGCTTTTGGACTTTCTCAGAGAAAATGATCTCCGAGCAAGTCCAAAAGCTCTGAGCTGGCACAGGAGTACTCAGTGGGGAGATTGCTGCGATTGCAGACAGACACGATCGCGATTGTGCTGGGAGGGAGATGGCCGCGATTGCACCTTCCTTCCCTGCACGAGCGTGCCCGCGATTGTGCCCATCTTCCCTGCACAATCATGCTGGGAGGAGGGAGATGGCTGCAATCATGGTCGTGCTTGTGCAGGGAAGATGGGTGCAATCGCGGTCGTGCTCAGGGAGAGATGGCCACGATTGCGCCTTCCTTCCCTGCACAAGCGCGCCTGCGATCATGCCGGTCTTCCCTGCACTAGTGTGATCACGTCCGTCTTCCCTCTCCAGTACGATCGCGGACACTGTAGCTATGTCCCTTGAATATGGACCTGTTCTTCCCCAGCTCATCTTGGGCATCTGCTGCAGCCCAAGTGAGCAGAGCAAATATTTGTTAATTTTTAATTAATTTTAATTGATTTTTAATGTGCCATGTGCATAGGAATTCGTTCATATTTTTTTCAAACTATAGTCCAGTCCCGCAACAGTCTGAGGGACAGTGAACTGGCCCCTGTTTAAAAAGTTTGAGGACCCCTGCTGTAGATAATAAACTTAATCTAGATATCCCCATCCGTCAAAACATAGGATGCAAAGGGAGTATCTGCAATCAGTTTTAACTCATTTTAATATAAAGAGGAAAAATCCCCATCAACCCTGATTTTTCTGCAAGTGATTAAAGTAAGTATTTTAGTCAGAATTGCATTACCTTATTGAAAGTTTGCAGTCATATTTAAATTCTTACATAGGTGCCTAATGAAGAAAATCAGCCTTTTCAATTAACAATTGAAAAATTAGAAACTGCATATCAGAGAGCCAAGGAGCAGGTAGGAATATTTTTAACTGAACTCCAGCTACAGTGATTTTGACTAAATGCTATTTGTGTGATAAATTTTCTAGTGAAATTAGAAATGTAAAATCTCTAAATGTATATTAGAAATGTAAAATCTCTAAATCTGTCATGCACAACTTGGCTTAATGAAACTTATCACTTTCACAACTGTTCCCAACTTCATTTTCATAAATGGTATTTTTCCTAATTTCAGCATAAAATAGATTATTTTCAGTTGGTGAAAAGCTGATTTAGTTTTGTGGAATACATAGGTTTAAATTTACTTTATTTGATAGTAACTATGTGTGTTATTTTATTCACAATATATTGTTTAATTTAATTCTATATGGTTTCATGCATATAAAATTACTGTGATGAATGTTTTCATTTAAATTCTCAAATTATTATTCATTAGATTTAATCTGGAATGGTTTGGGTAGAATAATCAGACAAGTTTAATGTAGGCCTGTTATATTGTTTAAATTGCCTTTTTTAAGTAATAGTAAAATATTTGCTGTTGAAATTGCTGAAATTCTTTTCTTTGCTCCAGCTATTTATAAATGAAAACATTTGAACTGACAGGAAAAAATGCTGTGGAAAAATGTCTTGGTTTCCTGAAGGTTGCTTTTGCAATATGTGCCATGAAGTATCTTCAGTACTTGGCATTTTATTAAAGGATGGACATTTTGCAGACTCTCTAGTCCTTTGTTTGACGTCATGTTGGCGTCTCCGACTATCAGTTTTTCTTTTTTCAGGGCATCCGAGTCAGAGCATTAATCCTGATCAACCCTCACAATCCATTAGGGGACATTTACCCAGCACAGTTACTGAAAGAATGTCTAGAGTTTGCGCACAGGTTTGAGTCCTAGCGCTATTTGTTTGGGCTTTCTATTTTCCATGACTAATTATAGAAGTTATTTTGGTAATTTCCTTATTTCATTGACATAGGTCTGTAAGAATGTATGTTTAGAAAATATATTTGCACCACAATTTATCTTACATATGGCTATTGGTCATGGTGTAAAACACCAGAATTCTTAAAATCCTAATATCTTAATGTGTAAGCTATATATAAATTCGTTTATGCATCACTAAACAAATGTTCTGGTGTATGTAGAGCTGAATATCCTGGTAGTTAAACATTTAAAAGTATACATCATAATTATGAAAAATGGTAATTACCAAAATCAGTAGTAATAAGAGTGTATAATATGGATTGACAACTTGATACCAACTTTATTCCTTGGTACCAATTTATGAACTGGATATTATTAAATATGGCCTCTGACTGTGAGATCTGAAATTTCTTCAGTCAGGCTTTAAAAATTCCTCATTTTCTTCTTTGATATTTCTTGAGCTGTCCACATTCTGATTTTTATCAGATTCTTATCCTTGGACACATTACTATAATATTTATTGTGCAATCCTGTGCAAAGTTATTTCTATGTCAGTTCCTTTGCCACTATTTTCAGTAAGCTTCACTGGCAGGTATTACATAATGGACTGCAGTTTTAATCAACAAAATGTCATTTCACAAGTATTTTGCTCTGGAAGAATCTTATCCTATACAAATAGAATGCCTCAGGTAAAAATCCTAGCATACTCTTCCTGTCCACCCATCATTCATATAAAATGGATGGGCAGAGTAATCTTGGGGCCCCTGAGAGAGGATCCCAAGGACCATAAAATATAATGGAACTCCTCTCCTGAGATATGAGACATTGCTATGACCTAAGGAAAAGATCCCCTGTTGTGTCCTTTGTAACTTCGGTAGTAAATTTCAGGGTGGCTTTTCTCCTGAGATCACTTTGTGATCTTGAAGAGAGTAGGATAGGAAGTGGGTGTCCCAGTAGGCTGGGAGTGGACCGAACAGAAAGGTTATGGGTCTGCAGAATCCCAGGAATAAGCCTCTCCATTTCTGGCTGCGGCTTAGATAAGCCAGTGACCCTTTTTCAACTTGTTCATTCTGTCCACTCTGCCTGGCAGGAGGAATGAAGAGATGCAGGAGCTCTGATTTGGAGTTCCTCTGATTATAAAGTGGTAACTTATTATAATTATATTCTAATTTTAACAGCCATGACTTATTTAAAATGGAAACATTGTAACAGTCCTTATTAGGACTGAGAATTCAATTTGCTGTGGGTTTGGGGTCTTGTTTTGTTTTTTGGTGGGTGGTTGTGCGGCTTTCACTGTGCAAGTATAATAAGAGAAATGTTAAATGCATGATGGTTTTTTCAGACATCTAATTCTCTGGCACATATTTAAAAGGTGACAAGTACATCTTTAAATTCCTGCATACATAACTTAAAACTGTGGTTAAATATACTGAAGACTGTAGCAGCATTTGTGTTTAATATCTGTAAACATTAAAATGTTTATAAACAAATCTGTTTCATATGTAGGAGTGAGCTAACAGTATAGAAGTAAATCTGCAAGCTTACAAAGGATTTTCTAACTTGCAATATATGCATGTATTTAAAATTGTCTTAAGTGCTATTTACAAGTATCTCTTTCTATATGCAGATATAAATTACATGTGATAATGGATGAAATTTACATGCTCTCAGTGTATGGTGATACCACATTCACAAGCATTCTTAGCTTACAGAGGTAAGTGTAACTTCCTGCTACTATAAAACATATTTGTCTTTTTTATTTATGCATAAACAGGCCATCTTCAGCTGCCTTTATAACATGCTTTTTCAAAATGGTATTTGGTGATGGTATCCTATGTATGAGAATTGAAGTTGACAGATTTTTCTTGTTATGTCTTACTAATTGCTGTCTAACAAATCTCATGTGTTGAATTCGTGTAATTGTTTTGACGTAAGTGGCCGATTTATGACTGGCTGTTACACCTGTGATTCTGCTCCATCTGCTTGCTGAGCACATAGTATACTGCTCCTGCACTCAGCCATACTGCAACATGGCAGGCTACGTAATGCAAGCCAAACCTGCCTTTGCAAAAATGTTTATGGAGAGTGAGCTTCCATGTATATATGCTTGTATGTCCACTGAACCCTTATACCTGTGTCAGCTTTTGCTGGATTGGAGTAATTATTGCTAGCCTCAGAACTCATTTATACAATTTTAAAGATAAGTAATTAACTCTGGAAAAACTTTCTTTTTAGTTTACCGGACCCAGACCGGACACACTTCATGTGGGGATTTAGCAAGGTAGGAATGTTTGTTAACAATAGCGTTTCAAAACAGGCTTTGAAACTTGAATTATTTGACTAATTATTGCCTCCTCCAATATTTATTAATTTTGTCTGTAGAAATCCTTTAGTGCACATAAATATACTTCCATAAGAAGGCTCTACTATACACATTCCTAGATATTCTTTGAAATGTCAACTCATTCAAAACATATTTTTGAAATTTTATTTGCATGTCTTCAGAGTAATGAAAAACAACCTTTTTATCTTCCTTGGAACTGAATATGAAACACAAATCCAACAAGCTGTTGGATTTTGTTAGGGGGAAAAAGCAGGTTGACTTTGAATTTTGTGCTGTTGATTTCTTTCCTACTGAAATTCCACTTGCTTGTTGATTTATCAACAAACCAAGTCTGTAGGGATTACTCAGGATTGTTTTGAGGATTTGTAATCTGTTTTTCATCTCAAAATGATTTCTTGCACCAGAAAATTTACTAAAAACAAACCATATGCATTAAAACATGCAAGAAGAAAGACTAACAACATTATCTCAACTTGAAGAATATTACAAAACAAAAACTCAATCATTTGAGAATGAGGCCGGGGTTAAGAGTCTGTTTTTTTTAAAAAAATAATGCCCCCATGTAAACAAAGCAAGTTCTCCATTACAGTTTGCAAATATCAAATTTTAATTAGTTGACTAATTAAATAAGTGGGTCCTAGATCAAATCAAGTCAGAACTTCCCTTGATGATGAAAAGACAAAAGTTAGGCTGGTGTACTTTAGATCCTCCTGAGAAGGCAAGACAATAATGCTGAGAAAAGTCAAAGATAAAAGAAGTTTGGGAAGACCAAATATGAGATGGATTGATTTCATAAAAGGAGCCAGAGCCTCAGTTTGCAAAAGCTGAGCAGGGAATTCAAGGACTGGAAATTTTTGGAGGACATTCACTGTTTATAGTCTCACTCACAGTACAGCACAGGATATTTGAAGTTAGATTTAAAGAATAATCAATTCACTGATTCTGCTTCTTTAATCATATATGAAAGGAAACATTCTCTATGGAAGAATATAATTCTTTTCACTTAAAGAAAACCTGAGAAATTGAGTCAGAAATAGATTCTTTATTTTTATATTCTTTATATATGCATTGTATATGAGAATATTTTAAATCTTCTCTCCCCCCTGCTTTTCAAGGATTTTGGCATGTGTGGTATTAGAGTTGGAGTATTATACACCAGAAATTGTATGATAAGGAAAGCTATTAATCAGTTGGCTGGTTTTCATGGATGCCCTGGACCTGTGCAACATGTTCTTAGGCAATTCCTTAGTGACAGAGGTAAGCAGAATCTAATGTGTGTCTCTGTGTGTGAACTAGGTGCTGAATATTTCTGCCTGAGTTACTGGAAAACTGCTGCTAGTCATTAGACAGTATGCAACTTGATGGACAAATAGTGTGGCTTTTATAAAATAGCTTTCAATGTTCCTAACTACCTAATATCACAAACAAAATCCTGTGTGGTGGCTATCCAGATAGAACGCTGGGGACTGGGAGGAAAGGAGGCTGAGATGTCCACAAGAATCAGCATAAGCCCTTGGCCCCAGCCTACTCCCTTTCCCTGTATGCCCCTTTTTCTTGACTACTGAGATGCATTTGCAATTTCAGGGGAGATGACTAGCAAAGTTCTTTCTGTGCTGGCTGCATGACTCTGCTAGGGCAGGCACTTGGCTTCCAGAGTTTGAGTTCTGAGATTGCATGCTCGTAGAATTGGGACTCTGAATAATCCTATGTCCACACGCTAGACAATGTCAGGAGGCCATAGGATTGTCCCCTAAGGGAAAGCACACAGGGTTTCACTTGTACATCCATTGTTGGATTTGGAGGTTTCTTTATTCATGCATGCAAACAGTGTACATTAAGGTAACAATTATGCTGATCTCAGTCCCCTGAATGTATCGATGCATCAAATGCAGATACACATACACATCTGGGGCCAGCAGTCTTGAGTGTGCAACACTTTCTTGCAGACAACTAAAATTGGACTAAGGCAAATTATTGTTTTAGGTAATTCTTGATGGTTTGAATAAAGCCTTGTCTTTATAGACCAGTCTTTAAAGCTAAGCACACTAGACTACACTACAGTCTGGATGGGGAATGCTCGCTCGTGCACGTGCTCGCTCTCGCGCGCGCGCGCTCTCTCTCTCTCTCTCTCTATAAATATATATATATATATATGTGTGTGTGTGTGTGTGTGTGTGTGTATATATATATAGAGAGAGAGATAATACATACAAAAGGGGGTGCCTTACATTCTTTATCTCTTCCATAATCTTATTGAAAGCTGATTTTAAAATAAGAGTACAGGGAAAATATATACCCATAGATATGCATGTTCTTGTATTCTCTCTCTCTCTCAATTTAAACCATTTGATTTGTGTTCTCTAAATGACATCAGCTAGGTTTGATTTGGTATGTTTTTAAGTGTCCTATGAATACAGTGTGGTACTAAATTTGTCACTAAAATTAGACTTTGCATTTTCATGGAATCAGAATCAGAGTATCTGTTTATATGCTGTTTCATGGAATCATAGTATCTGTTTAGATGCTGCTGTCCCTGAAGAATACAAGCAGAAAGCAAAACCTAATGTTATTTGTGTGTTCTTTTGACAGAATGGCTGAATAATGTGTTTTTCCCAACCAATAAAAGAAGACTTAAGGAAGCACAGAACATTCTTGTAGATGGCCTTTCAGAGATAGACATTCCAGTTTTCAAAAGCTCAGGAGGATTATATGTGTGGGCTGACTTTAGAAAAGTATGTGAAGGATTGGGTGGGGCAGGGAGGGTAAACTGAAACAATAGTATTATATGGTACATAACATGGGGGAACTTGTGGCTGTTCTTTTAAAACCCTTGAGGTTTCTACAGCACATTACTCAAGAGTTCAATGAATTTCATATATATGATTCTGGAAATTCTTGCAAGTACTAGTATTTCCCTTACTTTGCAAATGGAGGGATGAGTGATTAGTATCTGAATAACTAGTAAACTGGTAGTGTTGAACCTTGACTTTTTTTCTAGCAACCAATGGATATTAGTAATCTTGCATAAATAAAACATTGCATCAAATTTAGCCAGAAGATACATCAACTCAAAACACTTTTACTCTGTGTAGTCCATTACTGCAAAACACTGACCACACCTAATAATGGCAAAGAAGATTATTGTATGTAATGCACACTGAAATAGCAGACCAGACAATTGAAGATGCTGATGTCCATCCACCTCTAGAGACCAATGCATTATAATTTTAAATTGTAAAAATATTAAGAGTCCTGGACAACTGATCTGGCGCTACACATAAGGCCAGTTTGAGTTTTTCTCCCACTGGAAATAAAAGAGATTTCAGCTTAAGAGATTTCAGCTGGAACTGCTTTGGGCAAAGCCTCCACACTATGGCCGTGGTCCTGACACTGCCATTTTAAAAACATTTCAGGGCAAACTGCAATGGACACCACACCTAGTTTGGTTGTAAACAACTAGTATTAAAGGTTTAATATATTCTAACTTCATAGCATAGAAATTTTTGAATTATGTGGTATCTAATCATTAAAATGTTAGCTTTGTGGAATGCAATGAAATAAGCAAGAAAACTGAATTTCTTGGTGTCCATGTAACTTGAGTAGAGGCTTTAATAATTCTTGCCTTTCTGATTTGCTAGAAGTGGAGGGGTCCAGTGTTGTTTTATATATAAGCCACATAAAACCACAGTATTGTGTGTATATATTTTTATAATTTATGTATATATGTATAGTGTGTGTGTGTGATCTCTCTGTGTGTGTTTTATGCTCCATTGCAAGCCCCCACAGAGTTTTGGCTGTGGGGTAGTATAGAAATGAAATTAATAATAATATAATTTAATGCATTTCTCTGTTTCCTTTTAGTTCTTAAAGTCGCAGACATTTGAAGCTGAAATAGATTTATGGTGGAAAATTCTTGATGAAAAGATTCTCATTAGTCCTGGGAAAGCCTTTTACTGTTACGAACCTGGATGGTTTAGGCTAGTCTTCTCAGATTCTGTAGATAAGATTTACTTGTGTACGTTTCCATTTTGTTCCATCTGATTCATTGCAGCTTTCAGGCCACTGAAGAATATAAATAACATTTGAACTGTCTCAGATCTTAGCTCCGAAATTATAACACCTAGGCTTTGCTCTGTGGGTGGGTGACATGGCTTTAAAGCCAAGGTGACTTTGCAGATTGTCTGAACCCAGGATGGCCCAGCAGAACATGCACTGTCAAACAGTGGCAGGACTGTGGGGGCGAATGTACCTCCAATGCCACAATATGCCTTATTGTCTCTCAGATGTGTTGCAATCCTTGAGGCAAACAAGCCTTAATGTGTGGTGGATTTAAGAAGTTCCACACAATAAAGTCTGCTATGTTAAAACTCAGTTTAACTCAGTTTATTAACAATCATCCACCAGAAAACTCTGCTGCATTATATTTGGTTCCTCACTTGAGACTGGCAATTCTAAGAAAAGCTTATTGCATGCATGGAATCTCTGTAGAATTTCAGAATGTTATAAATGAAGTTCCAGTTCATTTAAGTGGCTTATGGGCCTAATGAAAACTTAAATACACAGCTTTTATATGAACTTATTCATACTATTATGTACAGGACTGGGAATGTTGATAGGAACAAAACAAGAATTTTATTTCATTTTAAAACAGTTTCTGTTGTAGTTCCTTGAAAAATGAGAATTTGTCTTCCTTTTTATAGGTATTCAGAGACTTCAGCAAATGCTACATGCTGAAATGAGCAAATCCATTTCCAACAGTTCATCTCCTAAAGAAAACAAGCATACTGATTTGGATGATGTTTCAACTAACTATGTATCAGTGGATGATGTCTCAGAAGGATATGCACACCTGAAAAAAATAGCTGTCTTCTAAGAACCTGAATGCTAAAACGAAGCATGACATGCTTAGTCTTACTGTAGCTATGTGATTTCCCCCCCACCCCATTTTTAATTATTACCTGGCAGTGTGCATTGTAACCTGTGGTTACGATTTAAATATTGGGACTACTAGAATGAAGTATTTTGCTGAAACACTTAGATCTTCTGAGCACTATGGGCCAAATTGTATATGAAAACAGTCACACCTCCCCAGTTGTTTTTCTTCCAGTGGGATTTTGTGGCCAGATATAATTTCCACTGGGATAAAAACCGGAGATGGAAGAGGGAAACATGATGGGAGAAGGTTGTGTACCTCCTCCTTAGTCCCCATTTGCTTTAAAATTGACACCATCAAATGTTTACAAATAGTTCACGTTGGGCAACTCTCCTTTACATTAAATCAGGTCATGCAACCAACTTCCAAGTAATTGACTTTGATATCCCAGACAATCATGTGACTGTGCTTTGCACATTGACAGCTTTGTGAATCAGATACTGATTGAATGTTGATACATACTGTATGGAAATGTGTAAATGCTGAACCATTGTTTAAACTGAAGGGTGAGCTTTCTGAATGTGTACACCATTGTATTTTGCTTTCTAAGAAAGTGCTCATATTTTCTGTTTTTCATTCTCGGATTAAATAGGTTTATTTGTATATTGTGCTGTTTATATATCATTCTTGCAAAAACATTGCCAACTTTGGTCTTCAACACCTCTATAAATATATTGCTGAATGTGATGGTGTTGATTTATGGAAGGAATAGAAAATATATATTTGCCTAAGTTCCAGTGTCACAGGACATGGAATGTAATTAACACATTAGGTAACCAATTATGTGGTATTGTTGGATTTTACTTTGGTAGCAACTAGCTTTAAATCATCATGACTGTACAAAATATAATAAGGGAAACTTGCATTGTTTCCAGGTATGATTTTAAAATCCCCTACCAATGACTGGGCAAAATTGTGTTAGGTTAAGCTGCACGGATATTTTTTTCTTGGTGCTTTACTTCAGGAACATAGTGTATTTGGCTTTCACCCTTGCTGTGTAGTATATCAACTGGTATTTTTCCTAGTCTTACCCTATTTTTTAAAAATATGTGTTACATCTTAGAAAGTCTGCAAAGTCTAAAAACTACTAATCTGTCTCAACTACCTTGGTTGCTTTCCTTCTTTCTTGTCTCTTATCTGCCCTGTTTTGTATTATTTTCAAGATTCTTTGCTTTTTAAAAGTTATTCCTTCACATGTCACAGCACTTTGTAAAATATGTTAATTAACTTTATGAAACAGCAACTGAATAAGAGTTGAAAGTGATTACAAGGATTAGATTATTTTGTAGCATTAAATGCCTACTTGAATAAAGAATTATTTCCAGTACCAGAAAGGATTCTTTCCGGTAGGTGGTTATCAGGTGTCCAAAATGAGGAAAGGCAGTCATTTCTCATATACACATGTCCAGTGCAAAAGATTGTCCTCATGAGTCCTCCTTTGGGAACTCCTGGCAAAGAAATAGAAGCAGGTGGCTACAGAAAAATAGGCTTTTGCTTTTGTGGCTCTGTGGTTGTGGAATGAGCTTTCAAGAGAAACTTGTGTGGTGGCTGTGCTGTGTTTTTTCCAGGAAGACCTTGCTATTTCCCCAGGAATGCTAATCTTTCAGTTTCTGTGGTTTTAAATCTGTGAGGGTGCAATCCTATGATTTCTCAGCATTATTTGGGGAGCCAGAGGATAGATAGTATCCCAGCTCCATGGAGAAAAACACTCATGTTAGAGCTGATGCTAGTCCCTTTAAGTTCTTCTATGCTGGCTGCTAATCAAACTCAGAGGGCCCTAATTGGCACCAGTGGGGGGATGGTGCAATCAAGGGAGCAGAAAGTGGGGAAGGGAGCAGTGAGGCACCCCTGAACTCTGAAATAGCCTGGTGGTGCCTCAGCCTTTTTTCATGAGAAAGGAAAATCATTTAGATGGCTGAAATTGGCTACCTACTTGTTAGGGGGGTGAGGGAAGTATAGAAGCAATTACAGCCTCCACATCCCTCCTGCCTTGGTTGCCTGTAATCTAAGCTTCAGTGTGAAGACCATGAAGCTAAGGGCTTCATGGCCTTTGATTGAACTTTTCTTTCTGTGCCTTCTATAAGGCCATGCAATTGATGGGTGGTGGTACTAAGCAAGACTCATTATTTGATCAAGTTTGGACTGCATACTTGTTCAAAACTCTGTGGTAGTTGTAGGGATTTCTGGCGATCTGTCCTGGCATCTTGCAGTATCTACAAAATGCAAGTGGGTGGGTACTATTGAACTCAGGTCCTGCTTGTGGGCTTCCCATAAACATTTGGTTGGCTACTTTGAAAAGAATAGATAAGGTAGATAAGTGATTCAGCATGAGCATTTTCTCTTATTTGCAATTACGAATACCTGTAAAGACAAGCCTGATTACAGAAACCAGGATGCACAAGAATCCAAAACGCAAGTACTTAGCACCATCAGGCTGCAGGCTCTGAAATATAAGCGTAACAACTTTCTTTTGCCACATTCCCAATTGTTACATTATATCCCAGTTGAAATAGGTATTATATGGATGACATGACAGACCAAAAAGAGATTTAAAAAAGCCATTGTCATATTGCATAAACCTGTCCACATTTTGTTCCAGGTAACAAATGTTGGTTTCTAATCTGGAGCAGTTGACCAATTTTATCCTAAAAGTGTTTCACAAACAGGACATATCAATTCCTTAAAAGCAGGATGAAGACCCATGTGACGTCCCCATGCAACTTGGAAATGCTTTGCTGTATAGCAGTGGTGGAAAAATATCCCTTTGTTGCCATCACTGCTAAAGAGTAAGATCTAAGATGAGCTCTAAGTGGTGTTTAGTCATTGTTTGACTGGTCCTCTGCTCTTGTGCTCTGATGACTGCACCAGTTGCTTCACTGTGCCCAGCTCCTGGTTTCTTTGGCTGGATACCAACATCTATCCCCCACCCCAGTAAGCAAACTAAATATTAATGTAATTATGGCTTTTTGTAGGTGAACACACACAATATACAGTAACAGATAAGCAGTTCCCTTAATGAAGACGATCACTTAATGTATATTGCTGTATTATGCAAAAAAAGACAAATACAACTGTTTGAAAATGTGTTTCAGTACATTTACAGAATGTTTCAAATAATGTGAAGAAAATGTGATTTTGATACAGGCAAATTTAAAGTCACTGCTGGAGCTAGTTGGGCAGACTGAAACAGTTGTAATTATACATTTAAGAGGTACGTTTCAAACAAAACAGACTACAAGCTGCTGGTAACAGTTTCCTTGATTGAGATTGCTGGAGTAGGTCCAACATGAGTCCAGATATAACCTTTTTCTGGTCTAGTAGGTATGGTAGGAAAAGGAGATGAGCGAGATTTAAAATATTCTGAAGGTGCATGGCAAACGAATTCTAAATATTCAATTTTTCTTGGAAGATCTTCCTCTGGTCCTTAAATAAAAATAAAAAAGTTTGCATGTTATAATTCAAACACAACTTCACAGTACATCAGGATACTCACTGCCATATATCTCAATAAGTGCCAAAGGAAAAACTTGTACCTTTCCCTCCCCCAGATACAGGAAACAAGCTATTCAAAATCCTGGCTTTGCAGCCTTCTCCATATTACACCAGAGGATGGGGAATCTGCTTAGTATGAAAGCCAGTTGACTTAGCCCAAAGTACCATCCAAGTACGTACCAAACAAACATACCTTCATAACAGATATGGGCAACTTGTGGCCAGTTGTTTTGGCTATGCTGGATAGAGGTAATGGGAACTGTAGGTCTAAAATCTGGAGGAGCACAAGTTCTCTGCCTTTTAAAATACAGTAGCACAATAGATATACCTGGTACTTTGCTACTTCTAGGAAACAATTATATTTAAGTAAATCAAGCTTAACACCTGTACTCCTATAAAACATCCAGCAGTGGAAAGGAAGAACTTAAGAGCCTGATGCTGTATAGCTACATGATTTCTTTTGGTGATGATGGGAAAGTAACATAGATTCAGCATGTGGCATTTGTGCAGTAAGAAGGCATGTTGTAGTACCTTGTCCTCAAGCCTAGATTCTTTAGGATTAAAAACAGGTGTGTATAACAGCCCTTCCCCACAGAAGGTAGTTAAGAGCTCAACTACTGCCTCACAGTCAGTGAGCACTACTGCCTCACAGTCAGTGAGATGTGCCAGCATCTGCACATTACAGAGGAAAACAGTTGCTGTCAGATATGTAGCACTGGTCTTTGGTTCTCATGCACATACATCCCTGCCAGACATCACTGTCCTAGTATTACCAAGGGATAAAACCAAATAATCTATGACTCTGGAGCTATCCTACATGTAGCACTTTATAAAATGATTTGACAGGACAAGGGGAACTTATCATTTTAGGCCTTGGAACTTACCTATTATGTAAGTTGCAGGGTCAAAACAATCTTTGGGGCTAGCTGTAGTAGGAATGAGCCATGTTAAAGCTGCACTTTTTTCACAGTACTGGTCTTGAATAAACCCTCTAATCTGTGCATAGTATGTTTTACCATCCTGCTCATCAACCACTGAAACAACATCTCCAATCTGATAGTAAACTCCCTAGAAAAAATATAGACAATTAGAGAATTTCTTTTAAACAAAACTGATATTTTCACAGCTTCCAATTAGGCCTGTAACATTATCCTTTCCTCCCACTAGTCTGCTTCCTATAGTATTTCTGAAATTCTTTTCAGCAAGGTCACCATTCTGTCTGTTTAGGTGCATATATGGTCTCCCCTAACTATAAACAGGAGTAGAACCGGATGACTGCATCTTTTTTTTCTTTCTTGCAATTAATTATGCATGAATTCTGTCCAAACCTCTATGCCAATATTAATTGTTTACACTGTAACCTTAATGTCTACTTACATTAAGGTGCTTCTGCATGTCACTGGGCTTATTCTCAACCAAGTGTAGGATTACAGTGTTAATGTTGTTTAATTAACATTAAAACTCAAACATTAAAATTCAAATATATAAAAATAAAAACTACATTGTAATCCCTTTGGGGACTGAGATAGATACTGATAAAATAATATGCAATAAAATTTGGTTAGATGGAAATTAAGGGAGAAATGTTTGGATCTTAAGTGAATATTAACCACTATACTGTTGTATAAACTACACATGGATGTCTCTAGTTCAGTTCTTGCTAGGTCTTCAGAAAATAGATGTGGTACACTTCAGTGACAATATTCAAGAAAAGTATAAACCATTGTGCCAATTCAGAGTGCTACTACATAGTGCTAAATACATACGTTTGAGTAAAAATATCCAATGATTTTTAAGCTCCAAGTACTACATAATATGTTGCTTAAAAGAATTGGTAAAAGGACTGGCTAGATACTTTACTTAGGACTATTTTAAAATCTGCTTATTCTTTCATTTCCTATTGAAACATTTCTACTAGCACAAGGGTATTTGTAATGTCAGATTTATGAGACTTAAAAGAATTACAAAGTTATACCTTGTAGAAGATAGATTCTGCTGTAATTATGGTGGCAACTGATTCCGGAGCTTTGATAGGCTAAAAGAAAAGTTATAGTTACCATGTTTTAATAATTGTATCAATTTCAAAAATTAAAGTATGATATAACTTTGTAAAAACTGGTTTTGGAAGAGAAATAGAGAATTGTTGGACCATGGAATATGAAAATGTCAAGGCATATCATTGATATCTTCAGTACCAGAAAACCATGATAAAAATATAAAACTTACCAGTACATACCTGGTTAATTAATTAGAAGAACATATGTTGCAAAGACATGGTCTTAAAATCATTTCATGTATTATGGCATACAAATACAATCAAAACATTTGGAGAGGCTACACACATCCATTATAGTGCAAGAACACATGCTGTACATAAAGCCATGAAGCAGCAAACAATTGCAGGTACCTGCTAAATTGGTAGAATGGCTGCATGTATCCACTTCAAAGCATGAGAGCATATCCTTAGCCTATTACTATGTAAAGCAGTTCTGATTTGCATATGCACAAGAAAAAATAAAATTATACACATTAAAGTTTAGTGGAACCAAAAAACTCCATCCAAAAAAGAGTATCTGCATAGAAAATAAGTAGACTGATTGGCTTCAGTCCTACACATGGATGGAAGGAGGTTTGACTTGTAGAAGGGGTCTTTTCATGAAAATAAATCAGAGTAAAAACTCAGAATCAAAACTATATCCAAGATATTTGCAAAGAACAGCCAATGTCTTTTGCTCTTTCAAATCTCACCTTCAGCACCTTTATCTGGACCACAATAGACTCACCTCTTCTGTGTCTTATCCTAATCTATCTAGCTCTCTCATCCTACTTCTCATATCTATTTTTGGGAACATTTCACACATGCCAATTTCCAGAGGTACCACTTCCATGAAACCTGTGACAGACTGTTTTACTTCCTTTGCATATATATGAGCATCATGTAGTATATCCTCTTTCTTCTTCCAACAAGAAAGCAATTCCAGTGCAGAGTCACATATATGCAAGTGTTTGCCTTTTACCTACATAGTACTGACAACCATGTAGGAAAATAGCTGAAGTCGTTTTTGTACAACTTTCTCTGGTGCAGAACCTACCACGCTGCTGGAATTTAGCAAGTGCTAAACAGTAGCAGGAATCCATAGTCATCTTACATTTTTTAACTTAAAAATATGCCTTCTCCCTTTTCCTTTAGTGGAAACTTTCTTTTCAGCAGCAGGAGCAGACTTGTATTTTGTGTTCCTTAACCGAGCTGATCTTCTATGGATTTCTTGCTTACTCTGTGTACAAAAATTTAAAAAATGTTGATAAATGCCAAGAATATAAACAATCAAGCATACATTGAATCATTACAACATCCTTTAAAAAGAGTTGGGGGAAAAATGAGAAAAGGAACATTAATTCAATGGCAATCCTAGTTCCATTTAACCAACTGTACATTCCATTAATTGGAAAAATCCTTTTCATGTCTAGCATTTATAGCCTACACACGCACACCTTTACCATAAAGGCTTACAAGAAAAGTTTAGGACAAAGTTTCGACGACTTCTCTGAAAGAATTTCAAAGTTTACATAGAAGTAAGTTCCATCATATCCGATAGGGCTTAATCCATTTCCGCAATGCCTTTCTCAGTTACTAGAAGAGCAAGCCCAGTAATTCTATGATTTACTTCCGAATAGCTATATACAGCTTTCGACTGTAAGAGATTATTTCCGCAAGTTCAAGCTCCCACAACGGCTAATTCGTATGACTATCAGTTCAGAAGGAAATTTAGTTCTTCTAGGGATGGGTGGTGGCGTGGAGCTGGCTGAGCCTGCTCGGGTAGAGAAGTTCAGTCATCGAGTAGGATTCTCTGCACGCTTACTCAGAAGTAAATCCCACTTGTGTTGGCGGAGCTTACTCCCAAGCGTGTTCCGGGTGCAACATGAGAGGGGCGGTTACTGGGTAGGCTCACCTGTTTCCCCCCGCCGCCGCCGCCGCCCCCGTTGCTCTGCTGCGCGGACGCCGAGGTGGTGGCGTAGGAAGCTCCGGCAACGCCGCTCGGCCCTGAGCGGCCCGTACAGTTGTTGCAAAGGATCTCGCCTTGGCCCCCTTTCTTCCACATGGACGAGGAGGTGGTGCGGCACACGCTGCACGTCGGCTTCAGGCCCAGCGGCATCCTGGCGCCAGCCTGCTTGCTCGCCCGCTCCCTAACTGCAAACCCGCCCGCCACGACGGATACTACCCGTGGAAGCGACGCCTACAAAGAGCCGTCCGAGACGCCGAGAGCACGGAAGCGGAGCCGAGCGCCCGCGAGGAGAAGCGCCGCCTCCCCTGCCCTCTGCTGGCGGCTCCGCAGGCTGCACGCCCTGAGCGAAGGAGACGTGCCCCTCCTGCTGCTCGCACTGCGCGGCTCGAGGCAGGCGACCTCCAGCCAGTGCTAGGCAGCCCTGCCCTTCTGCCCGTCTGCCCTTAGAAGCGTGAGGCGACCGTTTTGGAGCACGGGGCAGACGCAGTGGCCGGCGAGGGTCAGGTGCCCGAATGCCGTGCTTGGTTATCTTCGAACTGGTCGAGTGAACGCTCTGTTCACACGCCCCAGTGCAAGGCTAGCGGACTCCCCCGTTCATTATTTAGAGGACGGAATATGGGGCGTGGGGAAAGGAAGAGGGCTTGTCTGCCTCAAGTTTCTCTGCAGTCAGCTATATAAAAGAGCACGGGAGCAACTGAAGGTAGAATAGAGCCTCACACACGTGCCCCAAAGTCGCAGGTGAAGTTCATACTAAATATTTGGCCCAAGGAATATATTAAATTCCTGTTGAATCCTGCACATTTATTCAGAAATGGCCCGGTTTGGTTTGGGCCTTTTAAAATGAGCCCACAAAAGTTACCTATGGGTGTGTGCGCAGAAATGAGCTGGTCTGCTTGAAAGCTGAATTTCCATGTTTCTGCAGGCAGCATGAAAACACCGGCCACCAACACACAGCAGGCTGCTTGAGGAACGCTTGCTGGCCTGTCCGTTGAGTGAGGTAGGAAAGAGAACCCGCTTCTCCCACTATTAACTTGGACAAAGATTATGGTGTTATGCTTATGTACTTGAGCGTAAGTCCACTGAATGCAGTGAAACTGCTTTTTGAGGAAACTGAATATGATAAAGGTTATGTGACAGGTGAACCCAGAACCTGTTGAACTAACACAGAAAAAGGTGAAAGAATGCTTTCTAGATGAGTTTGCAGTATTTGGCTGTGTACTAGGCCAGTATCAAACAAAGTTGCCACCAGATGCTGGAACATTTGCTCATGCCTTAAGAAAAGTTCTTTTTGTGCTTAAAGAAAAACTAAGAGAACTCAGATGTGTAGAACATGTTGGAATATTATTGAAAGTTGATGAACATACAGACTGGGAAATTCCATGCAGGTCATAGAGAAGAACAAAATTGGTTATGAGTTTTAGCTGGGAAAATCTTATTGACAACAGGCCCTATTCAGGCACAGAGACCATGAAGAAGAACTAGTCATCAGTAGAAAACACTACAAACTATACACTAGAAAATATAGAACACAGGTTATCCAAAACCATGTATTTTAGTTCACTGGATACCCAGTCCACTTAATGGCAACTGAAATTTGACGAGGACAGCAACAAATTGACAAATTTCAACTCTGTTTGGCTGCTAGTGCTTCACCTCTTGAAATTTCCTCAGTCCAGGAAATTTTTCTGAAAGGCATTCCTGAATCATTACAAAATTAAAGCCATATAAGATGCAGGCTGGAGTCAACAGTGTTTCCTACTTGGGTCACATGGTGACTGCTGAAGGAAAAAAGTCATATCGAGGCAAGATTACAGCAATAAAGCAATTAGAAATCCCTTTGCCTCACTTGTGTTTTATTGGCACAAGTGACTGCGCCACTAAGATAGCTTTTCATGAAGAATAGTATATTCTTGGTATCAGCATGAAGAAAAAGGAATAATAAATTGAAATAATTTTTATTTTTCAATGTAATCCCTTATAACTTCGATGCACTTATTACATTTAGAAATTAACTTTTAAATTCTCTGTAAAAAATACCCTTCCTCCTTGTCTAAAAAATGTGTGTTAATAGCCACCTTGTCTTCATAGTCGGAAAATCGCTTTCCACAAAGATCTTTATTAAAATTCGGGAATAGGTAGTAGTCACTGGGGGCCAGGCCCAGGCTATAAGGTCGGTGGTTTATTTCTTCAAAACCACAGTCTTGCACAGCAGCCTTCGAAACATGTGCCGTGTGAACAGATGTGTTGTCGTGAAGAAGCAACACACCTGCAGTCAGTTTTCCCCGCCTTTTTTCTTTAATTGCTTCTCTTAAATTATGCAGAGTGGTTGCGTAAGATGCTGCGTTTATGGTTTCACCTTTTTTCGTGTACTCGATCAATAAAATTCCCTTTGAGTCCCAAAACACTGTGGCCATGATTTTTCCGGCCGATGGAGTGACTTTGAATTTCTTCAGAGGGTCAGCACCTTTTTTATGCCGCTGCATGGACTCCTGCTTACTTTCAGGGTCATAGTGATGAACCCAGGTTTCATCTCCAGTAACAATCCGGTCAAAAATACTCGATCTTCACCACAGAGCTCTAAAAACTCCCTATGGCACTCGACTTGCACTTGTTTCTGAGGCGCCATAAGCATTCGCGGCACCCATCTTGCACAGACCTTTGAAAGGTTAAGATGGTCATGAAAAATAGTAAATATGGTACCAATGGATAGGTTTGTCATCTCTGCTAACATTTTGATTTTTATTCGGGAATCGTCCAATACAAGTTTCTCTATTTTTTTCATATTTTCTTTTGTAGTGGCAGTAACTGGCCCACCCGAGTGAGGGTCATCTTCAATGCTTTCTCTGCCGCTTTTAAATTCACTTGACCACTTTTGAACAGTAGATAATGAAGGTACAGAGTCCTGGTAAACAGCCACCATCTCTTCATGAATGATATTTTGACTTTTTCCTTGTTTTGTAAGGAACTTAATCACAGTGCGGTGCTTGATTTTCTTCAACATTGTCGCGTCAGTCATCATGGTCATCTTTCACTGAGGATTACTAGGGAACTAATGATCACACTTATTTGAAATTTCTCATGTATACCCTCAGATAGTGTCATTAGCTAATGAAATAATTAAATTACCCACATCAATAGCAAATCAACCCGATACTGAGAATACATTGAATGCCCCTCGTAGGTCTGGAATGACTCCTAGAACTACAGGATGACTCCCTCAATATTTTGGTACAGAAAAAGAAGCGACTTTATGCATCATAGTTTGGATTAGTCCCTGCTGCAAGAAGGGAAACCTGAAACCAAGAAAGGCATATGTGTCAATTACAAAGCAATTCTGCAGAAAACAAAAAGGAAATGTTTGCAACTCTGTCAGGATATAGGAAATTCCAATAACAGTGCTGATAAATATGAAACAGATCCATCAACATAAAAAACTTTCAAAAATTTTTGAACTACAGAAACACACTAATAGTGTGAGATGCATTTTGAGCCCAGCTGTTAGTGAACAGATGAAAGAAATCTAGTCTTCCAACTACAAGCAGTCAATTTTTGACACACATTTAAAAGAGATCAGAATTAACTCAAGGCTCAAAACAGAACATTTTATTTTGGCACAGGTGTAAAGTTAATGTCGGAAGGTGCCAAGAAAACTAGCTAGCCCACCCCCTGCCAATGCTGAATGCCAATTACACCATCCCACTCAGATAACTAACTAAACTAAAATAACTAAAAATTAGCTTTTTATGCAATGATGCTGTATTCTGCTGTGCCATATTAAATAAAATAAACTCGGATCGCTGTCTATTTTCTTCATGAATGTCTCTATTGTGAAAGAGCACACAACCTCTCTTGGCAACTGGTTTCACCATTGTACTGCTCTTACAGTTAGGAAAATCTTCCTTGTGTCTAGCCTGTACTGGGGGACTGTAGTTGAAGTTCATTATTTCATGTCCTACAATCTGGGATGAGTGAGAATAGGTCTTTTCCTTCTTCGTGACAGTCTTTGAGATAACTAGAGTGCTATCAGGTCACCTCGTAGTCTTCTTTTCTCAAGGCTGAATAGGCCCTGTTCTTTCAGCCTCTCATCCTAAGACTTTTTTTCCTGGTCCTATATCATCTTTGTTGCCCTTCTCTGAACTCTCTCCAGATCATCAGCATCCCTTTTAAACCTGGATGCCCAACTGAATGCTGTATTCCAGGTTAGGTCTGATTAATGCAGAATAGAGTGGAATGGGTTCTTCTCTTTTTCTGGAAGTGATACCTCTATTTAAGCATCCCGAAAATGCCTATTTTGCAGCTGCATCACACTGCTGGCTCTTACTGGTTGATTAACTGCATTTATATACTGCTCCGTAGCCCAAGGGCTTTCAGGGCAGCTTCTTGTCTGCAACAATTCCAAGGTCACTTTCACTCTCAATACTGTGGAGCCAAGTATCTCCTATCTTGAATAAGTGCAGCTGATTTTTTTTTTTTTTTTGGCCTAAGTGGAGGACTTGGCATTTGTCCCTGTTGAATGTCATTCTGTTGTTTTCCACCCAGCATTCAAGCTTGTCTAGGTACTCCTGAATCTTCTTTTTGTCTTCCAGGGTATTAACTGTTCTGTCCAGTTCATCCTCAAATTTAATCCAGTTCATCCACAGATTTAATCATTTGGATTCCCTGGATTTCCTCATCAAGATCATTAAAAACATGTTGAAGAGTAATCATCCCAGGACTGATTCCTGTGGTATCCCACTGATAGAATTGGTTAGAATCAGTGCAGCGTGGGGCCACAAGGATGGTGGCCGGATTGCAGGGAAAGCCATATGGGGTGAGACTGAAGGAACTGGGTGTTTTCAGCCTGGAGAAGAGGAGACTCCGAGGGGATCTGTTGGCAACATAAAGGTACATGAGGGGGTGTCACATGGAGGTGGGTAGAGACCTCTTTTCCCCTGTGGAGGACAGCAGGACACGTACCAGTGGAGCAAAACTCAGGGAATCAAGGTTCAATTTGGGTGCCAGGAAGTACTTCCTGACAGTTAGGACCCCTAGGGTTTGGAATGGGCTTCCACAGGAGGTGATTGAAGCCCCATTGTTGATGGTGTTCAAGGATGGGGTGGACATGTACAAGTTAGGCATGTCATGAGTGGAACTGGCTGGAGCAGGGGACCCCTTCTGACTTGCTCTGTTTCTATAACTTTACAGGTTGAGAAGCCGCCATTGATAAGAACTCTGTGTGACCCATTTTGAAGCCAGTTATGGATGCAACTAACAATAGTTTGGTCAAACCCACATTTTGCTAATTTATTTATTAGGATTTTGTGGGACACTTTGTTGAAGGCTTTGTTCTATGTTCTTGAGAAATCCTTGTTGACTTCTAGTAATCATTGCATTATTTGCAAAGTTTTTGCAGACTAGCTGCTTTATAATCTGATCCAGAATTTTCCTAGGGATTCATGTCAGACTGGTCTGTAGTTGCCAGGTGCTTCTAATTTTCCTTCCTTGAAGATGGGGACAATATTAGTCCTTCTCTAGTCATCTGGCACTTCCTTTGTCCTCAATGATTTGTCAAAGATAATAGGCAGTGGTTCTGAGAATTCTTCTGTCAACTCCTTTGTGACTCCAGGATGGAGTTCAAATCAGGCCCTGGTGATTTGAACTTATTCAACCTAATTAGATGATTCTTAAATATTTGGCTATCAATCCTTATGTACCATTCTGCTCCTTCAGCTTGTGCTTTCCCTTTATCAAGGTCAGATCTCCTCTTTTGGGAGAATACTGAGCCAAAGTAGGGATTGAGTACTCCTGCCTTTTCTTTGTTAGTTGACATTTTGCTATCTACATTGAGTAGTTGAACCCCAGTTTTTTTCCCTCTGTCTTTTACTTTGGCCATATCTGAAGATAGCTTTTTTGTTGCTTTTAGTGTCCCTTGGTAACATTAGTTCATCCTTAACTTTAGCCTTCCTTCTGCTTCCCTTTTTTTGTTTTCATCATTTCTAAAGTGGTATAAAGACAGGTTACTGTGGAAAAGAATGCCAAATATGCCTTTTGTCTGATCCAGAATGACTTTATGTTCTTATGAGTGGTTGCTATTGGACTACTTTTCAAATGGCTTTCCTAAACTGTCTTGAGTATCTTTTAAGCCACAGATAGTTTACAGAATGCAGACAGCTGCAGCTATAGGTTCATATAGAAATGAAATATATAACAAATAATGATTACATGTTCTGTCTGCTTTGAATGAGGCAAGACCCAAGGCAACTTCAGGGCTCCCTCTGCTGGTCAAGGACCAGCACAGCTGCTCTCGAAGTTGCAGGATTAGTACCTCAATCTACTGCAGCCGCCTGGACTCTCATGAACACCTGGGAGTCCTGGGGGAAGAGCTGCCTCAACAGCAAAGACTTTGAGTTGCTAGAGTGCTCTTGGTTTGTAGACTTGTGGAATTTGCTCCTGGAACTCTGCCTGTGTTTTTCCTCCAGCCCTCAAGGTACCTGTTTCCCTTGGCTTGTCTTCTCGGTTCCCCGATTCCTGGCTTGTCTGACCACGCTTGCTTCTTGAACAAACTCTGCCTTGTGCTGGATCTCCTGGCTCTGACCTTTGGGCTGTTTAACTGTGCATTTGGACTGGCCCTTGTGCTGCACCCTGGTTGCCTGGGTTCCGGTGTCTGCTAGTCAGCCATCCATGCCCTGGATACTGACAACTGTGTTTCATAAGAAAAGAATATAGGGTATTAAATACCAAGCCCTCCCTATAAAGTTATAACACCAGCTATTTCTGGATCTGGAAGTGATGAAAATGGAAGAAAAAAATATTAATAGCCCTTAAATTGACAGTGCTGATAATAGTGCTTAGTCATCTGTCTTTCAGTTTAGTTAATATGATGTTTATTCTTAATTTTCTCTTGTTTAAGTTACTCTCCTCTCAGTGGGGAGCTGTTTCAGTAACCATTTAAAGGTGGGCCGTTTCCTTTTGTCACTGCATCGTTCTAAGGCTCGGTTTTTAAAGCAGCAATCCTTAACACTAGAATACTGTTACTACTACATTGCATTTATATCCTGCCTTTTTTTCTCTTATGAGGAACTCAAGATGGCCTATATAGCTCAATTTTATCCTCAACAACAACCCTCTGGGCTGAGAGTCTGTGACTGGCCCAGAGTCACTTTCACGGCCGAGTGGGGATTAGAATCCAGATCTCCCAGGACCTCAGTTCAGCATGCTAACCACACTTTCACTAGGCTTTCTCCAAATATTTTTGACTATAAATCCTGTTATCCCTGGGCAATGACCATTGGGATTGACTGGCATTGTAGTAAAAAAATATCTGAGGAAGATTGGGGAAGGCTGTGAGAGCAAGTCCCATTGAATCCAGAGGGACTGAGTTCAAGCTTGAGATTATGCTTCAAGTGTAATTGCTACTGATGTACAGGTTTCTTAGTATTAATCTGAGCTTGCAATTGAAATAGATCTACCAAAGATGCAGAGTTAAGCTACCAGTTGGTTTTTGTAAAGGCATGCTATTCACCAGATATCAACATCCTGGTGGAGATTCTGCAGAAAATACAAGTGTGGGGAGATAAATTGTAGAGAAAGATCCTTAACCTAATAGTAATCAGGCATATACTGTTAAATAGTCTCCCTGAAGCCCATGAAGTTTCCAGTAAAATGAGAGCAAAGTCTTCCCTATCACATGGTAGAAGTCTTCCCTATCACATGGTTACCTGTTGTTGCCTTTTATGTGACTTTTCAAACAAAACTGTCCACAGTTGATAAGGATCAGCATTCCTCCCCCCCCCCCCTTGTTCACAGAAAGGTACTGGTCTGAACTTCGTAAATGTTTGCATCATGAGTTGGACCTGGAGTACATTCCATTCTGGATGCAAGATTAAATGCCTTTACTTTTTTAATTCAGATTGGCAGCCCAAGGTAATAAAAAGGAGACAGTGAGTACACTAGATCCCTACCTATGTAATGCATATCTTCCTTTGTAAGTGCTAAGGTGTAAGGCAGGATGAGAGCAGTGTGGTGTAGTGGGTAAGGGCATTGGACTGGGGCTCAGGCAATCTGGATTCTAGTCTCTGCTCAGCCATGGAGTCAACTGGGTGACTTTGGATCAGTCTCAGTCCAACCTATCTCACAAGGTAGTTGTAGGGTTATGGCTGAGAGCAGGAGGAAGCTGTGATATCAATGTGCCACATTAACTTTGCAGGCACAGGTGCACTGCCTTCTTGCTACCAGCTTCCTGGTTACAGGCAAATTACATGGCCATTGGCTGCATCTAATTACCTTTGGCTGCATACCTTTCAATTGCTTGTTTCTCCTGGAGAGAAAGCCCAAGGTTTTTCTCTTTAAATCCAGTTTGGCAGTCAAAGGTAATAAAAGATATTGAGTATATTTTGGTGAACTTGACTCAGCATAAAAATTAGAGAACAATTATAACTAGTAATAGATTCTTCCAAGATATTACTACAGTGGGACAGTTTAGCTGCAGAGTCAGCTGTATTGAAAACAATGTGTCTTTAAGGCATCACCTTGATTTCAATGGATTTGAGTCTGGATCCACCCCCACATTGGCAATAAATACTAAAGAGATGCTAGGCAGTATCTTGTCAATTTGGGGAGAAATTGAAAGACTGTAGCAGGAATAGATTGTTCCACACTGCAGGAATCTTAACTGTGTATGTGTAGGTATCATGAAAACAGTGGATGCACTCTTTCAATTCTTATATAAACAGAGATCCAGAATCTACAATGCATGTGTATTTAATTCATATTTCTCCACAATAGCTCCACAATCAACAACATGTGCTGTAGTTATAATAGCAGATAGAGAATAGATTTCTTTTCCTTCTTTATTTCAGTTCAATCTCCCAAATTAATATTCAGAAATATTGGGACAATGATGTTAAGTGTTAATAACAAATGTTAAATAAAAATTCCCAAACATTCCTTTTTTGGGATTTTTCCACTTTTCTGTGGAAGTTTGTATCTACACCCTCAGTCAACAATTCACATTAAAACCATGCTTAATATGCAAATAAGATTTAATTGGCACAATCTCCCAGAGAGGAAGAGTCGTAAGAGGGGGAAGGCAGCTGCAGCAGAGAGGGAAACTGTGGCTGTCCAGGTGTTGCATTATAACTCTTATCATTCCACACTATTGGTCATGGTGGCTGGAGTTGAGGGGAGGTAGAATCTGAAGGGCCAAATTGCCAATCCTTGTTTTAGGGGATCCCCTACTAGGGTGTGCCTTAGCTCTGGCAATATGTGGGCCCTGTCTTTTCTGCTATGCTGCAAGGGCAGAAAATGACACTGCCACTGTGCAGTATAGGAAAAATAGGAAGTATCATCCATTTACCTTGATATCAAAGAGGTACATTCACTACAGTGTCATCCTGGGCTGTACTGAAGGGCTGAGAATGAAACTACCAGTGCAGGAAGACAGACAGCATTGCCCAGTTACCCTGACAGTGGAAGGCTGTGAGCGCTTTCCCTGCCTTGTGCACAGGATTACATTCTAATACTTGTCAATTTTCTAATAACTGAACTTTCATTGAGGAAATGCCCCTCTGGCCACCAAATCTGGCTCAGCTCTATTCAAAACATTCAATGTCTGAAATTATTTTATTGTATTATTTCCATTTTGTGCAAGAGTTCAAGCTCTCCCAGTTTCATAGCAATTCACAAAGATGAGAAGCAATTACAAATTTACACATTTAGGATCCTAGCAAGCAAACAATTTTGAACAAGAATTGTACTTTGACTTCAACAAGGGCCAAATGACTGCTCTGATAAGGCATTCACTCCCTTTTAAAAATATACAGGCAAAGGACCCATTAATCTCATTTCAAGTTAACAGCAGCAATTTTTTTGGCAAAGTATTTTTATGCATCTCACCCTCCCACTCCTATCTGTCTTCACCCTGGGTTGCTTACAGAATTTAATAGCTGAGGACCATTGGAAGAAAGCAATGGGAAGGTTTTTGCTGGTGTTCAACTTAGTGGGCGATAAGAATGCGAACTCTCAGCACAGGACAAACTGGCTGAGGTACATATTTGAGAGGAGTAACCTTGGAGACAGTGGTCCATCCTGTGTCAAAGTATACTGCAAGGGCTTTCATGGAAATCAGTTGAGTCATTAAGTCATGGAGCCATTAAATGTTTGACTGGTGACTACTTGTTAAATTGTTTGATCTGATGGCCAATTCATACATGTATCACTTTTGATTTTCTATCAACTAGGTAATTAGTGTGTGTGAGTGAACTTATACCTTAAGAATATTGAAATGACAGGACTGAGATGATTAAGACTAGTGAGTTGGCTATGGAAATTTATCTTTACCATCCCTTTTATTATTTTGCATTCTACCAATTCAAATTGAGTTGTTAGAGAATAGTTAACTTTAAAACTAAGCATTTCTGGCACACAGTTTAAGCTATTAAGGTGAACAACTTGATTAATCATTAATTTTGTCTTTTGAGGTATCTCTGCACAAACAAGATATTTATGTATTTTACAGTCCCTTTTAAAAATAATTTATATTTTATATACATTTTATCTATTGTTTCAGTGGATTTTTATGCAATAATGCTACATTCTGCTATGCCATACGAAAGAGAAGAAAAAAGAAAGGTAGCTGAGTGGAGAAGTTCTGATCCATGAGACGACTACATGTGTGGTCAAAAAGGAACTTCCGGAAGGAGCGGAGTGAGGGCTTCCGCTCACTCCGTTCCGCTGAGCTTTGGAAGTTTTTGTCTCCGATCCAGGCCTTGTCCTCCACAGCAAAGCCCATATGCGTGATTGAACAGAGACCATGAAGAAGAATAAAGGTATTTAGGTTACAAAGTGTTTCACATGCTGTATCTAAAGCTGCCTTTCTGCAAACAGAAACTGTCTTGTAGAACAGTAGCTTGAGCAGAACACTTTACAAAAAAAGTGGAACTAAATCCAAACATTGTGTTCTTAAAAAGCTTGTGCAAACATAAGAATTGCTGTTGAACACATTATAGCACTGTATAAACTCCTGCAGAAATGTTTCTTCCACACAGTTCTCTGATCTAACCCAATATTTGTTAGGGAGATATAATATTAATGAGCCAGAATAAATTAGTTTAAGTAATAAATGTTTAATCAAAGAATTTTACATATTATTAACAGCATTCATTTGGCCAAACATCTACATGGTTGTAATATCCTACTGTATATAAAGTGGGAATGTATCAAGTATAGACTATGAAAGTGCAAATAGCATTTTCAAGATTAGAGTATTTTTTACATTATAAAATTAATTGGTTTACAAAATAGGCTTGCCAAACTTTCTTTCTGAATTGTAAATTCAATTACTGGGGTGGTCTTAAATTTTAAATAAGTACCAAGAAAATACAAATTTAATATGCTAAATTCCATGCTCAGAATAAAGTTAACACAAACAATGGAATATACTGCACAATCTAAATCAAGTTACAGAAAAACCAGAACCCACAAACTTCACTATCATCACAGAGAGCACTCATACATATCTTCTCTTAGCTTTGCAAGACATCTTAATGTAATACATAAAATTTGTATGAATTATCCTATTTGAAAATTTGAACTCAAGGAAGCTGTATGTGCATTTCAAATTAATGTATAAGAGCAATTAGTGAAGACAGAATCTTGAAGACTTATTTTAAGTTAAAGGGATTTGATACCAGTCAGTTGTTTGAATAGACTTTTCTGAGGCTGGAAAAGGGAGTTCAACATTAATATTTTCAGGATAGGGGAATCAAGCTAGAAAATGTAATGGATCTACAGACTACAGTAACAGAGCAGCAGACTGTTCCTTCTAAGAATACTTCCAGAAGAAATATCTGTTTTTGAATTTTGGAGTAAATAATTAATATGTAGTTCTTTAGTATTATGAGCCACAGGGACTGTAAGATTCCAGCTGTAATCTTTAAATGAAAAAGGGTTAACACTTTTTTCTTGTAACTTATGGTAATCAATATTACATACAACCTTATTTGCCATCATAATACTTTACTATATACAGTCAGTAGCGAGAAACCTTTATAATGGACATCAGATGATCTCTCATGTCGTCAAACAGAAAAATGGAGTATTTCACTTATTTTGCTTGTGTTATCCTAGGCTTTATTATATGCAAGCAAAATATTAATTTAAACAATTTCTTCTAGTTAAAATTACAAACTGCATCACTGTAACTTACAATGAGATTTTGATGCTTTTAAGCCAATCTCAACAAGAATTTTCTTCACAGTAGGACACCACTAGGGAAGTTATTTTTTTCTTTATACATGAAACAGCAATCACACACCAAACGAATATTGTGCAATCGAAAGAATACACAGTAGTGTTCTGCTATTTATATAAAAACTCTGGACACTTAGGGTATGATACTTCCTTGGACAGGTACAGTGTGTGCATACAGATCTTCCAAAGCAGCCTTCCAGATGCATTGGACTGCAATTCATATTCTCACTAGACATGAGAGTTCTTGTCCAAATATATCTGGAGAGTGCGGTACTGTGCAAGGCTATTAAAGAGTTCTGTCTGTCTCTTCCCTCTCAGAGTGTGTGCAACCAGTGGGGATGCAATTCCCTATTCCTGCTCTTTCCTATTTGCTCAACAAAGTTAAACAAAGTGAACTCACAGAACTTGACTGAGTGGAGCAAGAGGCCTAGATAGGTATATGTGAGGCACACACAGACACATGCCAGAGCTGGGACACAGAAAGGAAAAAATAAGACTCAGTTGAGCTTTATGGAAATCCTTCTATAAGAGAGAATTGCACATGTATGAGAAAGGATCATACCCTATGTAATTATATACTGGAAAGGCAAGGCCATGAGTGGTTTTTATGGAGGTTTTTGCAATTCATAGCATAGTAAACTTCAGAACAGATAACTATTACTCATTTAACTGTGGCAACTATCTATTTGGGTTAGGCAAAGGCACAGTAACATGTTGCATGTAATGTGTATTCAATCTTATGGGAATGCCTCTAACTTAAGGAAATTTCAAATATCTTTATTTTATAAAATGTAACCATTAAAACCAACTGCACTATTAGTGCATAAAATGCATTGTTAATTATGAAAAACAAAACTATGATTGCACTTCCATTAAAGTGTCTTTTCAATACAGCATATTTGCTGTTAATCGTTTAGAATAACTGTTCTTAACAGTAGAATTATGCTTAAGTAACTTAAGGTAGAGGTTCTGTTAATGCAGTCATCATGGCAATAAATGCCAGTTAAATTTGGAAAAATAATTCTTTCAAGTGGTCTTTCCATCTTCCAAACTAAGAATTATGGTTTAGCTTTACAAGAGCGATACTGCATATTTTTTGTGTTGGTTTTTGATTCACAGTTTGGCACATCTGTACTGTAAATAGACATGAAGATGTTAAAAGGTTTAATTTAATTAGAAAATAATATCCATTCCTTGGGTTCTGAAGCAGTACTAAAGAGAAGTATCATATACCTCAATTTACACTGCTTTATTAGAGATTAGTTGGGGGAAAACTAGGGAAAAGCAAAGTATAAAAAATAGACTACTAAATATTGTGTCATTAAAAGACAATTCAAGTGGGGGAAAACAAAGAAAATGATGTATTAGGATCAATAACACAAATGAGTTTCAGTAAGCCTTTAATCCATACTTTCAAGTTAAGGATCACCAGCCTAAGGCTAAATAGATGCTGCATTGTATTAGGAATGTGGAGTACAAACTATTCCTCTCTCTTCAAAGCAAGTAAGACTCTTACCATCAAATATAATTGAAATTCCCTGAAAGGCTCACAAGGATCAAAAGGAACTTCAAGGGAATTCCCATTTATTCCATCTCTACAACACTGATTAACAACCAAACTCTGACTTTATGGGCCAAAGTCTCCAGAATGCTTACTCCACATAGTGTACCGCTGGTAACTGCCTAGCCATTGTGGCTCCATCATCAATTCCTCTATTCAAACTTTTTATGATCACACCAAATGTACATGTTCAGTCCATTCAGTTGAGGTTGGAGATGTTTGACTTGAAACATCTCCTGAAACATCAACTTGGCTGGCTGCTATCCCAGTAGAGTCCCCAGTTTGTGGCACTGTTTCTCCTGTAATCATGTCCCCAGAAGCAGCAGTGTCTTCTGTTTGGGTTCCTCTCCCTTCATTTTTGAGTGCATCCTCAAAAAGTGCATGCTCCTCCAGAGGATCCTGCCTTACATCAAGAAGATGTGGTTGCTCCCCTGAACCATCTTCAGTACTGGGTTGCAGTGAATCGTCATCTGTTTCTGTAGTTGCTGAAGGAATGAGTGCAATACTCTGAGGGTTCATATCATGAAACCAGGCCATTATGTTTCCAAGGAGATTTTCATTTATATTGGGGTCTTGGCTACTTGAATCAGCTTCACTAGATGTTGAATACAAGCCGCTTCTTGCATCACTGAAGGTGTGAGAACTAAGGTGGTCAGCTGAAAAGGGATCACTGCCTGCACTCAGTTTCATCAGACTGTCACCAAGTTCTAAAAGTTCAGAGCTACTAAGAGCTGCTCTGGGATTATCTATATTTACGGGACCAGAGTCTAACCTTGTAGGCAAAGAAGTACCTATCGCCCCTAAAGAAGCTTCATTGGTCAGGAAGTCTCTAGTTTCCTCATCAATAACTAAGCCAGATTCTTGCAAGGACAACTGAATAGCAAGCAGGATGTTTGGGTCATCTTCATCCAAGGAACTCAGAGCCTATAAGAGATATTATGAGTTATATATATATGAGAGAGAGAGAGAAGCAAGTTTTACCAAGTTTGTTCCAAGTTCACTTTTAGTACAAGCTGACTAAATTTATACATTCATGAGACATTATTTTTATATGGCTTAATTTTGGCTAATATACTAGTTGTCAGATTGAAATTCCAAGTATGTTAACTTTGAGGTCAGTTCCATACAAATTAATGAAATTCACTTTTAATTAAGCCTGTTTGGAACTGAAGTGTCAAAGCCACTAACTCTCAACAGCTTGTCAGCTGACAAATACAGAAAGCAGACATAAACAGAAAGAAACAGCTCAGCAAAGAAGAGGGGAAAGGAACAGAGGCATATACCTGCAGAGAGTCTTGGTTTTCAGAGTGACTAACAGGAGTATAGTCATGAAGAGAAGAGCTGTGAAGGATACTCATGGAAGCTGAACTCACCATGGAATTACCATGTCTTCTGTTACTGCCAGCTTCTTGTGTATCTGCTCAAAAAACAAGGGGAAGAAAGAGTTAAACAGCCATTTAAAAGCCAATACAAAAAGGGTGCCTTTTATTTTATTGAGAAAGCATGATTTCCACATTCCTTTTAAGTGTACTGTGTTCTTAACTTCCTTTATCTGAGCCCAAATTTTGTCATGCAGTGGACTAAAATACACCCACACTCTGAAAGGAAATGAGAATGGTGAAAGTATTTATGTCACAAGATGCATTTTAAGCATTTTTGTAGTGTACACTATCATATAATTTTTAGATGCATTTCTCAGATAAAGATTTAAGATGACTTACAGGATTAAAACACCAAAAAGAAAGAAAGAAAGAAAGAAAGAAAGAAAGAAAGAAAGAAAGAAAGAAAGACAGACAGACAGACAGACAGACAGACAGACAGACAGACAGACAGACAGGCCAATTTAAAACAGAAAGAAAGGCCAATTTAAAACAGAAACCATAAAATACAAAGACCTGATTAAATAACCAAGAAAGCCCTTCATATGCTATAAAATGCTGAGAGTAAAGTTTTAGCCTGGTTACAAAAAGACATTAAGGATGGTACCAGGTAGATCTCACTGGAGAGAGTATTCTACCCTAGGAAGCCACCATCACAAAGGTTTACTGTTGTTCTCATTTGGAGAAAAGCCTCAGATTTTGACTGCAGTTGATTTAACATGTATATCATCAACTGAGAATATCTGTAGCCTATTCTTGACCTTTGCATTTGTGGGGGAATTTTTATATGTACACTTCCTCACAAAGTTCATAAATTTTAATGTGTGACCTGGCAATATATAAGTCCAAAGGGACTGGTAATAAGATCTATTAGTAGCCCTGGACATAACAATTGTCTTGGGAAGCAATATTAGTTGGATTAAAAAAAGGTTGAGAGGGACATATCCCAGTGATACCACAGCATACTGGAAAAGGGCCCACACATATACTCTCATTATTGTGGCATCATGTGAATCAGGCCTTTAGGAGAGAGAAGCAGAGCTGGAAACAAGGAATTTGATGAAAAAGGAATATTTTTCTTATGTTGACCTCTGAATGCATGTCATAATTTCAAACACTGTTTTAAGTGCATTTAACACAGCCTATTTAATTTAATATATTTTAAAACAATTGAAACAATAGCAGTTTAGAGCAGTAACTCTTGCAAGGAAGAATAATCTCTTTGAGGACTGTATCACAGAACCTTGCACAAGGACAGGAATATTAATCAGAACAGAATAAAAGCAGAAGTGACTACAGCTTAGTGGTAGTATGCATACTTAGCATATAGATAGTCCAGAAAGTCCTATGTTCAATTTCAGTATCTCAAATCATTAACAAAAAAAGAAGTAGGTAGCAGATAATATGAATGGCCTCCACCTAGAAAGCCTCTACCAGTCAGGGTACACAGTACTGGGCTAGAAAAATAGTCTGCTTTTGTGTAAGGCAGCTTTCTGGAATACCAATATGGCACATGCCATTTTGTCAACACAAGGGAAGTGGAGAAAGTCAACCTCAAACAGCACTGCCTTCTACAGAAGTAAAAAAAAAAGCATCTGACTAGGTCCTTTCTTTCCTATGGAAGATATCTCATCTTTCCCAAAGCACATGAAACATTTACAGTACACATTATCTAAGGATATACAGTAGCAATTATTACTTTGCTTTGTTCGACAGTTTTTTACTTGATAATCAAACATTAAATAATTACTTGCTTGAAAAGGGCAGTATTTCCCCTGAAATTCTTTTTAAAACAAGTACTTAGCTACTTCAGAGGAAAAAGAGGAAACAAGTATGAAAAGAACTCACCTAGTGTGCTCTCGCTAGGGTCATCAGGGTCTGGAGCATTATTAAGTAGACTGTGCATGTCTCCACGTCGACGTTGTCTATGCCTTCTCCGATACTGAAATTCAGCATAGTCCTGCATAAACCAAACGTTACAAAATACAGGGGAGCATGCAATAATATTTTGGAGTATAACAAACAGCACATTTAAAGAAAAATGAATGCCTGTGATTTTATGCATTATAAAATCACCCATGTTCATAAAAAGTAAGTAGCAACCTACATCATGCAAGCTTTTAAAAATAAAAAATGTAGATTACCCAATTCTAAACTACTAAATTAAGCTAACAATGCTTTCTATAAAGCTGCTGCTGTACGACCGCTTGCAATCTGATTGCAACAATTCTGAAGTCTAATTTTCTCATTTAAACATGTTAAAATGCAATCCTACACGTCTACTCAGAAGTGAACCCCAGAGTTCTTTAAGGTAACTAAATATAGGATTAAACACTGTTATATTTCTATTCTATATATATCAGGTATTATCTTCTATTTGTCCTAATAAGGCAACACAGCAAGGTCTCAAGCCAAAATATTTAACAGTTTAAGCAGCAATTAAAAAGTTATGGATGTGCTTAGCTTAAGAACTGAGTCTACATCAATGTAGTCAATATTTATTCTACAATTTATAAAAGTGAAATATGTTTTAACAATAATCATATGCTCATGTTCTGCACTGATTACTTGTACTGTATGCTTCATATTGGATAAATGCAAACTTTTTATTTTTTGGTAAGGGTAAAAAGGCTATGGCAAGTTCTATGTTCTGTAGTACATCTTTTTAGGTACAAAAGCCTCTCAATATTTGTAACAAGATAACAAAGAAGTAATCCAGCTTTTCAGAGGTTTCAAGGAGTAGCACCCAAAACAGTGTTGCACATGTTATTTTTTCAAAGGCCATAGAACAAGTATGGCTTCTGCAGTAGACATAACAATAGATCAAAATTCATAGTGTGATTAGGAGAAGTGTAACTAGAAATTCCTAGTGTTCAGAGATGTTATATATTACTTGAACATTACTTTGTAATAAATGGCAGAAAAGGCACTATCTCTAACTGCTTGTATTTACCCTTTTCTACAGGGGGGATATTTGTTTAATTGAAAAGCTCTTTCATTTTAACACTGATACTTAAGTTTTACATATCAACCAAAACATACTGCCTTTTTAAAAAAGCCTACATCTGTTCTGCTCAGGTGGGAGGAAGGAAGGGACACACAGTAATGCAATCTATTATGCCTTAACTTAATTTTACATTATAAAAATAAATCGCAAACAAAACTACCTGGTGGATTTTTCTGCAAAAACAAAGTCTATAAAATAGTCTTGTACCAATCCAAATATTTACATTTTCTTCTACCAATCCACATATTAACATTTCCTTAGCATATGTGGCAGTTTAATATTAGGTTGTCCAAATTATCTGCAAGGTATCTGGAAACTATCGCACTGTGCTAAATCAGAAGTCTAGGTTTACAGTTATACTAAGTTCACTGTCACTAATCACTGCTAAACAGAAGTTTTTTTTAATTTAATCAGCCTGTTTTCCTGCCATTTTCATCCTGCAATGTGAACAATTCTTTGGTTTGATAGGCCATGTTCCTCAGTGCAGAATCGGGAATTCCTTGTTCAAAATCAAAAGGCCAGAACAAAAAAAGGATGAAACTATTGGAAAGAGAGAGAGAGAGAGAGAGAGAGAGAGAGAGAGAGAGATCCTATGATCTCTCTAGAAAGTTCAATTAAAATGTTATTTCTCCAAAAAAAGCATATATATTATGATTTAAGACTAAAAGTAGAACAAATATTATAATACACTTATATAAAAGTGTATACACATTTTGAGTAATTAACACAATGCTGGCCACCATAACTTAAAAAGCATATCAAAGAATTGGTGAAATAAAAAAATGGGATAAAAAAGGCAACTAAGAATCTGACAAAACTACCAAAGTACAATTGATCATGGCAACAATGAATACACTAATATTTATTTTTCAAAATTCAAAAACTGCAGTCTTTAGGATTGTGCTATAGAATCCATTGGGATTTACTTCCAAGTAGACATGCATAGGTTTGCGTTGTTAGTGATACAGTGATTAAAGGACAAAAGGACCTTTTTTCTCATACACAAGGCACTGCCAGCTTAAAAGAATGCATTGTCATAAGATGGGAGTATTAACCAACACAAGCTAAGCCTTTTGAAAAGGACTGAACAAATGGTTATTAACACTGAGAGTTAAGAATGTGATTTCCATGTCTAGATGCAGCATAGCTAATTTATTAGATGCTGATTCTTGTACATGGGATAGCTCAGCTTCTCAGAAACAATTGGTTGGCCCAAGTCAATTACAAGACTACAGCCGCTAACACATCTTTTGTCCGATGCTGGTAATGTCATGGTTTTTTTCCTTCCCTAATGCTTAGTTGGAACCCTGAACTAATTTGCATAATATGGTCAATTTTACAGTCTAAAGGCACAGCATCAAATAATGCCCTCACATCTTTCATAGCACTAAGGTTGAAGAGCAGGACACAAATACTGTGTACTCTTTGTATGTAAACATACGTTACTCCTTTATAATAATTTATAAGTTTTATTATTGCTATCTAATTACTTAAAACATAGCATTATAGAAAGAACTGGGAAAAGACAAGCAAGCCAATTTGCCTATAAGAAGCAAACTACATTCTTGCAAGCATGGTGTTACCCAGCAACAATAGAAAAGGAAATATACAAAAATACGTGGATTTTACCAAATGCAGGGGGAGGGGTTACTGTCCCTGAATTGTGCTTATCCCTTTAAGACACAAACAAAACATCCAGAAGGAATGCTGAAGTAGATCTTTATCATTCTCCAAGACATCATATCTTGCATTGCAGGATAGCCTCATTTTATTTTGTAAGATTGCACTGTGCGATGCCTGTTGTGCATTTGCTTTCCTTTTGTTAATTCCTTCCTGTGCCTGCATGACAGATTAGGCTGGGCTAACTGTGCTGTCTCACATGCAGAGATGGGGATTCTTTGCCTACTGTCCTCCTAGTTCTCTTCAACCCTTAGGAGAGGTGTACCACCCTGGAATAACACAGTCATTCCCTGCCTACAAATGATGACACTAATTGTGCTGCAAATTTCCAAAGGTACACTGGTTAACAAACATTTATAGCTTGGCAACAAACTCATGAAAAATACCTTTGAACATTACACACCAGCTGTGGAAAACCTGTCTCAGCTCAGTGCTTTTGATACTAGCGAAATGGGTAGAGGCTGCAAAAGGTGATGATAAATTATAAATTAACCTCTCCTGGTTAATCAAAAAGAGCAATACTGGTTTCTCTCCTGCATTTTGTACAGCTGCTGACAAGCTGCAAATTAAATTAAAACTAGAGAAAGATAAATCTGTGGTGAAGTGCCTGCGGAACACGATATGTATAAGCCTGCACTTAAACTTCATTGAAATGTAAGACATTTACATTCAAAAGCTAACTGGGAAATATCAAGAAAAATACTAACTGTACCAGAACATCACACTACAGCTGTCAGTTGGTTGTTGGCTTTGATTCAAGAGCCACCTCAGACAGATGAACAATGTGGCAGTACTTGCAAGGATGTCCTGTCCATTACCACCTTACGTATGGGTTTTCTTCTTTGATAATGAGCACATAGAGAACTTCACTTGCAAGAGAGAGTGAGCAGATGCTACTGTAGCTAGGACAATTGTCACTGGTTTCTCAGCTATAACTAAAGTGGAACTGGGGAACTAGAATGCCACACTGTGAGCACTCGGAATAGGGATTCATCTTTTACATCCCAATCCTAAAATATAAAATTAAATATATTTCCTTCTATTGTAAAGCAGAAAAAATAGAACACTTGTCCAGACTTTGCAAACTTTGGAACAGTTTGCAACAACGTTAGGAAGCTAATCATGCAGTCAAATTATATAATCATTTCCATAATATGCAAATTTATATAATTAAAAGTGACAAAAATTACCTCAGGGGATGCAAATCCTAAATATTCCCAATCCCATGTTCCACCAGCAAAGCTATAAGTTAAACAGACTTTGTTATTGAAGAATAGCATAAATTATGAATAGTTCCGCCTTCACCAAAACTGAGACCAAAAATAACTTGCTACTTAACTGTTAGTTATTAATGTGCAAATTTAACTACTCTCAAGGAAAGTATGGAGAACTTAAAAATGGAATTGCTGTTTTAACTAATACTTTAAATAGGAACTAATGATGATCCATAAACACTTCAAAACAAAGCACAATAATATGAGAAACAGTTCATTTTGGGTGGGCTTTTTATGTCTGTAACCTAACATCTTTTAATACATTTTGAATTAGACAATAAAAATGCTGTTCAAGCTTTTATGCCGTAGACTTTTCAGCATTTGAAAATGAGTTCAGAGAAATCTATTTTAATTTGCAACAAATTATGTCTATTATTTTGGATTGTTTTCTGTTTGTTTCTGCTTTTAATTAGAAATGCATCAAATTTCCTTAGCTTCATTGATTATCCTATCCTGCATCTTTCCTCTGGAATTTCATTCCTAGGATAATGATATGATACTGTCTTTTCATTAATCTTTATGCCCTTTCCTCAAAACTTCCCTCTGATGCAAAATTCTCAGTTTATCATAGCAAAACATTTAGCATTTCTATTCTATCTCAAATTCTACAGGGCTGTAGTCCCTGTTACTGGCAATACTGCTGTATCTATGTAAAAAATCAACAGTCAACAGGCTGTTTTTCTTGGCTGGGTACTTTCATAATAAAACATACCAAGCAGATACATTTAACATTTAAAAATTCTACCAGTATTTTGCAGTTACTAAGCAGCAGCACTACATCTTTTGCAGGTTGTTTCATGTATAAATCTTTCCCATCTTAAAATTTTGGCCATGAGCAAAGGCATCTTAAAATTTGCAAACAATTTAAAACTGTGAAACAAATATTGTAGAGTTTTAAAAATGTATTCTGCAAAGCAAACATACCTGGGCTATCTCTATTATTTCTCTAAGCAAGCAAGTGTGTAAGGCAGGCTTACCCAATTTGGTGGCTATAACCTGAACTTCTTTGGGTGTGCAAATCTCTATTATGATCAGGTTACCTGCGCCTTGGAGCTTCTGGAGAATCTGCAGGAGCAACTCCCCGAGCTACAGAGGCCAAGAACTCTTGCCTCTTTTGCTGCACATGGCATGCTGCACGGATAATTTTATGACGAGGTGTACGCAGGTAAGGCCTGTTCACTTTCTGAGCAAGGTCCTCTGTAACCATTTCAAGGTCTGTCTATAACAGAAAATAAATGTTAGTGACAATACCTCATAGGATGAATAACAGAATAATTTCTAGTATTCAATATCATCTGCATCTGGCTGAATTGTCTAAGTTTTTATTTAATGGTAGTGTCATTGTTTTTTAGAATGTTTGTTATGGTTTTTATTACCACATTAATTTTATAAATATATAAAATAAAATATGTTTTATTTTTATGTGCTACCTTGGGAGGACTCCTGCTCTGAAGAGAAGCAAAGAAATATTTTAAATAAATAAGTAAAACATCTATGATGAAGATAGATCAAACTGTATGGATGCTTCATAGTTCCTGGCCAGCTTTACCATGCCTTGCCCTGAAAAGCCTAAGTGCTTTCAAATGGAATAAAACAACATATATTTGTTAAACCATCCCACAACTTCGGTAATGGGATGGTCTACAAAAGTTTTAAACAAACAAATTCCGAGGACTGAGTCCTTATATTGTAAACTCAGAATTTCCATTACATAACATAAAGAATGCACATCTCACTATGCCAGTGATGCACTGGTGGGCAATTAGGATGAATGACAACAGTATAACAATACACTAAGGCACAATTCATCTGAGTTAAGTACTTTTAAGAATCTTAATTCGCAAGGGAGGATTAAGTCTGAGTTTAGATCTCTTTCACTGAACTCAATGGGAATTGTGTATGCTCATCTTTGGCTGGAGTGTGTCCTCAGAATGCAAATCTAAGGAAAATTAGTTGGACTTCAGCACTGTTGAAAGACCTATTCTATATTCATAACCAGTAAAATGTAAAATATTAATTGTGGAAGAAACCACCACTGGAGCATCCATTACCTGCATAAGTTCAAATATTTCTTTCTTTGTGCTTTTTGGTTCTAGAAAGAATCCATATGGGTAAGAACACTTCAGGATGCGTCGAGTTTTAAGGAGTTCATGTACTGCATCTTCAATGAACGTAGTATCTGGGCAACCTCCTTCAGCTACAAAAGAAGTATTGCAAATAGTGTTTTGTTATCCACCTGCTAATGTAATGACTTTTTCAACAGCAGGGTTTTTTTCTAAACTTAGTATAAAGTGTTTCTGTAAAATTAGGGCTGCTTCTCAAATTGTAATCTAGACAGTAAATAGGAATATTTCTATAAATAGGTTCACTATCTGACTGCATTCAGATTTCTCAGTTCACAAAACTGCAGTGACATTGGCCCAGATCCAAAGAAAGTTAATCACACTAAACTACTGCTCTGGTATTCCAGAGAAGAATTTATGACATCTGGGGTGTGGGAAGATATTAGCTGATATAATGTCATTGCAGAGAATGTCTAGACAATAGAAGACACAAACTGAATGCCATATAATACAATATAATATTGCATTAGCCTGTTATCCAAAGTAAGAAGGTCAAATCAGAAAAACGCTCACCTTGGAAGGGAAAATAAATAGCCATTAGAAATAAATGTTTTTTGAAAATACAAGTTCTTTATTCTGAGTGCCAGAAGGTATCACAAAAACACTGATACACTTACTTCCACTGAGAGCTCTGCTTAGCTGCTCCATCTTTTCTTTGGCTGTTTTGAGAAGGCGCTGTTCTAACTAAAAGTAGGGAGGGATTAAAAAATGTGATAAAACTTGATGTTTTGAATTAATAAAGCTGGAAAATAATTTTAAGGAACTATTTACAACCATACTTGATAGCTGAGCTCATGGTTCTTAAACCTTGTGTAATAGTGCATAAATCTATCAAGTTCTTGAAATCTTTTGTGTTTCTTTTCAGCCTGAAAAATAATTACAGGAAATAAAGAGAAAAAAATCATCAATGTATGAGGCTGATTTGAATTTATCACTTATAGGCAAAAGCAAGTGTGCATTCAACCATTTAAACTGTAAATAGTAGAGTTTTATTCACAAACAGCATGATAAAGAATTTTTGGTGAAGCAATCAGCCACCCAAAATACAACTTACAGAATGCAAAAGTCAAAATAAGTTAAGAGGTTGACAAACTTGGATACCAACTTTCTCCTCACTACATAAAATGACTTAAGAAAAGGAACAAAGAACTGAATGCTTGAGAGTGTCCCTGTTTACTAACTACAACTATAGCAACTGTTTGAGGACTACAGGATGAGGGAAGCATCTGTCTGTTGTCTGTCTTTTCTTTCTTAAAATCTGCTATAGTAGGTGGTAGTCCTAAAGCAACAACCTCCTCTACCTTTCTAGTCCTGCTGGTTTCAGGCCTTGGAGATGGCAGAATCCATGGACAAATCCAAAATGTATAAAAAACCTCCCCACTGAATTGAATTGGTAGGAATAGTCTGCAAATTTTGGCCGAGTTTTGGTCATCAGTGATCTCATCCCTCCCTAATGTTTTTGAAATGTATAGAAGTTATGGGTGAAGGGCAAGACCTTTTCTCTCACTGTGCTGGATTTTGAAGACTGCCAGGATTCAGTCCTACACACATGCTCCAGAGAATAAGACCAACTAAAACAGTGGGGCTCAATTATGAATAAACATGCAGGGGATGGCATTGCCACAATGTCTCCAAAGCACAAGGCAATGTCACAAAAGAGACCCTGCTTCTCCCCTGAATCTGAGGCTCAGGAAAGAAGGGGCTGATGATCAACTTTGTGTTGTGCTTCTGAGATTCTCAGTGAAGAATGGTACAAACTCAGAATTGAGTGATAATTATCAAAGCATTTGGGGATGTCTGGTTAGCAGTATAAAGAGTTCAATGAAGATGAAAAATAAGAAAGATCTGCTCGAAAGGAAGGACGGACAGACAGGCAGACAGATGGACAGTCAGTAGTTCTGTGCTTTTTCTAACTGGTCAATTTCTTACCTCTGCTGTCATTTCCTTAGACTGTTCCTCTACGTGCTGAATTACTTCATAGCGAGTACATCTATAATAACCTCCAGTGGAAGAACTATGTTTCTTCCATTCTTCCAGGCAAATCCAACAGAAATCATATTTACACTTCAAGGGGAAGAAGAGAACTAATGTCTTAATCTGGTTGTGTCAAAGCTTTGTTGCAGTGAAATCTAGAGCATTACAACAACAGAAATTCAGAATGTTTTTCCCACACTATTATTCAAAGGCTATACTGCCTTATGAAAATTTGGCTTGAACCTTTGTTCTGACATAGCATTTACAAACACTATGGCCTGATTCTTTTGAGTAAAAACATATCAATCACCAGTATGGCTCATTCTTATAATTAATTTGCAGGTTAGCTTGTGCAGTGCATCTGTTCAAGATGTAACCCTAACCTTAAGTTCACTAGTAACTATTAATATGTTGAACCAGTTTGGATATAGTTCAGTGTTACATTAATACATACAGTCTTTCTAAACTGCTTGATCTTACTTCAATAAACCAACCACAATTTGCTTTGTTTTTGATGTAATGCCAAACGACAGTTGATTTAAACCAGGAAGATAGTGTTTCCAATCTGTTTTTCATTACTGTGACAGAGGGTAAGCTCCCTTGGGAAACCTTGAGACTTGCCTATGCTCATTCATCTGAACTTAGCCTATGAAAAGATCCAATCTGAAGCTAGAAAAAGGAGATGACAGCTGCAAAATGATGTTTACTGGGAAATGTTGTACACCTAAAATTCTCCTCTCTACTCCCAATAATTCCAAAGCAACTCCAGCTTTTCCATGACTGCTATGAACATAGCATAAAGAAGACTACCAGCTTTGATTACATTCACATAATTGGTGTTCTGCCTAGCTTGACCCTAACAAAAGTGTTTGGAGCGTTGTCTGGATTCCATTTCCATGTTTCGAATGCTATGTAGGTGAAGCAACCTACATATGTACATTAGACTCCTTAAATGGGAGAGAGACTGCCATTGAAGTTACCAGTTGAGGGAGCGAGAGAGTCTCTCCAGGTGTCCTGTCTGTCCAATGACTAGTTTGGAGTGTCTGCATCTTGTATTGTGTCAGGCTAGCTGGACAGATTGCGGATGCTGCTGATGTACTGACCACCCTGCAACCCATCAGTCTCCCTACCTGAGCTGATGTAGGTGGTCTTGGATGTGGAGTCCCTCAAGCTGTTGCTTATGGAAGATGTCAACATTCATGCTAAGGGACTGTCTCAGCATGGCATCAGCTTGCTGCATGTAGTAGGCCATACTCGATACTTGATCTTTTCAGCCAGATATGAGGATGGGATCTCTGTGTGTGTGGGGCGGTGTGCTTTGACTCAGCCATTGTCATAGTTAAATCATTGCTTTCTGAGATTTAGACTGGCAATGTATTTTTCCTTGGGTGAAGTGGGGGGCATTAAGATGGTCATCCCTAAAGGCTAATGGATTCAAATGGTTCCATGAGGGCTTTGGGGGATTTTCCAGCTGATATGACAGGTGCTCTTGTTGAAGCCCTGGTCATGATGTAGAAATGACCTGGGAGACTGACATGATTGCTCCTAAGCGCCCTCTCCGTTGTAAAGTTCATACGGATAAGTGGTACAACACAGAGCTGAGAGCAGTGAAACAATTTAGGAGACAACTTGAGTGCCAGTGGAGAAAGCTCCCAAAGAATGTAAAAGAAACCTGGTCAGATACTTTTTGAGGCAGTGAGGGTGGCAAAGAGACAGTATCTCACTGCCATTATTCAGTTTACCCTTTACTGTGCAAGAGAGCTTTTCAAGGTTGTCCAGGGCTTATTACATTCTGGCCTTAAGGACATCATGGAACTATCTCAGGCCTGCTATAATTTACGCATTGTGCACTTCCAGGAAAAAAATCTCTTACATCCACATGGGCTTGTACTCCATAGTTAAAACAGTTGAATCTGTGGAGATAACCAGAGCACAGCCTGGTTCAGTTTAATTGGATGAGTTTCAGCTGGGACAGCTCAATGATGTTGGCAAACTGTGTGGACAGGCTCATGTAACCAATCTCTGAACTGGATGCTGGCCCCTTCTGGCTTATAAAAGGCAGCAAGGATGGAATAACTAGCTGGAACATGGAGAGGATTAATGCCTTTTTGCTAGAGGGAGAAATCCCATTCTGCCTTAAAGAGGCAGTGATGAGACCACATCTGAAGAAACCCTCCCTTGTTCCAGAATATCTGAATAACTTTAGACTGGTAGAAAATATTCTTTTCCTGGGTAAGGTTCTCGAGAGGGTCACTGCCATTCAACTCCAGGCACTTTGGGATGAGATGGATTATCTGCATCAAATTCAGTCAGGGTTCAGGTCTGGTTTTGGCACAGAAATAGCCTTGGTTGCCCTGAATGATGAGCTATGTCTGGAGAGAAAGCTGGGGGCACTACATTGTAATGATTCTGCTCCTACTTGGATGGCTGTCTCTGATCCTAGTTGGATGGTGGTGCTTGGGGAATATTGTTCAGCCCTGTGGATTCTCCAGCATGGAGTTCTGTCCTCCATACTAGTATCTGGATTATCCCACTGAGTGGGATAATCCAGAGTTTTGGAGTGCATTGCCATCAGTTTGCTTGTAATATGCAGCTTTATTTCTCCTTTACACCATCAGCAGATAAAGCTGTGGTTGTGCTAAACTGGTGTTTGGCTATGACAATCGACTGGAAGAGTTCTAACAAAGTGAAGCTCACTCCTGACAAGACTGAGATGCTGTTTGTGGGTGATTCCATTGACCAAACGGAAGGACTTCAAGCTGTTCTAGATGAGGTTGCATGTTTGTAGCTTGGGTGTGGTCCCTAATCCACTTTTGACACTGGAGACTCAAGTGGCCTCAGTGGCTCAGAGTGCCTTCTACCAGCTTCAGCTGGTGGCCCAGCTACAACCCTATCTGAACAGGGATAACCTGGCGTCAGCAATCTATGCTCTGATATCTCTAAATTAGATTATTGTAATGCACTCCAGGTAGGGCTGCCCTTCAAGACAGTTCAGAATGTAGCAGACAGATTAATACCCAGGATCTGTAGGCCCAAACACATAAAACTGGTTCTGGCTTACTTTCATTGTCTGCCTGTATGCTTCCAGTCCCAATTCATGGTTTAGGATTGCAATACCTGTCGGAGCATTTCTCCCAACCATGATCTGGTCAGACAGTATGCTCAACCTGTGGGGCCTTCCTCTAAGTGTTAACTCCAAAGGAGGTGTGGAGGATGGGAACAAGGAAGGAGCTTTCTCTGGGGTGGCCCCCTTCTATAGAACAACCTTCCCACTGCAGCCCAGGTGTACCAAAATTGTCATCTTTTCAGTACAAGATTAAGATGGCCCTCTTCTCCAAGGCTTTTAAGGACTTATTTGGCCACCTAAGGTTTGAGGGTGACAACCCAATCCAGGTGTTTTGCAGAGGCATTCTTGTTTGTTTTAGCTGTTTTAAACTTTTTATTTTTTCTGATTTTATGTTATTTATTGCCTGCTTTATGGATTGTTGTAAACCACACGGAGAGTTCCGGCTATGAGAAGGGATCGAAATGGAATCTTGTCCAAAAATTAATAAAGAGCTAGTTTTGAGATGGAGCAAGAGACTGATTGTTAAGAGTAACATGAACACCATCTTTAGAAATGCACAAAGTAAACTTAGTTGTAATTTTTTATATGAGAAATACAGTATTCTTTCAACAGTCTTTGCTTACTTTTGCACACTGCATATGGTTGCAGCCTTCATTCTTCTGAATTGGAGATTTGCAATTGGCGCATGGTTTAGAGTTTGTGAGTAACCATAAACAGTTGGCAGCATCTTCGTAAGCCTCACTAACTCCCACAACTTTGAAAAGGGACACAAAGTTAAGGCTTTATGTATATATTGTATTAAAAGCAAAAGTCATCACTGCATTTTCAAAAATTTCTAAGTGTGTAATTAGAATATTTTTAAAATGTACTGGAATTCATTCTAACACCCTCTTGTAAGTCAAAAATGAATTTCAGATAGGTTTTTCCCCCCATAAGCCAGAACGATGTAGCAAGCACTAGAAAAATCTATAACTAATCAAATAGTCTGATCTAACTGCTAAAAGGCAACATAATGAAAGATTACTTGCACACCTATCCTTTCTGCCAGCTTTTGCAATTTTCCATTTAATTTCCTAAATAATTTTAAACTTGTTTACTATAATAAACATTCCACCCAATTAAAAGTATTGGAAAGCATTTGATTTCTGCAATGCTTAACAAGAAACAGTATTTTGTTTGATGAATATAAACTATATCTTACCTGTATAAATTATACAGATTTGTATTTATAAATATAGATTTTGACTTGGAAATCTGCTGCCCAGAGAGGTATGCCTGCACTGCCTCTTTATTCTTTTTGGTGCCAGGCTAAAACCTTTTTATTTTCCCAGTATTTTAATGTTTGAATGGTTTTATCATATATTTTATATATTGTATATTGCTTTTTAATTGAACTGCTGATGTGTTGTTATTGTCTTTGTAAACTGTCTTGAGAGTGCACTGAAATATTAGACAGCATATAAATGTGTTTAAATGAATAAATAACCTGAAATGTTGCTTCTTTGGTTACATTTTAGTTTCAAGTCCCTACAGTTATTAAAAGTAACTTGCACCTTACAATATCTCATGAATAATAGATTCAATCATGAAATTATTTTCAGTCATCAAACCCTGACTTTCAATATAATTTAAACAAGGCCATATCTTGTTTATCTTTGTTAAAATTAAACTGTTCGAACTTAGGTCTGCAATATTCATTATGATTCCAGCGGTTATATCCAGAATCTCATCGACCCTCCACTGATGGAAGGTTACAGCTTACAGAATGTATCTTTGCCTGATTTTTAGAGATTTCCCTTCTCCACAGCTCACCTCATTCAACAGGGTCACCCAATCCTCCGCATGGCATTTTCAGGTGGCTGCAAGGACTGCTGTGGGCAGAAGGGAGACTCCAGCCCAGCTGCATACACCTATATCTGAGTCCTACTCCCTGTAAATATTGATTTTTAAGTCTAACATTTCAAACTTTTCACCTAAAGCAGTGAAATCAGAAATTCAGATGTCTCATTAATAAAAATGCAAGTCACACTCTACAGAAAACTTTGCCCAATCAGCCAAGATCAATTCAAATTATCTGCTACTTACCCATGCTTTATTAAAACCAGTTCATCTTATCAGGCAAGTTTGAGAAAACACAGTTTCTCCTCACTGCTCATATCATCTCCCTAGCTTGTTCACATTCAATTTAGGTGGTAATGCTCTCTGTTCTGGAAAGAGGCTATTTTTCCTTACTGGTACATAAAGATTTTCTATTATATAATCATGGAGAATTACTACAAATTGAATTTAAAAAGACCATAATGGGCATTCTTACGCTCTTCTGGTTTCATTTCAGTTATCTTTTGCAGCCAGTTTTTCCATGTTTCACAGTCACAGGGTTCATGTGCTTCACCCAGACACTCCCTGAAAAATTGATCCCAGGTTTAAAATTGTGAAGACTGAACTCCTTTTTTTAAAAAAGCCAACCAACCATGAATTAAAGAATATGAGTTCTTAATCAGTGCAAGAAAGCAAGTAAGTTTAATTTTATGAAACTTCAGTTACGTTTTGCTAAGATGTCTAAGTATGCATCCAAAGGAGGACGTACAAAGATCAGAAAGGGTATCCAAGAAACTGTACATGCTATGAAGCTGTGTTCTGATCAGGAAGATTTGGAGGGGGTGGGACTACTTTCCTGTCGTGTTACTTTTGCATGTGTGCAGTGTTCCTACCCTTGTTACTTAGGGATTCTGCCCCATTACTTAGGGTTTCTGCTTGATTCCCTCTATTTTATTCTAAGTTACAGTGGTTAATTATTTTTCACATTTATTTTGAAGTGCTAAATTTTTCATACTGTTCTGGTAGTTCCCATTTAAGAACTGACAGAGAGACAAGGAAGATTTCTGCAGTGAAAGTAACTGGGAGCAAAGATTAATCCTGCTTTTCTGTAGGAGGCAGAGCCATGAAAGAAATAAGAAATGGCGTTCCTCCCCTTTCTATGGGATACTGATGTGACTGAAGCTATCTCCTGCAGAAATGAGAGATAGCCCTTCTGTCCCTGCTCTACTACTTTGCTGGCTGAAGTATCTACCCGTCTCAAAACAACCCTCACAGACTAATTCAATAACTAGTAGGAATTAGGGAAGAAGGGCAGATCTTCAATGGATGGAGAAGTATAGCAATAGTTGGAAGCAGTTATCTTGATTCAGCCTTCCTATAGCATTAAGTCATGCATCGTATCTGATGGGAGACAGACTAAAATAACTGTCTACACTGTATGTTGCCAACTGTTAGGCAAGACAAACATGTAATGTCTTTAAAAGTATTTATACCACAGTTGCATTAAAAAAACCCAAGGCACCAATATTCTTGGTGCTTTGTAAAGGTAAAAGGACTATTTGTAGCTTCTGTAACTAAGGTAATTAATTTAATAACACATTGTTTTTTGACAGATGAGCATATGCAATATATCCCTTTCTGTTTTTAACCAGTTAAGGTACTTTATCATGAATGAAGAGAGTTTTCTTGAGAACAACCCAGAAGTTCTTCACATATTTCTCAGATTATTACAGCTAGTTTAAAAAGAAGCAATCAGTTTTCTGAAATGGAAGTTACACTGGTTCCAGATGGTGCCTGGGTGTAAATGTGTCAATAAGATTTCCAGATCGGTCACGACTCGCTCTTTTATGGGAAATAAAATAAAATAGCTTCAGACATCTGCTGTACATCTAACTTACACAAAGTAAAACTACTAAGATTAGCACTATGTCAGAAATAAAGCATCATGGACAGAACAATCTGCATTTCTCTGGATCAAATAATTTCTTTTTCTTTTCAAATGCTTTTTTGTGTGGAGAGGAGAGGAGATAAAAGAATGGCCACACAATCGAATCAGACAAATTGTGCTCATCAGACAAATGACCAAAGAAAAACATTAGCAAGAAAATAAAAGTAATTGCCATATTATAAATAGCAACTATCAGCTTTCAACATGCCCCCTGCTCTGAATTTATGCTACTCTTGAAATCTGAGTGTGTGCACATGTGTACATGCACACACATAAGTGCATATCATATGGCCAAATCCTGAGTAAAATTTGGCTATTTCAGAGAGAGTCTGAGCCTCCCTGAGCAAAATTGGGTTTCCCTCCGAAGTGTCCAGAATGGAAACTAAGCCATCCTGTTGTTTAGGGCTTGAAAGGGCTTCAGAAAGGTAGTCTGAAAAAAAAGCTATTTCCTTGATATAGGAAATACCTGGTAGCATAAAGGAGATGTAGCTCTGAAACTACTGTTGTACGAAGGGATTCGATTAATGAAACCTTTGTTCAAGGCTTCTGTCCTTTTCCTATTTCTGTCTCAGCAGAAAATAATAATGTGCTGCAGAACTTTTTTGTGAGAGGATCTGTTAGGGTCCTTTTCCTAAAACCTTCTTTTTCATTCTGCCCACTTACCGATATTTTTAAGGGTAACTTTTAAAAGTTACGTTTATTTTTGCTGTTGCTTGTTAATCTTTCTCACAACTAGTTATACAGTATTAGCTGTGTGACATTTTCCTGCACCCATCCCATCCCATCCCATCCCGTCTGCCTTATTTTGGCTTTAAGTCTTAAAATGTAACTGTGAAACAGGTTTAGGATCTTTTCCTAACCTGCATCCCTTGTATCTGTTGTTTGGTAATTTGGTAGAGTTATTACCAAGGGGCAGTTCTATTTTCATAGCAATTTCACATTAGACAATACAAAGGATTAGAGCTGTTGCTGTTTCTCTGCCATCCTAAACCAGTAAAGTACAAAATGCACAGAACCTGTATGTCTAAAATTTGGCAGGCTTTATCTTCACCAAAGGAGCAACCACACCGTCAAATGTTACCTACTTCTATCAAACAATGAAGCATTACTAACCAGCAGAAGAGATGCCCCTTCCCACAATCCACAGCAGGGGCTCTTAGCAATGGGAAATTAAGTGCTTCTGAACCAGTCGTATTTGACCCTTGTCTTGTTAGCCTGACTGCTCTTTCACAGGCTGGTGTAGGACACCATTTAATTGAAGGATTATTTTCAACAAAGGCCTGAAAAAAAGGGAGAAAGGAATTAGTTGTCATTTTGGATCAAACCTTTATGACTGAAACAAAGTTTAATTTGATGATGTAAAATCTTTATAGTTTAAAGCAGGCATAGAACCTAAAAAATTATAAAAGATAACAATCATTTATCCAGCTAGACAGTTAGCTGTAGTTATAGTAATGTGTAAAATTCAGTCAAAAACTATATAATACTAAATATTATGTAAACTATTTCAAATAATAATGTATTTTTATGCACATAGATTAAAAACTCAAATACTCATTCACCTGAGCCAACCAAAGTATGACATACTATACAGTTAGGAAATTAATGTGGATATAAGACAAAGAAAAGTATTTCACAACTGCAAATGAATACTGATTCTAGAAATGCATCATTAGCTACCTGTGATCATAAATGCAATGAAATTAAGGTATCAGAGAACTGAAAACATTACTATCATGTATTAGAAACATACTGTATGATGGGTGACTGCTGGTGGATTTAGCTGGGATGCAAAGAGGGGCTTTGGTTCATGAAAGAGGCTTGTTTTAGTCTTTTCTACATGCAGAGGAATTCCAGGATCAAGAAGAAAATGTGTCGTTTCCCAAATGAACGATAAAACTTCTATAACCAAAATAGCTAATATAGGGCACCCAGACGGTGGCTGAATGAAAATGTGATTTGTCTTCCAATATAGTAGCCATTATTAGCCACTCTGAGCAGCAATTGTCATGGAAAACAAGTCACTTTAAAAAAATAAATTACATTCATGTTTAACATGCCTTAAAATAGTTATTTTAGAAAACCTATCTAAAAGGAATTAGATAATCAATTCAGGCAGATGCTTTAGCCGCATGCTGTTAATCTGACAGTTTACCTTAATATCAAATTGAAGGTAGCGTTTATCCATCTCCTTGGAAACCACACTTTCTATTATCTCCACTGGAACAAGCTGGAAGCAATCATATGCTGGGCAAAAAATATTATGAGCTTCACCTTCTTGAATCTTCATATTCAAAAACCTTTTAAATATATATCAGGAATGAAAATGATTTATGGAGCAAAAAATCAACTTTCAAGTTGCTTTGTTTTAACAAAACCAGAGATAACATTAACTATGGGGTGGTGGGGGTGTTTGGCCTAGACTTCATGACAAGCTGTAGTTAAGCAACAATGGAAGAAGATGCCAAATTCATCCTTGTGGTCATGCCAAATACATTTTGGATGGATGTGTTGGAAAGCAAAGCCATAGTCTTCAGCTACCTAATATTCTGAGGAAAAGAAAGGGAGGTGGAAGAACTGCCAGATGCCATGGCTTGGTTGCTTATATGCTGGCAGACCAAAGGAAGAACAAAATGGATGGGCAGAGGCTTCTGCAATGGAAGGTATCAGGGGATGTGATGAGAACAAACAGCAGCAAACCTAGAGCTTACATGCTCTCCACTCCTTGCCCACTGAGAATCAGAGATTGCTGGCAGGGTGAGTTGGGGATGGAACTGAGAAACTATCCACTGATATTACTGTTTCTCCATCAATAAAAGAGGTGGAAAAACTGATCTTGGAGGCAGGATCACTGGAGGCAAAAGCCTCTCCCACCACTCCAGTGATTTCCAGTGAAACTGTTGCCCTGGTGCTGCTAAAAGCAATGCTGGAACAGAGTTGTTCCCTCCACAGTCCAACTGATGAACTAGTCTGCAGGGAAATGTTGGCAAGGGTCCACTGGATATGTTTACTACATCAGGACCAGCTGAGAGATGCATGCAGCTTGTGAATTCTTGGTATAGAGCAGGGGCATGTAATATGCTTTTGGAGCAACTAGCAACCCACACATATTTCTTCTTTTAACAAAAGGTTTGCTAAGAGCCTTGTGACCTTTCTGCTATCTCCATGCTATTAGATTTGAGTGGTGGATTTTTGTGTGAAGTCCCCAGGGTGTTGGGGGAACTGGCCTCAGATGCTTCAATGATGTTCATCTCAGGTTTAGAGAAAAATACCCAAATGCATACTTACGCCTCCCAACATGCTCTACAAAACTCATGTCCACAAGGCATATCCACTGGGTCTTCAAATACAGAAATATTACACATACAAATTTCACACTGCAGATGAAAAGAATCGTGTAAGAAAAACCACTTTTGCAAACCACATGAGAAACTCTTATATTTAACAATCTAGTCTGACATGTGGCATTCTCTTTTTGTAATTCCTTTTTATTTATTTCATTGATAAAGTAAGTGAAAGGGGTCATAACATGCTTCTTCCCACCCACCATTTAAACCTCAAAACAGCCCTGTGAAGAAAGGTTAGGCTGAGATACTGAATGCCCAAAGGTTACCCAGCAAATATCATGAAATTCAGCTCTGGGTCTTCCTAGACTTAGCTTGACACACTCATTATTACAGCATGCTGGCTCTTTTTGCACTCTTATCACATTTGGCACCATTATTTCTGAGTTACATCCTTTAAGTATATTGTATTCTACTTTGTAGTATGGGAAAATCAGGTGGCTTGTGCTGAGAAAAAAGAGACAGATGTGTTTTTGGTGAACAGTTAACAGAGATGCAGACACAGCAGATTTCTTTATCATTAGCATGTAACGCTACACTCTTGGAGAAGGGGACTACTGTGAGAACAAATGGGACTTGTAGCAAATCTCTACTTTCTTACCCTGCAGTCAGGTTTTCAGTTTGTTTTTCCAATTCCATATGCCATAGCAACTGAGCATGCTTAATCCTCACTGGGTTGTTTTAGTTACCCTACCCCACCGAATGCAAACCTTAATGTCACAACTGCAGATGAATAAAGTTTTCCACAAGAGCTTTTCCTAGTATAATAAAAAGACCTTTCGAATATCACAATCTGTGCTGATCTTACTGGACAAGCCTGCATAGTAAGGTTCCTTATAATCTATAAGAATATTAGTGGGTTGACCTTTACAATGTAGACAGAGAGTGTTGTTTTCTGGCTGAGAAGGGTGGCATTAAGCTGGACAAATACAGTTAAGAAATTGGATAGAATACAAGTGAAAAGCTAGAATTCTCTACAAAACTACTAGTGCTCTTCTGTGCAAATTTGTATAAAGCTGAGATTTTTTTGCTCTAACATGTATCGCTTTACATTTGAACCACATTTGACCATTTGATGCCCGTTCTCCCAGTTTTGAAGATATGCTTTTGAAACTCTTCTCAACCTTTTTTTGTTTTAATTCCCCACATGATTTGGTTTCATCAACAAACTTGCACCTCTCATCACTGAACCTTAATACAAGATCATTTAGAAACAAGACAGCCTCAGCTGCTGGGCAGTATAGAAGATAAATAAATAAAGGGCTGATCCCCATACAAATTCTTAGAGAACCCCACCATTTGCATTCTCCATTGTAAGAACTGCCAGCTTATTTCATACTCTAAGATGCCATCTCCTTGCATTCCTGGACTGCTAAGTTTGCTCAAGAGTCTCTGTGGAGGGCGTTTCCCAAAGCCTTTTGCAAGTCAGGGAAAAATGATCACTCCATCCACATGCTTGTTGACACTCACAGGGAACTCTTAATGTTAATACAGCAAAACATAGCTTTACACAAGTCATGTCGGTTCTCCTTCAGCAATACTTGCCTTCTATATGCATAATAATTTTATCTTTATAAAAATACTTCCTCCCAATTTACTTGAAATACTCATAAAGTTAACAGGCTCAGAATATTCTTGACCCTCTACCCCAACCACAAAACCCCTTTTAAATATTGCAATTGTGTCAGCATTTCCAGCACTCTGGGATGAAAACCTCCTTGGCTCCCAGAGGTAGTGTAAAGCTTATCTCAATCAGCAAAGAGGTGAGGAGAAGATCCAAAATAATACCAAAAAGGGGATCAATGCATGGAGAAGTTTCTGGTAAGGAATCATACTTCATCATGTATAATCGGCATATATCTTTCCCTTGTATAGAAAAAGAGTCAACATTCTAAATTTACAAAATTGGAACTTAAACTTCAAGGTTAAACATCAAGCAAACTATCTCCTAATTATTTGATTCTTTTGAGAAATATGCCTATGTACATACTGGAAAACCACTGCAAATCAGTAAGATCTCATTTTTGCAATCCACAATATAAAATAGAAGAGCAAGTTCTTAGTAACTTTCAACTAATTTTTTTCTAATATTAGTCATTTGGAAGGAACATATTCTTATATTACATCCACAAAATCAAACAATACACTCCACAGTCCTTCAAATTAAACATACCATGGTTGTTTCAATGTCCCCTGGTGAAAGGCTTATTTCATCTGGAGAGGTGACAGAAGAGCGAGTAGTCCGAGGAGTTCTTGGTGAAGGAAGTGTGTCCCAGGCATTATATCCACTTGGAGGTGGAGTTGGCATTTGAACACCAGAACGTTGGCAACAATTCTCTGGATTGGACATCCAAGCTTCAAGTAACTTCTCCTTGTCCCAATCTTAAATAAAATAAAAACAACAAAAGTTGAAGAGGTTTATGGAAATGGAGTAGTGCTGTTTATGATGGGGCATGTATCTATGCATACTACTTGTGGTTAGCATCATTCAAGAACAGGAGTTGAGCCTCTTTCAGTTTGAAGGCTGAATTCCATACCAGAGAAGCTTTCATGAGCTATATTCCAGTGGTGTATAGGGCCTGAAGACCTACCTGCCCACCCTCAAAATAAAAACAAATACCCAGACACAAAGGTGAAAGGGACAGGCCCCAAATTACAAATTAATTTAATTGCCTTACTGCCAGCTACAAAGCTTTAGAATGAACATTTCATTATTTTAATGAACAAATTGCACAGAAGCCCAGCAATGACTGAATCAGTGATCAAGGAAAGGCAGGAGGGGTTGTGTTCTTCTGGAGAATCTTGGACTGCAACACTGGGATTCCAGGAAGCTAGGATTTGGCCCCTGAACCTCAGGCTCTACACCCCTGCTGTAGAGGGTAAAAATATTAATTTTAAACCATAGGGAAACAGACTGCTTATGGTAGTCCCTACATTTGCAACAGCAGTAACAAAGATTTTTATAGTAAATCTCTGACTCCTCCTACAGAACTGCTACTACAGAGTTCTTTTATATTACTGTTTTGAAGGGGATAAATATTCTCATTTGGATAGCTAAATTTTTAGTCTTTGTCATAAAAGGAGGCAAAAGCTGAAAAATAAACATTTCATTATATATCTGACACCTGTTATTACAACAAGTAGTTCAATACAAAGATAAAATTGTATGTACATTTGACTGACTAAGGCTTCTAAGAATAAGTCAGAAGAGTTTATTATTTCTAATTTAAAAAGCTTTGTATTTGAAACTATAATTTGTTCACTGATATTGTCAATAAGGGACAGAGATTAGTGCTTTACTTTGTTTGCTGGGTTAACAGATGTTGGGGCAAAAATCCCAACTTTAAGGATAAGATGATGGGATCTGGGTTAGCAGCAACTAATCAAGAAAGGGGGCTGTGGTGGATGAAAATATTGACCTAGCTACTGTGAAAAAAGGAAACCCCATGTTAGGCATAATTAGGAAAGGAATGGAAAATAAAACTGCCAAGATCATGCTCTTTGGTGCAACCACACTAAGAATATTGTGAACAGTTCTGGTTGCTGCACCTGAAAAAGGACAATATTGAGCTGGGAGAAGGGCAAGCAAAATTAAGGAGTTGGAGCAACTCCCCTATGAGGAATGGTTTCAACAACTGCAATTGGTTAGCTCAGAAAAAGGACAAATAATGGGAGACATGAAAGAAGTGTTTAAAATTTTGCATGGTGTGGTAAAAGGGAGACACTTCTCTTCCTTTTCATAATACTAGAACCTGGGGTCACCCCATGAAGCTCACTGTAAGAGATTCAGGGCAGATAAAAGGAAGAACTTCTTTACCTAATACAGAGTTAAACTCTGGAATTCACTGCCAAAGGAATCGGTGATGGCCACCATTGTGGGTGGTCTTAAAAGTAGATCAGACAAATTCATGGAGGAGGCAGCTGTTGGTGGTTATTAAGCATTGTTGGCTCTATGTTACTGCCATTATGAGAAATGGGACATCTGCATGTATCACCTGCTGAGGAGCCTGGGCAGATGTAACTCTTGTACCACCCTGCTTGAGGAAAGCTGGTTGCCAGTGTGTACATAAAGTGCTGGTTTGAATATTGGTCTGATCCAGCATGACTTTTCTGATGTTCTGACGTTGAAAACTCTTCAGAACAGTGCCTAATGAAGGGTACAGCAAATTAAAACCCAACAACCTCCCTCCCCCACCTCAAATAAAACTGAAACTGATGAAACTTTTCCGTACAATTCTATAGGGTTGTATGTAGATGTCATTTAAGGATTCCATAGGAAGCTTCATCACATGAAGTCAGGCCATTGGTTTATCTAGCTGAGTACGATGACTGAAAGCAATTTTAAAAGGTTTTCAGGAAGTTTTTCCTCAGTCCTATGAGAAGAAGCTAGGAATCAGCTTAGGCACTTTTGCATGCAAATCAAGTGCTGAAATGCTTTTCAAAAGAAGAGTGTTGAATTGTACTGTGGCTTTAACACCCCTGTGCATTTTCCTTCTGCACATACATATTATATTCCAGACATTTAGAAGCCTACATAGAGTGGATGAAAATAATGTTAAATTTTCTAGTATTGAATTGTCTGGAATGCTATATAGCCAACTGGATTTGTGTATGGTAAGTTGTATAAACAAAGCTGATTAATGACAATCTACTAAAATTTTTGGCTCTGTAAATACTGCCTGATGAGTGGTTTTGCATGAGCTGCCAAATGCCCGAGAGTACCCAAGAAATAGCTAGCAATGTAAAGCTCATCATGTGGCCTGCAATATTGATTAACCTCTGCACAAAAACATTTTCTAAGTGTACTCATTTAATTGATGCAAGGCTTTTTTCACAGTATTAGTACAGTTTCTGAAATCTGAAGTTAATAATGGAAATGTCCTATGATTGACTTTACTAACATGGGTGAATTTTGAAATTCTGAGCATTTTAGTACTGTAGTAGGAAATCTATAAAGAAGGGGTGGGAATCTTTCCTCACTATGGGCCCCATTCCCTTCAAGAAAAGAAATCGTGAGGGGTGGTGTGTGCATGAAGAACGAAATATGCGCATGCACACACACGCGCGCGCACGCACACACACACACAGGTAGGAAAGAAGAGACTACAGATAGAAGTTAACATCTTCCACTGTCCTACCCAGCTGACCAGGAAACTGCTAAGCAGCAGCATCAAAAAAGGGAAACTTTGCTTCAGGAACTGCCACTCATTCCTGCTGTAAGGCTTTCACACATTTAAATATTAAAATGTGATTTCTGAGATGCATAAGGAGACCTAATTCTGAAGCCAGTATTTCCAGTATCATCTGATGAGTCTTCCTATGGTACTTCAGATATGTTTACTTGCTTTGCTTTCACAGTACCACAACCAAGAATCAGTGAGCTTCTTTGGGCTTGATTTAGATGGAGAACATTCATGAAGTCAATCTGGATTTCATTTGGATCTGATTCAAATTAAGTCACTTAACCTCAGACCCATTTTTCACCCCAGGTCTTACTTCGCTCATACTTATGTCACTGAAAACAGAATGAAGCCTAGAAACTTCTACACTGAGTTCCTTCATGCTCTCCCCATCACTCCCAGTACCTTTCCCTTCTAACATACTGAATTGCTTAGAGAGTTCACACACACACACACACACACACACACACACACACACACACACACACAGGGAGGGAGGGAGGGAGGGAGGGAATGAGAATATGAGAATGTGGTATTGGTGAGAACAAGAAGTGCTGCAGCTGCAACCTTCATTTGGTCCTAAAGCACTGTGCAACAGCAGCCTGTTGTTCCCAAGTAATTGCTTGGAAATGCAGTGACTCATACTTGACGGGCCCTGAAAAACTGATGCCTGAAGACACTGCTCAGCATTTTCTTGAGTATTAGGATTCCTGGGAAATATAATTTCCTATGGTTCTTGCACCCTAAGGCCTAAAGACTATGGAAAACTACAATATCCAGTTATTCAGACACCCCAGTGCTATTGAGGGACCAATTGAAGGTTACCTTCTCATTATGGCTTCAAAGTGTCAGAAATTTAAAAAAAGAAGGTTGAAGTAATTACAAACAGAGCATGAATGTTAGACTCATTTCTAACCAGCTCAGGTATTCTAAAGTAGAGAAGTTCCTTATTCTAAATTCCCCAGTTCTGAACATTAGTTATAACCACACAGCTTTTGTTTCTTTTGTGAAATTATTGTGAAAATTAAATTATCCTTTGATAAACCAAACAGCAACCTTCACCCTTCAACTAAATCAGAATAATTTAACTGAGTGGGATGGCAAGTTGGCAGCAAGAGATCTTATTATCAGGTCAAGATTCTATGTGATAAATGTATCATTTTCTAGTTACAATTCCTTAACAGATACTAGTTGACACAGATTTACATATGATGTTATTAAAATTATGTTTAATATATTCACATGCAATACATTTTGCTCATTAGATTTTACTGTTATGTTTTATAGCACACATAAAAGAAGTATAATTTCAGCTAAAATTCATGTGATGGATAGCTGGAGTTCCATCTCTCCCTCCCTGAGAGTTCAAAGCCAATCACAATGCTTGGAAAGTTGTCAAAGGGGCACCTGATGAGAAACACTGCAGGTTGTTCAACTGGAGTCTCTAAGCATTTGCAGACTTCCTAACTCAACTTGCTTTGCAGAACTGGGCCCATCATAAGAGGAAGTTCATGGATGCTAGAGGTGGATTCTAAAGGGGGTCATACCAACCTAGTATCAAAAGAATTGATTTTCTTCCTGTCAGCTTTCCTCACTGGCCAGTTCTCACACCCAAAAATAATGATCAACAATACAATAGCTTAGATGGCTTTGGCCTTGGTCTGCTGTGAAAAGTCCTTACACTTGGTGATCTTCTCTAGTTCCTTCACTGGTGCTCTTCCAATCTCCTTCATGCAGTAAAGGTACAATGCTTTGCAACATAACCATACAGAATTTCCTCGAGATGAAGGAACTGATATCTCAGAGATCCAAGATCAATCAAAGCCCTCTATCCCATTTTGATACCATGAAGAATTTGGAATAGAAGCTGCCTTGAAGCTTAGGAGGGACTGTTCTATTAATACCCTTTAGAAGCAGCGACTCTATGAAGGCTGTAGATGGATTAGTACTTCTTATAATACCTGGGTAGCAAAAGGACATTGAACTCAATCCTATATCCCCAATCCACAATAAATAGGACCAAGGTATCCTATGTAATTGATTCTAAGGCAGGAGGAAGAAAGACAAACAGTGGTCAGTGATCAGGGTACAGAGAGAAGGGCCAGCCAAGGAACACAGTCAAAGTAGATGCCTGCTAGGGTTCGAATGCCCACACTCTTGGTGATATCTCATTAACACATCACTGTGTTTTTGATGAGACGTTGGCTATTGCCAAGAGGAGTAATATGCTTGGGCCCTAGTGAATAAGGTGAGTTGTGATGGAATCATCTATGAGGCCCTGATGTCAGTTGTTCACAGAATCCCTTCTTGCAGTTATTCTGGCCTTCTGGACAGAATCCATAGCCTTGTTGATCTTTGCATTGAATGGTAGATCTGATACAGGAGCAAGCCTCCTATAAAAGATTGGCAAAGTGCTGCAATGCATGCCTCCTTAATGCTACCACCTCAGTCATTGCTTTTGCATCGCTGTCACCTGGTGCCTGGCTGTGCTGATTTGCCGATAAGAAACAGTCCTTTCTCAAGTTTCATTTACTGTTCACTAAGTTTGGACAAAGAATTCAGGTTTATAGTTCTTCATGAGTTTCTGTCTTTTATCACAATGCCTAATAAGTTTGCTATCTTAAATCACCACTTAGGTGAGGTATAAATGATACTGATCCCACTTTAAAAAAGAACTCAAAGTGACAAATTATAGGGTCTAAGGAGTATCTAATTCAGGAAGAATCAAATGCACTGAGGAACTAAACTATCAAGTAGATATTCAGGAACTGCACTATTATTTTTTCACCACAATAAAATACAGAACATTCACTGGTTTTAATGGGAAGGGGGCTAATAGCTGAACTCCAGTAAACCACCCCCACCATGCAATACTAATATGCTTCACTTCTACAGCCTTCTTGCAAAGATCCCTTCAACAGCATCTCTACCATTTCCAGATGTTGCTGTTTGCCCTCCAGAATCTTCTCATATGTCGAAGCATCTGCTTTCATTATTACCCTGATGAGACAACCCCTGGCATTCAAATCTCCTTTGTCACTGAACAAAAGCTACAGAAATCCAATTCTAAAATTTCCTCTTGGCTACAAATACAGGTAAATGTTCCTTTCCACACACCCCTTGCATCCAAATTGTTTGTAGTAGCGTCCATTTGTAGGTTTAGCTCTCTCATCCTTCTCTCCAAAGGTATTTTCCTAGCTTACTATGCTAGGTGTTGCATAGTAGAAGTGCTGTGCAATCCCCACAATACCTTAGTTAGACCTTCCAGACAGCTAAACAACAGGCCAAATCCAGAAAGCACAGAGCAAATTGTTCCTGACTAACTTTTAGCACTCAGGCTCTGAGTAGAATTCTTATTCTTTCATGATCATTGTTAAAATAGTAAATACAGTCTCACCAGGGACAAGCCTTAAACAGAAGGACTGGATTCCATTCTTTGCAACACAGGCCCTGGCTTAAATAACTATGGATGCAAGATAAAGTATATTTCAACAGCTTGCATTTACAGTACACTGTAATTTCTTCTTCTTATGAACAAACAGGAGAAACTATTTGTTAAATGGCTGAGTGCTACTTATTTTCATGATTACCATGTGCTCGTAGCAAAGCTTCTGCAGTAAACAGTGGGGCCTGAAGCATGTCAGCAGATTCTACAATCAGCATATCTTTAAGCTTTCGCAAGTCCTGAGGTCGTAGCCCTTCATATGGCTATGAAATGGGAAAGAAAAATAGGTTAGAAAAACAGCAGTAAAAATAAGTATTTCTTTTAGAAATAGGCTGTGAAACAAACTAGAAAAAGTACTTAGAAGTTCAATTTTGTTTCTATGTTTTACCCCACTACATGGTCTCTATGGTTTTCTTTGTATACAGTAACTGACAGATCTTAGACTGTAGGCTAAACATCTTGGCATAATGCTGAGACACATTTAAAGGAAAATGAATTTTTGCATTCTTTTCAGTTTAAGAGTTTGGCACTTCAGTATGTACAATTTTTGCCCAACTTGTGCCAGGTGTCCCATAGTAGGTTAGAGCTACAACTTCTACAGTTTTAGCCTAATCTCAGAGTTCAAGATATCTGGAAGGATCCCATGCTGTACTGAAATTATTTGTGAGAGTACTGTGGAAAAGATTCAGAATAGGCAGTGCAAAATTTGCATAATATTCACAGAATAATTTTTTTCAGTTGATACTTAACAAAAATAGATCACAGAATCACCAAGGCCTTTCAGCTTTGTAATCTACACATTTTTTCCTTTAGTCTGCCATAAAAACTATGCAAGAATTAGACAGAATACTACAGTATAACTGCTAGGGCAAAATGTCACCTCCCACACTTTCTGTTTCTACAGTTATAGGGCCTTACTGCACTAAGTGGTCTCCATTTTCCCTCCATGTAAAGTAGTTCAGAGACCCAGTGAATGCAGTTCAGCATAATGTATTTAAGAATAATGACAACTACACTTTTTTCCATCAAAAGGCCATAATGTTCTTTTATTTGGCAACATTAAAAAGTATGTCTAACAAAGCTGATAAAATCAAGACTGCATTTTCCAGTTGCCGTAATAGCATATCAAACCCTTTTCAAAGCTTTGCCTCACGTACTGGTTATCTGCCTCGATTCCTGGTGCTCATGTCCTGGACACTGACAAATGCCAATCTTGGCCAACAGGTGAAAGATATTTAATCATGCAAAACAAAGAGCTCTTTCAGCTGTTTTACTGTCCAAATTACATTTTCTCCCCACATCACATCTTTCCAGAAGCAATCCTGACACATAGGAAGGGGGTGAATAACGTTTGCTACTTTTCCAATTGAAAACTATATACTCAGTCATACTGATTGAGCAATGTGTGGAAAAAAAATTGTGCATGTTGACCATTTTTGTACATTTCTCCATGTGTTCAGGTGAATGAGGAAAACTACAAGTTTATGCTTACACTAAATAAAATACATATGAAATACATGGACTTTTCTTTATAGCACTATAATGCAGGCCCTGTATGTTTAATTGTATTTTTTCCTCTGAAAGAAACTGAACATTTGCATCATTTATTATTGTATTGTGTATGGATTATTAATAGCAAACTTAGAAACACACAAAACAGCACTTCAGATTCATCGAAGCCACACTGAAAAATTACCAACCTTAAGATCTGAGTTACTTACAATAGTAAGTTTTACAAACCATTACCTTCTACAAATCTTTATGAACTACAAGCCAATTATATCCTAATGATCAAGTGTCATTAGATTTGCAAAAATTGACTTCCATGAAGCAAAGACATTTTCAGTAATATATCTTTCTAAGTATGCAATCTACATTTTACTTACTTAATTTTACTTAATTAAAATTACTTAATTTTTACTTACTTTATTTTATTTTTAAAAACCAATTTTATAGGGAGAAAGCATGGGACAGTAGTACAGTACATGCTATTCATATAAAGGATTCCAAATTCATTTTCCAAAATCTCCAGTTAAAGTGGTTCAGGCAGGAACTGATGAACAACTCTGCTCTGCCAGATTCCCTGGACAGTTGCTGATAATCAAAGTAGACCACACTGAACTAGATGAAGAAATCTAGATGGACCAGATATAAGGCAGTTCTCTTTCTTCCTGACTGACAGCACTCATCCCTGAACATACAACCCAAGAGCTTCAAATGAAGCGTTCTCCAATACTTTGGAGGAATAGGCTTTTTCTGGCAAAATACATTAAATATGCATACCTCCAGTCAGAATACTCAATTATTAATATTATTTTACCTCTTTTTTGTCTAAAGCAGCATATTCAGCTTCAATACTTTCAGCTTCAGGATCTCGCGAGAACACCATCTGAGATTCTAGGTTGAGTGCCAGTTCTTTGTGGTGCTGCTTCTCTGCACAGTCACAAGGAGTATCTTTGTTTTCATTTTCAGCAAATAAGTCTCCTCCATGTTTTACCAAAAGCTGAAAGTTAAAGAAAAATGTCAGTTGAAATAGTTCCCTGATAATTAAAACTGCTGGAGACTTTCAAGAACCATTCTATAAATCCTTAGAAATCTTTTCTTGGTCCAAATTTGTCATAAACATTTACAGTAACCTAGGAGCAAGTTAAAAAATGAAACAAGTAAGCCAGAAATATGAACCCTAGGATAATATACATATAGACTACTCGAAGAAAAGGAAGGAGGTATTCAAACGGTTATATTTCAGTGATAACTTTTTAAATATTAGGGAGATTTGAAAAAATTAGGAATAATTAAAACAGATCAATTATCTGTGCTACCTGGAAAGAATGTAACTGAAGGTTTTGAGTTAAATGCTTCGTATCTGCTATATATCTGTTCATTGCACCCTTTTGTCTGATACTTCCTACATCCAAATGGATTATTGTGTTGTCAAGCAGTAAACACTAGAAGGTCATGTGGTTTAGAGATAACTTTCAGCTTAGGAACAAACAATAAGATCAAATATTAAAATGTTCCTTTGCTTATACATTTAATAAAACACTGGGAAACACTGCTATGGAAAACAAAACTTATTTGTGCAATGGCAATTTTCTCATTAGTTACGATTAGATTTAACACTCTGTACTTAAGTACAAAATGCACTCTGAAAGCAAGTGGTAAGATAGCAGAACACAAAGAGCTTGTTTGGGTTTTTGTAAGTGTAGACACTGATGTTATAACTTTGCTGAAACCAAGCAGGTTCAGGTCAGGTCAGGGTCTTGGTGGGCCATCTAGATATGTGAAATAGACCAGTTTGCATTCAATGACAGAAGGCAAGATCTAAATGCCACAAACATGTAACACTTTCATGTGGGTACTTTCATGTAATAAACAGAAAAACAGTGGCCGTTATTCTTCTATTTTTAGATCCAATATTTAACTGCCCTTAAAGTAGTAATACTCTCAGCTAGTATGAGCCTTCTTTACCACCTTATCTGCCTTTATATCACTGTCAGCTACTGGGAAGAATAGAAATTGTGTGTGTGTGTGTGTGTGTGTGTGTGTGTGTGTGTTCTCAAGATACTTTGACAAATATTTACATAAAATTTACCTCTACACAGGTCTTCATTCCTGAGGCAGCAGCATAGTGCAGAGGTGTATTTCTTTTGTTATCAACAGCATCGATAGCTGCTCTTTCATATTCTCCTTGGTCAAGTTTCGCTCCTTTCCATTTTAGGATCATCTGTAGACAATCTGCTCTTCTTAAATCATCTTCAAATGGTCTGGTTAACCGAGGTTGAAGAGCTCCATCAGATATCATAATCTGAGGTCCCATACAAAGTAAGTGCATAGACGTTTCATTGTGCACATTCCGTTTATTTGGGTTACCATCCCTCACAAAAAGAAATGTCCTAAAAGAAAAGTAGTAAATAAGATGCATGTTTTTATACTGAAAGGGAAACAAGATGGAGACAATATCAAAATGTTTTATTATGAGCTGCTTTGTTCTAATGACAGCCCATGGGTTGTTTAATCCATGGTTTGCCAGGTCTGTGAGGGAGTGCACACACTGGAATGCCTCATTCTTGGATTGTGCTCCATGATTTACAATCTTGGAACTGTTGAGTTGATTAGAAACAACAGTTTTATCCCAAAAGCAAATCATGACTGGACTGGGAAGAGGGCAAGAACTGGCTTGATAGGGAAGTGGGTAGATGAGTTAAAGAAAGGGTCATATTCTTCCATTCACTGCATTTTTATTTAAATTGTGAAACCCTTAAACAGAATATCATACATTTTATGTAAAATTGTACTTTTCTGAACACTACAAAATAAAAAGTAACTTAAATAGCTCTATAGGCTTTACTTTTTGTTCATTTTAATAAGGACTCTGTGTCTTGTTAATGAATGGCAATTGTGATTCTACCATCACATAATCTCAAGCAATAATGCTCCATCCTGTATACTATAGCATACAAGCTTTGGTCTATAAATAGCATTCATAAACCTTAAAAAGTCCTAGAAATATCAGAACAAACACAAGGACAATGTACACAAATATTTTTTTTGCATCAACAGTGAAATCAGTTTAGATAAAATGTTGTCTGGGAAGTGGTGTTAGAGAATATTTATACAATAATGGAAAAACAAGAACAAAGACTGAGGCTGTGCAATTCACCGTTTATCAGTTAAAAATCTTAGATCCCTGTAGTGCAAAGTGTTCAGGCTCCATTGGTAAGCTCATGTTCACATGTCCACAAGTAAGTGTAACAAAAAGTCATCAGGGATTTCCCACTCCCCTAGACACCTGGGCACAGTCCCACCCAGAATCTCCCTGGGACCAGCCACTGAATTCAATATACAACAAACACAAGCTTGGGGAACAAAACAAGTTTATTAAGAGGATAAATTATAGGATGGAGGGACTAAAACACAGAATCTAAAAGGATAAAACCAGGTAAAGGAAGGGGGAAAGGGGAACTGGACAGTAGCAAGAAGACAGATTACAGCCAACCAAGAAACCCCAACTCAGACAGAAAAATTAATAAACTATTGCTAGCCTAACCCATATGCAGCAACTCTACCTTCTACCAGCACAGGATGTCCCAAATTCAGCAGGGAAAATTGGCAGCAAACAGAACCTCCCAAGAAAGGAACAAAAAGCAGCTTTGTTTCTCAGGCTTTATTCCCTTGCCCCAGCATAAGTCAGCTGACCTACAGGGTGATGGCCAATCTCCCAGTCCTTGGGGCCAACCATTTACTCCACGTGTCAGTCATTAGTCAGTCATCACTCATCACTGATATCTCTAGCGCCCTTATGGCCATAATTCTGATAGACGTCACCTCACAACACAGCAGGAGGAGGATGGCTCCTGGAGACCTTGGGCACCAAGATTCCAGCTAGGCTAGCACCTGTTTTTTCTAGCATTTTGTCAGTTCCAAGATGAACCCTGTCCCTGCCCTCCGGAGCCTAAGAAGGCAGTTCATGTTACAGTAAGAAATTAACTAACGCTCTAATTTAGCCTTTTCCCAAATGTACTGAACTACAGCACTCATAATCTCCAACCAGAATGGGCCTAGTTGGTAGGCTTTAACTAGGATGTTACTTTTTGCAAAAGAGAAAGAGAGCCTCCCATTTGAAACCTTTTAAGTGAACAGAGTTTTCTGTTGCTAGATAATTTTTTTGGTTCCATATACCATATTTAATTGAGCCTGGCAAGGATCTTAATGAATGCTATCTCAGCTTTATAGTATTAGACTACATTATATTTCTCTTCAAAAATGTAGCTTTGTAACAACTATTTGATACAACATAATCTAAACTTAATTTATGACTCACTGAATCAAGTATTGCATCTTGTGTTTTGGACTATAATGTATACCAACATTTATAAATACAGGAAAGTTTATTGTTAAGATACTCATGAGAATATTAATAGCCTATATTTCTTAGGAGTAAATAGACAGAATTCAAAATAATCAACATAGGATGGTTGTTTGTTTAAGAACCCAGGCATGCCTGACCGATAATCAAGCTCATCATAGGCTGGCACCTACTCCCTTTCCTCTCCCTTTCCAGAGAAGTTGGCAGCTAACTTGTCTTTTCTCCCCACTGCAATCCTGAGCCCCTTTTTTTTGCTCATCTCAGCTTTTCACCTTTTTTCCCCAGCATGAAATTGCATTTTGCAATTTATGAGCTTATAGCCCCTCTGAAGGGCCCAAGTTGCAAATTTGAGACACTCATTGCCCCTCTTAAAAACAAACAAAACCCCCAAGTATCTGAAATATGCAAGAAAGTAATAATAAAACAGAAATATCCATGTACACAGCTTGATTGACATTATCCATCTCAAATTCTGTACATAATTTAGGATTGTTAACCCTGAATGTGCCCTTGTACTATACAGTCATCCATTTAAAAAAATAAGCACAGGTTCACCTAATTTTCTCCTACATTTTAAAAACAAAAAGAAAAAATTATTAGACTCATGGCATCTGAAATGGGCAACATCCTTGAGCAATCTCCTGGTACATGTCAACTGTCAAAGTGCAGCAGAGACCCAACATTGACATTGACGCAAAAAGACTTCAGTTTTAATCTGCTTTTCCGACAGTTCTCAAAAGGCAAATTCCCAAGGAAATCACAGCTCACAAAAAGGGGTAGGCAGTAGAGCATATCCTTCATGGTAAGGTTCTCTAATTTACTGGGGTGGACCTGAGCATTCTCTTTATCCATACACTTCCCCAACCTTTCCCAAGACTCAAGATGCTTTGAAAGGTGGAAAAGTACAAGCAGTGGTGGGTGAGATCATCAGGTTAAGAGTTTGTACCTGCTCTATATTTCCTTCTGAATAAATTATCTTTTTGTTTCTAAATGTGCTGTAGATCTGTGTGAATGCAAGGCAATGTGAATGCCGTGTTTCCCTCAGCAGGTAGTGTTAGGTGTCATCAAAAGAGTCTAAACCTTTCAAGGTATCCAGGAAAGCAAACATCCCCTTTGCAGGTGTACTGCCTCCACCCCAGAGATTATGCGGCCTAACAGTTCACCTAAGAACTCGAGTAATAACCAGAACCATACATTAATTATTAAAAACATCCTTGTGTTGAAAAATGTATTATTTAATAACTATGCAAGTTTAATTGGGCCTTTGTTTGTTCCAGAAACATCCACTTTATATTCACAGGGGAGATAGCTGCTGTTCAAGATGTAAAGTACTATTGCTTTTAAAATTCTTCTTTTTAGAATATTTGGCAGAGCTGAGATACAGTGACCCTTTCAGTGTCTTCCCTGCCATCCCTGAGTATTCTGACCACTGGCAAAAAGGAATGTCATCTTTTCTTCCAAGATTCCAAGGAGACAGAAAAGCATTCTAGCCACTCATTCTTTTTCTAAGTGTAGCCAGATTGCATTTGTGCTTTGCAGGACTCCTGTGTTCTATCCTTCCAAAGGAGACAGAGAAGGAGAGTTGTATATGCACTCATCTTGACACTAGCACACACAGGACAAATGCAGAGCTGAAAATACATGGGGCCCAGCCTTTGGTGTCATCACATGGATGTTTACATCTTAAAACTATTCCAGAACATTTTTCTTTACCTTGCAAATAATGTAAGAAAGAGTGGCTACCCATGATAAACTATCGAATCATGAGAAATGTTTAACAATCCCAAAAGTGAAGTGCCCTGTACTAAATTCTTCTTCCAATTAGGCTAATTAATATACTGGGGTATCTATATCATGCATATGCTCCTAAATCCAAAACTAATGTTCATTTAAGCATCCTTGTACATCAGGATGCAGGCCCAGGCACAGCCTTCATTCATCCATCCAACATTCCTTCATTCTTCCCTTACCACTGATCCTTTGGGGTCCACCTCTTGTGCATTTCACCAGTCCACTAGTGGCATATGGTTCCTAAGATCTTCTTCAAAATAAATTTCAACAGGTTGAAAGAGGTTTAACTCCTATTACATCATTTGCAAAACTTTAATCTTTTTCAACTACTTTCAAAAAGTAGTTCAACTATTGGACTAGCGGGTTCTTGTCCTCACTGGATGGCTTTGGACAAGTCACAAACTTCGAGCCTAATCAACTTCATAGAACTGTTGTGATGATAAGACTGAGAGGCGAAGAAAGGTGTGAGTTGCCTTAAGTTCCTTGAAGGAAAAAAAGTGGGATATATAATGAATGAATGAAAACTTGATGATTTCCCTTTAACTTGTATTAATGTATAAGGTCTGTTTATAAGATCTTAACTTTGTGTGTCTGGATGTTGTATTATGTGCTTAACTCTTTAGGTTGCTGGTGAAAGGATTCCTGATTCATGTCAACAAATTGTTGAGATTATAAAAAATGTTCTTCAATGATTCAGTGCAAATATTATAGTAGTTACAATAGTATACTTTTTAAAAGTAATGATACTAAATGCATATTAGTGAAGAAAATGTATCCATAGGATATTATAAACCACTAGAATCTGTGAGAAACTATCTATTTAATAGATAATAGATTAATAAAGGTGACAAATTCAGAGCTATAAATCAGAAATCTATAGACAAAGTATAAATCTAAAAGTAGATTGAATGCTATCAGTGTGTACACATACACACATACCATTAAAACTAGAAGTGATACAAAATTTTTAGTTTAATACGTTTCACACCCTAATTAAATTATGGACAGAAGTTTGCAAGTGAATATGGCAAGTATTTTTATTACTACTTCTATTTCATAAGTTGCAGCAATAAAAACTTTATATTGACTGCTGCCTTACAGACTGCATTTCCTTTCCTCTTTTATATAATGAATTAGATTGTTTTAAGATTATCTAAGTTAGGCAAGTAAGGCTGTAAACTCATACACAATTATCTGGAAGTAAATCCCATTGAACTTAGTAGAGTTTACTTTTTAACTGTTAGTGATGTGGTATAGTCCAGTGATGCCCAAGTGTTACCACTCCAACCACACGTCATTCTAGAGTCTTAGGTGATGAGATATAATTGGAAAATCTATTTTTCCTTATCCTTTTATTATTATGCATAAACACCATGCTAATGAATGTTGTCCAATCACTCCTACTTGTGTCTTCCTAACATTGCAAATTGCTAATGTATACAGCAACTAATCATTCAACAAAAGAGAGTGCAAAGTAAAACCTAGACCTCCTTGAGGCATAGTTTCATCTATGTTGGCACCTTCTGAATGGCACCTTGTGCACTTTGACAGGGGATACTTCCCAGGATGTTAACAAGGCAAGGATTTCAAATTGGTCGTGTGATAGTGTTCAAGTATACTTTTGTGAAAGACTGATTTTTTTAAGGACAAATATATTTGCATGTATATCATACACACAAATTTAAAAAGTTTGTAAAACAGTGACAGCCACTCCACTGTGCTGCTGGGCACTTTGAAGCAGCTCGCTGTCACTTCAAAAATAATCAGAGGTGACAGCTAACTCTGAAAAGGGGGGGGGGGGAATGTTCCACACTGAGCACAAAAAGGTTCACAGTCAGCAAGGGGAAGACCAACCTAGTGACAGTGATTCTCAAGTGCCAATTTTCACTCATTTTTTCCTCTCATTCTAATCCAACTTTCCTTATATGTTCTGCATACAGATTGAACAGAAACTGAGATAAAGTACACCTTTGTCTGACACCTTTGTCTATAGGAAACCATTCTGTTTCTCCATGTTCTACCGCACAAAATTATTTTTGCATCCCCACAACTTTGCTTTCATTTAGAACATTTTTGCTTTCACAATTCCTGTTTTGACAGCCCCTTCAAAGTGTCTGAATGTCACCTGGAAGTGCTCTCAGTGCTCTGAAGCTTAGTTAAAAACCAATTGTTCATTTTTTAAAAGTGCAGATAGATTTGGATAGTTTTAAACATTTTTAGCCCCACTTTGCACAACTGCAAGATCTTGATGCTTGGCTGGGGCAATGTCTGGAGGGGCATCTGCTGTCAAGATGCAATAGACAGTAACCCTGGACATTGGTGCAAGAATATTCCATTTATGTTTTGCCCCACTTTCATTTCTCTTGTCAGCTGTCAAAAAATCAGGTCTCATGAGAAACCAAAAGCTTAAGTAACCTTTGCTTGTGAAAAGGGCATGACATGATTTAACACAACTTTGACAAAGTTCCTCAACTCTTCTTTTTCATCTGGCTTGAAGCCCCCATCATGGTGATCATTGTTTGCTCTTGGGAAAGTTATTCTCTACATATGAAGTATTTATGATTTCCTTTATGGAAAAACAACAATACTCACCCCAATATTCGATTCATCCCATGCCTAGCGGCATAATGTAATGGAGTATTATGCTGATAAGGTTCTCCATAAGAAATATTAGGATCCAAAGATTCTTTTAGTTGAGGGTTGCTCTCGTAAATCTGGCAGGCCAAATTTTCATCTCCATTTATAAGTGCTTTACGAAATTTAGTAGTTGTATTTCCCATGTTGTTATGAATGGGGTGCTGCTTCCTGTTTCTCTTCAATCAGTTAGTCTGTAGGTTAGCATGTTCTATATTCTGAAAGAAAGAAATAGCATTTCAAAATTCACTGAAGATTCTCTAATATTCTCTCAAACCCAAATATGAGTTTATCCAAAGCTGAGCAAACTGAGTCCTTATGTCTACTCACAATTTATTTTATTGCATTCATTTGAACTGTAAAAAAAATCTTTCAATCTATTTCTACATAGTTTAACTTTTGTTCTGTTAAACTATAACATCTTTATTACATGAACATGGTAAAACATTATTTCCAAATACACACTTTGGACTTGAACCAGTTTGTTGGGAGGAATGTAAGAACACTTCCTTCAACCTTGCTCTTCAGTGATAAAATACAAGTCTCAACTAAAAGAATTGAGTAGAAGACAGTCTTGAGAAGGGTAAACTGCTTCAGAAACCTTTCTATATTAAAGTAAATAATGTACCATTTAAAACAGACTGATGTTGCCTTAACTGAATCACTGGGGAAACATTTTACAATGGGTTCTTTTCATACTTATAAGTATGGCATTGCAAAGAATGAGTTCAGTATACTCTGCTCAAATGCTGAGTCTGAGCCTTCACCAGGAATTTTCATGGACATTTTTCGAATTTAAAGAGGCTTTCATAGGCCTCAAATGTTCTTCTAAAAACCTGAACACACTTTAAATTTTGAGCTATTTTGATCCTGTTTACTAAAGCATTTACTTCAGAACATTTTTAAGATCATGATTCGTTTTACTAGCTGCATGATCCATCCAATCAGGGTTCCCAAGGCTAGCATGAAATATCACAGTGCCAGATAGACAATAATGCATTGTGCGAGGGCAGGATGAAGCCAAATTACATACAATGCCTTATGGCAATCCAAATAGGATTGGATTCAGCCCTATTATGTCTAAGTGTAAGCAGATTGCCTCAAAGAATTTGCAAATGGAGCACCATATTAACCTGGTATAAGTTGTTTCACACCACAGAAACCTCTAGTGACTTCAAAGAAAAAACTGGATTTAATAGAAACGTTAAACTGTCCATCCAATCTTAAAGGGGCATGCAATCACATCCAGAACATCTTGAATTTCACCTCAATATGAACAGTGTCTCCATTTTATGGAAACTGAACTTCCTTCATCTAGTCCATTATTGATCATAAAATACTTGCTGAATACCTAGCATCCACACACCAGCATTTCCTCAACCTGGTCTCCTCCTCCAATATTTACATATTCATCCCACACTAATTTCAGCAAAAATATCTGTCTCTAATAAGCTGAAGCCTTTCAAATTATGACTCATGACTATCCATGCAATATTTCTTCCATAACATCATTTTCTGCCCAGACCATTCTCATGAGTCCACTGCTACCCATACAGACAACATCAGAAACCAAACTACACCCCAAGTAAAACAACTGAAGCAAGGGAGTGGAGAACTAATCAAACAAAATGGAGATGACAAGTAACGAGGAAATCCAAGAGGAGGAAGGCAACAGCAGGAGAAGGAAGGTCAGTCTGGGAAGCATGGAGCAGAAGCTCAAACATATACACAGATAAAGGCTTGTACCAATAATGGAATCTAATATTCCCGCCTTCATCAACAAGCAAGAGACATGGATGATGCTTATCAGATAGCCTATCAAAAGAAAACAAGCCTCTATTATTGAAGACCTATAAATATTTCCCAACAGATAATACTTCCAGTTCAATAACCTACAGGACTGACGCACTCAGACCATGTGCTAACATACTCAGACTATGTACTAGGGCTGACATTCTATTTCCCAAACATTTAACTACTTCCACCATTTAATATACATTATACTTCCACCATTTAATATACATTACTTAAATTATGTCATTTGCCTAACATCTGTGCCAGTGTTTCTTAAGACATTTTTTCAAGCCCTAACCATTAATATAGTCAACCTAATTGCATTAAATGTAGGTTTAGTAATACTTAAATTGTATCGAATGAAGTCACAATATAAGTTTGTCATGATTTGAGTCCCACTTATCTCAATGGGCTTGGACTACATCTGGATCCAGTTCAACTTATTTTATGAATAATTTGCTAAAGCATTTGTAAAGTGCTTTTCAGCCCTAAACAAGAGCCCTCAAAACTGCTTCTACTATGGTAGAATAATCAAATTCTACAACATAAAATATCACCAACATTTAAGCAAAGATGAAAAACAAAAATGAAAAGCGAAAAGAACAGAACTCCATACGCTTTATCTGTAAATTTTAAATGGTTGTACAACAATTCCAAAGGATGAAGCAGAAGAAACTAAAGGCAGAGGAAGTAGAAAAAATACCTACAGAGAGGAAGACAGGAATTCTAGGAGCATGAACACTCTGATTAGATTATAGAACATATGGCTAATTAACCTATCAGTGACAATAAGATTTGCACAAAGAAACAAAAGGCAGGCAAGGCAGGAAGACTGCAAAAGAAAGGAATGAAAGAAAATCTGAATAAAAAGTATACTTGACAGGTTTTTATGTCATAACAGCTCACCCTGGAAATAAATTGGGTGGACTGTTTGTTTGTTTTTTTGCAAGCAATCCACAGTGCATCCAAAAGATGATCAGGCTTAACATTAGCTGTATGCTCCCTCCATTCCTTTCCCCTCGGTCCACCAGATGGTACCCAGGGACATAGCAGCACTACTGAGCTGTCTCTTCCTCCCTGTTGGCATTGAAAGCAGTGTTTGAATCCCCTTACCTTTTTCGCATTTTCCCGCAGAGGTTCTGAAAGTCAGCTAGACTTCCAGCTTTTACAACTACTGTTATGTCAGCCACTGACACTACCATTCAAAATGCTTCAGTAGCACCTTGGAGGAGATCTTAGTGGCTGGCAGAACCTGTGTTAAAGCATTTTGTGCAAATATATTTTAAACATTTTTATCCATACTGTGCACAACTTTTAAAAACTGATGCTTGGCTGGGGTGATGTCCAGAGGAGTCCTTGCTAATATGATGCAGTAGATACCAACTTGGGACATTGTCAGATGTTCCAATTAGGTTCTGTCCCTTCCCCTATTTCTTTTGTTAGCTGTCAAAAGATGAGGTCTCAAGAGAAACCAAAAACACAAATGATCTTTGCTTGTGAAAAGGGAGTGGCATGATTTACACTATTTCACAGCAAAATCCTCACTTTTTTCATCTCAACAGTCCTCAAAGGTGGTGAACGTTTTTCTCTTTTCTCCAAGACTCTAGGTGCTCAGGAAAGTGAACAAGAACTTCCTCCTTTTCTAGGGAAAAAAAGTTTTGGCAGCTAGCTCATTCCCAATAAATGTAGGTGTTGACAGGGCGAGACTGGCACATATACAGTCATATGTCTCAGTCCAAAACTACCCAATGCCACCATGGCAACCAATTACAGGTACAGCAACCCCTGGAACAAGGATTTTAACATTCCTGTAAATGCACTCTTCCCCTTTCCTAAGCACCTAGAGTCTTGGTAACGTATGGAAAAGGACAACAAAAACAGTCAAGCTCAACCCAAAAAATCTGACAGCTCATCATATGACAGCTATTAAATGAGGGGCAAAACAAATTTGTAGTCTTGTTTTGTCCATGACCATGGATGTTGCCTCCTGACCTATGACATGAGACACCACCCACGATATTTCACTAGAACAATTTCAAATTACTCACCAAATATCCAGATATATATATTTTTATATTTAAAAAACTGTGCAACTCTCAGGTTCATCCTTTTAAAAAGGTTCTAAAAAACACTGGCAGCCACACAAAAATGTTCTTCAAAGAACAAAGAAGGGTAAAACAGAAAAGAAAGGCTCTGATGTCTGCAAAATGGTCAGTGTGGTGAGAGAGGACAAGTCCCCTGGAATATTCACAGGAAGTCAGCGGGGAAAGGAGGACTGGGGACAACCCATAATCACAGTGGGCACACTGTGGGCTGCTCCATGAACAATGCACACTTCAGAACTTATGGGTTAGTTTATTGTGACATGCAAACTCACCTACTGCATAACTTTAAGCTCTAGGTTTTAGCATTATGAAAGGAAGATTATGTGAAAGAAAGATCTGCAAGTTGAATCACATTTTCAAATTTCTTGATTTGAATATTTTTGTTCATTCGTACCACTAACAGACTCTCCTACCCCCATTAAAAATTGTGGAGAAGGGCAGCAAATAATTTAGTTTCAGTCCAACAAGCTGCAAAAGATGCTTCTAATTTGAGCAAATCTGACTGTTTATTTTCCTGAAACTGTCATTATGATTATCCTTCTTCATGCAATGTTAAGAAACAGGCTGACCTTATTTGTCTCTTAAAGACATCAACTGTCCTTCTAATGAATATATACGCTAATTTTTCTCTGACAATGAAGTAATTTAACCAGTCCATGACACTGAAAAACATTTCAATTCCAAAAATAAAAGTTAAGTACAAAATGAAATCTACTATTTCAAAAGGAAACGTTAAATTTTATATAAAGTCTACAATTTAAGAATTATTTCAGGTTATTACTAAGGTTATTTAAGAATTTGTGGGTGACAGAAGAACAGACATTCAGAGCAGATTTTTCTGTTTACACCCCCCCCCCCCGTAGTCCATAATCTCACAATCCTATGGAAACCTGTTTCTCTTAAATAGCCCTATATAAAAATGTGTGGCCCTCACATTTTATTCTACAATATCAGGACATTAGCCCAGTATGGATCTTTCACCACAAGCACACATCCTTCAGCATAAGCTACAATTAAACCAGAATGTTTTTAATTAAGCACAATTTCCTGGTTTATTCAAACAAAATAATTCTAAAGATGATTTATCAGTGCCTCCAACAGACCAACATATTAGTACCAAATTAACTCTTATACAAAGTAAATGGTTAAAAGACATAATGAAGGGTGTATGTTACAAGTTGCTCTGAGCACTTTGTATTGCTGTCCCTTACATAAAGCTGCTGCTAAAGGACATCTAGGCAACAATCCGTAATTTGAACAGTAATGTCACCATACTTTGCTGGTACTAGAATAAAATAAATCATAAGTATTTCACCCTA